ACCCTTCACAAATTTTCCTACTTCGTCATACACTACGTGATCAGATATTTGCTTACGTTTTTTTCCTTGCAATAACATTCTCTCTTTTCTTTTCTTTTAGTTTTTAAGGCCTAATGACATCTGGAAAAGGGACTACCAATGAATGTTGATTAATGTCCACTGTCCTTTTTTGAAATAATAATAAAACAAAATGTCAAAACATTAGCATTGAACTGCTTCAAAGCTTCTGCTCTAGTTGGCTCCAAATATCTAGGCCATTAAAAAACACTGTACCAAATGAAATACACCTACTTGTAATGTTACTGTTTCTAGTCGGGTTAGTGTACTGTCTGTCACAGTGCTAGGGGTTGAGATGTCAATCATAAATATCTAATCAAATGACAATCAACAGACAGATAAAGAAACTGAGGAAAGAGGAGAATATAACAGGTCTCAGAAAGAGGGATGATGGTGTTCATCTCTCTGTATCAGGCCAGCGCAGGGGGATGTTATCAAAGAACTATTCTCCACCCACCAGCAGGAAACCCGTTATCACAAGAGACACAACTTTGCTGCTCTCTCTGCGTGCGGTGTCTCTGTAATGTGCTCACATGCACACATACAGTTGATGACAAAGTTTCCACTATCTTAACTGAAAGAGAGAGACAGAAGTGACAGCTTTATAGGACTGCTCTCTCTAAACAATGCTGGGTTGTTTGAACCCAAATTTGGGTCAAACATGGACAAACCCAAATGTTGGGTTAAAAATGTAATTTCAGAATTTACCCCAACTTCAACTTTCACTTTTAACTGTACTTTTTTTTGTTTTGTTTTTTTTGCATTTTTAACCCAACATTTGGGTTGTCCATATTTTACCCAAAATTTGGGTTGAAACAACCCAGCATCAACTAAAAAAGAAAATCATATCAATGGCATTCCAAACCTGTATGAAATTCTTCCTTCAATAGAATACAAAAGCAGAAACCCTAAACAACATAAATGCTGCTCTTTTTCTGTCAAGCTCCAAATATGTCAGAAAGCACCATAAAAGTATGATTTGCTTTCTGAAGCCATACTTTGTGTGAGTAACAGACTAAAGTTTAAGTTGTTGTCCACTTAAAAACGTACCCTCTGCAGAAGCTCCTAATGGCATAGTTCACTTTTTGATTACCAACATTCTTTAAAATATCCCTCACTGACATGATAATGTCACAGTGTGTTTTCGCTCTGATTCTGCATCCAAAGCTGAAAGGGTGTCAGGAAGCCAACACAGCAGGGTATTTCATGCATGTGTGAGGGAGAGGCCGCAAGGTGTGGTACGAATCATGTGTACCATGTTACATTAGGAACAGCTGAACCCATGGTGCTATGGCACCAGAGTATTTTTGTTTTAATTAGATTAAGGAAAGTTAACTTAAAGAACTAAGTTTCCAACAACTAATAGGCTATTCTGTCATGTATTCACACTCATGTCATTCCAAACCCACAATACCTTCTTTCTACTGTAAAAAAAAAACACAGAGATGTTTTAAGGAATGTTCACTCTGCTCTTTTCCATACCGCAATGAAACGAAAACAAAGTGTGACGATTTTAATTTGTGAATGAACTATTCTGGTGAACAACAGTGATCTTCACGCAAGCAGAACATACAGTATAATACAAAACTATTCCTGATATGAACTTTATGGTCATATTGTGAAGTTATGGCCAGTAAGTAATGGTGTTTACATCACGGCAGTGTTCTCCCTATAAGGTAAAGTTGAAACAAAGACGTTTATTTCAAAGCTCTGTTTTCTTTTTTCACTAATATTGTGAAACCGCTTTCTTTTATTTATTCAATGAATTATAAAGAGCAGGCAAATGTTGGAAAAGCCAGCTTGAGAGATGGTATCTGGTTTTAGTTGCCCAAACTGGTCATTCACTGGTTGACCTTGTCATTGTTTAAAACTCTAGCTTGACAGCTTTAAACTTCAAGTGGTTTGTTGATTGTCCAGTGTGGTCTACCAAGCTAATTACCAGCTTGGACATTTAACAAAAGAGTTGGACATTTAACAAAAGAAAGCAAAGTATAAGAGATAAATGTTGTAATAGAATTAAACTTTCATTAGACAAAAGTTCTCAAAGCAGTTCTGACATTTTTGCCTTGTTTTCTATTCAGTGCAGGCTCACGCACTGTTCAGTGCTCAACAGGTTGCTACTTATCCCATAAGACTGCGATACTTTCACAAACAATATAATCAGACCTATCAGTGGTATATTAAAAATGATTTTGCTTTTAATAGATAAACATATTATATAAAATGGGATTAAAAAAAAAAACAAAAAACAAAAAACAACGAAGGCTATCGAATGACATTGGGAATCCTGACTAGAAGACAGACCCTCTAGTAGATAAATACACAGTTTGACATATAGGTTAGCAAACTTACCAATAAAAATGAAAAAAGTCGGGACAATGACACGCTTCTTTATCGATGTCTTTGTAACTAAAGTCCGTTATTTGAAGGCCAGTAATAATCCCATGAGTGGCTGTGAGGTGTAGGTCATGGCGGAAAGCTGCTGAAGGGGCAGGGAGCGCGCGCGGGGTCGCTCATTCTCCTCAGCGCTGTTTGACCCTCCCAAAGAGTTAAAAATAAAGTAGAGAAGAGGAGCACTCGCTGCCTGAGCGCAGGGGACGCGCATTCCTGTCAAGAGTCGCTGCTTTAAATGGCGTTCCCCACCCTTACACTGCCCGCCTCTAGGTCTACATCACAAGCCCTACATAAATTTAAACCGCAAAACTTTACTACTAGCGACTAGTGCCAGTAAGGAACTGCGGCTACTTTAAATCACTTTCTTTAAGGGTTATTTTAAATGGACACTTTGTTGCTCGTTTGTGCTTTTCTAGTCCTCCTTAAATGTTCTATAAAAAAATACCATTGAACAATAAAAATATTTGCCTACTTTTCATTTAGCCTACTGTATCTATACTGTTTAATGGCAGAGTAGAGTTAAGAGTACTTAATAGAATTGTGAGTAAACATCTAGGCCTATGAAGTGTTATCATGTCCACTCATTATGAAATATTTTAATTATTTTTGTAAAGCTATAGCCTATAATTGTTGAAAATACATTATTTTGCTTTAAGTTAACCTGGCTTTAATTTATATTTGTGTTTCATATTTTATACACAAACGTTTTAATGCAAAACACTCAGTGAGTGAGTGAATGTTTAATGATTCTTTTTATTTCAATTAATAATGTATTAAATAAATAAATGATTTAAAGGGATTTATAATAAGTGAATTTATAAAATAATAATACCTTTATTTAAAATAATATATTTTTTATTTATGTTAAAATAACCAGAAATAGCCTAAGTAAATAGCTAAGTAATGAATTTCCAAATACTATTTGCAAATTATATTTGTATTCGAATAAATGAATCAAACATTTTAATAAATCATAACCTGAAACTTTACCTAGGTTGGGGATTTTAGTTTTATACCCTGAGAAATATGGTAGCATATGGACTGAAATGACCTAGACTGAACTGGTTTGATAAAGTCAAATGGGAAGTGGTCTGAAAATAAGACCTTCAGTCCTCAAACTCAGGACCTTTTAAACTATTATTTCATACATGATCAAAACCAACATCAAAGTTTGTCATTTTATCTATCTTGAGATCTAAAGGCCAATTGGCTTTATGCACAGCTGCACTACTTCCTGAACTTCAGCCAGTTCCTTGTTTCCTGTCTTCCATTATTGGACAAACTGATTAATCCAGGTGTGTCTGATTATTGTTGCCGTGACTACTGAGGTCAGGCACACCTGAATTAATCAGTTTGCCCAATAACGGCAGACAGGAAACAAGGAGCTGGCTGAAGTTCAGGAAGTAGTGCAGCTAAAGCCAGTGCGCCGACAGATGCTGACCAAGTCCAACACGACAGAGTCACCGGATTACAGCACTAATTCTGATTCAGCAGTCGGTGACTCCAACAGACTCCAACAGGGGTAACACACTGATTAAACCAAAACCAATGAAGTGCCTGTTACCGTCTATTGGCCTTAACAATACCCACATACATTAACAGATTACATAAAATCCTAAAGTAGCCAACAATTAAAACATTAATTCAAAAATTAAAATGCAACTATTTAGTCTTTCTAAATGTGTATTCAGTTAATCACTTCACTTGTCTAAATTTTTGGCCTTATTATTGGGAAAGGACAGCAGAAACAGATAGGAAAGTGGGGGAAAAGAGGGATGGGATGGGTGAATGGCCAGATCTGCACCACAGTCCCCATGTTGTGCTGAATTCTGGGATCCATTAAATTACGTCACCATATTAAGCGCTGTATCAAGCTAATCCGACCTAATCCCAACCCATTACTACAGCACCTACTAGGGACACAGAATTCGGCACTACTGATATGATTAGGCCTGTGCTAACAGACATTTTTTGAAAAAATATTAAATTCTACATACCTGATCACTTACCTTATACCATTTGTTTTTGATTAGGATTTATGTTATGTCAGATCACCACCAGAGGTCATCTTCACCCCACTAATAGCCTAAGAAATCATCTTCTGTTCTGTGTGTACTGCGTCATTCCAGTAACAAGAAGCATGCACAGTAATCCCAGTAGTCACTAAAAATACAACTTAAAAACAACTTAACTTACAGTTAGAAATGTAGTGTTGTGATTTCATACCAGCAAATATCTTAAGGTCAGCCTCTTAAATACTAAAATAAAGACTGAAAACGAGAAACATGTATAAAAAATGGCAAATGTATTTAATAAAAATATGTTCTGGTTCATAAATTAAGATTTTGGAAGCTCTTGCAAAGACAAAAGTTATAATAAAGCCATTTTAAAACATAAAAAAATATAATAATAACATATCAAATGATAAACTATTTACATTTAGATAATATAGTAGATTACATATTATAGAAGGCCTTTACAGTATATTAAAACAACGTGATTATAATAAAAAAATCCTTCATTTATAGGGTATACTTTTTGAATGCGTCAGTGGCAACAAAAGTCTATGTTACAAATAAAACCACTGGTCTTGTTACATTCTACAGTGCTTGAGCAAAAGCTCTCTTGATTACCATGTCAAATTGTAATGTCTTGCAAATTTAGATGTGTGTATAATGTATATAGCTGAAGCCACTGTAGAGCATAACAACTCGTATTACAAATTAATAACATTTGATTGCATTTCATTAAACAGAGAAACGTAAAAGAATATTTTGCATACACAATAAAAAATGACAATACTGAAAGTATCAATATCAACAATTGCTTCGCAGTCAATCATTTTTATGACAGTCAATCTATTCTATCTCAGCTGATATAGAACTTGTCAAATTCTGTGTTAACAATTACACAGAAATTTTGCACAAACAGAAAAACAAAATGATGCTACCCACAAAAATAACGTGTATGGAAGGCACTGGATATTGCAGAAATAATTTCAAAAACACGTCTCTTCAGCTGATGAAGTAGCTTAAGACAATGCAATGCATTAAAGGAATACTGTAATACAGTGGATTGTTTAGATATGAATATCCCTTCAATAAGCCGAGCTATGTATAATGTAATCAATGATAATCGTGATAAATATGTACATAAATGAAAACAAAAATAGCTTTGGGTCTTTACATTGATCAAAGTATTACAACCTTCTTTTTTTTTAAGAATAAACAATACTTTGGCACATGGGGGCACCCCAAACTGATTCATAATAACAGAACAAATAAAGACATTTTTTTTTAAGTGGCAAAATAAATTTGTTACACAAAATATTCATACCATCAGTGCTGTGTGAAAAAGAATCAAGTATAGAGCAAAAACATGAGGTGCAAATCTTTGCAAAAACCTTCAGGCTTTTAGTGTAAGTGCTTGTTGCTACATGTGTAACCCGATTTGTCACAAAGAAAAGAAAGAATCGAGCTCTGCTATGACAGCTGCTTGCTTCCTAGATACTAAATTCAGCAGTCTAGGAGCCAAGGACGGGCTTCCCAAATCCACCTATAGGGAACGATTGACAATTGATTATCTCAGGTAATGTCGTAGTTAATGGGATAGTTCACCCAAAAATGTCATAATTACTCACTCTTTAACCCCCTGGGGTCCAAGGTGTTTTTGGGATCCTTGAGATATTCTGACATGCCCTGACATTTGTGCTTTTTTCAGTTGCTTAGCCTTTTTTTCAGTTCCCTAGCTTTTTTCATTGTTTCAAGATGAACAAGTTGATGATGATATCTAATGCACGTAGGCTACTTCATAAAATATAACGAACATAATAACATATAATAAAGAAGGCTTAACTACTTATTACAATAGTTCATGTTTTTCACAGTCAGTAATTCATACTTTAACATTAGTTCATTTGTTGTGTCAGGTTGCTGTTTGTTTGAAATAACAAACCTGTTCACCCGAAGAAACACTTGACGAAGTGCTAATCCGGTCATAGCTTTTTGGTACATAACAGTTACCGAACTGTAGATGCAATGCGCATTTCAAAAAGCAAGGCGCTGGAGACCACAATTCGTCTGAATGCATAATAGATTTTCAACGCTAAATGGCAGCAATTCCTACACATAGTCACCCATACTAAGGGTGTCACGATTTCGATTTTAGATGGAAGTCAGTGGGGTCCATCAACTGTTTGGTTACTGACATTCTTCAAAATACCTTCTTTTGTGTTCAGCAGAAGAAACAAACTCACACAACAACAACTTGGAACAACTTGAGGGTGAATAAATAATGACAGAATTTTCCATTTTGGGTGAACTATTCCTTTAAGCAAGCATAATGCTAATGTAAATGCTTTCAAGGGTAAACAAACTTACTTGTAACAAGTAGATGACTGTGACAACCTCTCGACCATTACGCTGGCTGGGTTGAAGGATCCACGCGCTGGGTAGCATCTCACCACGGATAGTATCCACACTGGGACGTGGCAGTGTCTCCTCAAATACAGACTGCATGGCCAACACCCACATATCATCCTAAAGAAAAGAAAATGGATCAAAATGAATGAGTGATTAAGGTAAGGCACTTTTGGATAAAGCCATTCACAGAAAAGAGTATACAGGACACCTGTTTAGATTCTGTACTGAGGCAGCAGAAGTCCCGCGGCTGTTTAAGCTGGCAGTTGGATATGTCCATCAACAAATAGACTGATTGGAGAGAAAGACAGAGACAAAGCAATACAATCACTAAAAGTACATTACGTTATAATTGTAACCGCTCTTACCTATTAAAGGATTAGTTCACTTTTAAAAAAAACTTTTGCTGATAATTTACTCACCCCCATGTCATCCAAGATGTCCATGTCATTCTTTCTTCAGTCGAAAAGAAATTAAGGTTTTTGATGAAAACATTCCAGCATTTTTCTCCATATATTGGACTTCAATGGGAACCAAACGGTTCAAGGTTTCAGTGCAAACTGCAAATTATTCAAAGGGCTTTAAACGATTCCAGACGATGAATAAGGGTCTTATGAAGCGAAACGATCGTTCATTAAAAAAATAAAATAAATAAATAAAGTTTAAGTTTTATAAGCTCAAATGCTCGCCTACTGCGATGCACGTTCGTGACTCTCCTGTTCGAACTCATTCATCAAAATGAACAAATCTTTTCCTGAGTCAATTTGTTTGTTTCGTTCATTGAATGAACCAAATGACTAACCAAAAAGATCTGTTCATTTTGATGAACGAGTTCGAACAGGAGAGTCATAAACGTGCGTCACAGAACAGAGCAAGGTGAGCATTTGAACTTATAAAACTTACATTTTGTTATTTATTTATTAAATGAGCGATCGTTTTGCTTGATAAGACCCTTATTCATCGTCTGGAATCGTTTAAAGCCCTTTGAACAGTTTGCACTGAAACTGTCCGTTTGGTTCCCACTGAAGTCCATTATATGGAGAAAAATGCTGGACTGTTTTCATCAATAACCTGAATTTATTTTCGACTGAAGAAAGAATGGATGGATGTGGACATGGGGGTGAGTAAATTATCAGCAAAAGTTTTTTTTGAAAAGTGAACTACTCCTTTAAGCCTGCTGTTCCCTCTACGATTTTTCAATGAGATAATGTAATGACAGATTGTGTACAATGTGATCTCAAAAACAGACATATCGCTCTAGATAAAAATATTAGAGGTTGTAGCACCTAAAGGTCATCACATTAAATAACCCTGAGCACTTGTTGTGTGCAGCGCTTCAATGTTATGACACACTGTTTACTTTACACTGAGTCCAGAACCGGTTCCCTATTTGAATACCATTGCACTAGGTGATCAAAGACTCACAAGTATAACCTAAGACAATAAAAATCCTTTACGATCCCAGAAATTTGTCTCAGATAGCAAAATCGTACAGTGTACGCTGGGATTTACCTAGTTGTGTGCATTCGTCCAGTGGTCGTGTCCAGGCAGATTTAATAGACTCGTGGTAGAGGTGAGTCTTTGAATGATCTCGAATTATACACCACAGACTGGCCAAAGGTCTCTCCAGCTCTACTGCTCCAAGAAACCCATGAGCTGAGGGTCTGGAAGTAGCCTTGTGAAAGACTTGAACACCTCTCTCCACGCCTTGATGCCTGGTGAGAAATGGAACTTGAGGACGGACTACATGTAAAAGACTTATACATGCACAATATGCATATTAGTGTACCTCCAGCCAGAAGCTGCTTTCCCAGCCAGCAAATTCCTCACATTACCTCCAGAGGCCAGATATACCTAAAAAAGTCAAGCAAGTCCATGAAGTATTTCACATTGACGCGCTCTCGCATATTTTGAAACTTATGTTAATGCATATTTTGAAACTTCAGTAATTTGGAGTTGCATACTTCAGAGATAGCACTGGCAAGAGTGCAGTCTGCGATATCCTGATATGAAGCTGATATAGACGAGGGAGAGCCAAAGGAGAGAGTGCGTTGTCGAGCACGGGGAGGAGGTGATGGAATAGAGGAAGACTCAGGTTCATATCCAGTGACCGATGTCTGCAGGCTGACATCTAGAGATAATAGTGGATCTGATTAATTAAGTGAATTCGAAGCATAGCCCTTGGGTTTCCAATTGTTTATGGGTTATTGCTCACCCTGGACTGACAGCCATCTACGCTGAGCTTTTGAAGTCTGCAACGGGATCACAGGAGGTCGAGTCCTTGCTTTGAATTCTGAGGCTCCATTTACCTGAGGAATGAGGTGAAGAGCTTGAAAAATAGCTTTCTAAATTAAAATACACTTTTTAGTGTGGTGCCTTACCTGTATTAATGGTGAGGTAATGTCTTTGAGTATGGCAGCATTGCTGCTGTTATACCCTGAAGTGGGCCCTGAGGAAAGACTCAGGTTTGAACCACTACATAACGTACTGTTACTAATGCGTGTACGAAACAGCAGGTCATCCTACGTAAGACACAGGGAGAGAAGGAAAGAAAATATGAAACGATTTCTAAATGAGAAAAGGGCAACAATACTTTATAAGAATTAAGAATGATCAAGTGCCACTGACCTTGACTGCCTGCGAGAGAGCTTGTTGCTGTATTCGTCTCTTCTCCTGTTCGGCCCTCTCACGGAGTCGATCTCGTGCACGGGCAATCTCGACTCTTGCCTCCTCGCGGGCTCGGCTGTAGTCACGCAATAGAAGCTCAATATCAGATGGACACTGACCCTCCCGCCTTGGTGGATCAGGAACTCTGGGGAAGAACATCTGGTTTAGTATATATATTTATAGAATATTATCTTTTGTTTAATGCATTTCCAAATCACCTGCTGGTTTCGACAATCTCTTGTCTGAGCTGCTGCAGATATTCCTGACGTCTGCTAGGCAGGTCTGAAATTCTTTGAGTTTGCTCCTTCATATTATTTATAGGGATCCGATGCTTACTGGGACTGAGACTCCGAGCACGACGAGACATCTGGAGACGGGCTTCTCTCTCTTTTCTCAAACTGTCAATGCTCTTCCTATGCCTTAGACAGAATAGAATTCAATTCATAACAAGCTTTGTAAACTAAAGGTGCTTTCACATTAGGTTCAGTTTCTTAGTTTGTCCAAACCAGAGTTTGATTGTTCCACTCTCCCCCTTAAAAGACGGTAAAATGCATAGTGTTTGCTTATCTCAGTTTTGTACTTTAATTTTAGGGAAAAATCAGGTCTATTGGAGACGTTAAATTGATTTCTTACGCGTGCCAAAAGAACATAACCAACACAGTGCGGTGATTTGCCAGATGAGAAGTTTATCTATGTATAATCTTTTTACTCTTTTAATTCTTTTTATAACTGTATCCACTGTGCGTCTGACTGATTGTACTACAGTATATTCCTCCTTTTGATTCTAAACTGAACTCCATTGGAACTGAGAATTGGGTAAGAGACAAACATAAATGACTTAATTGGGGAAATTGAGAGATGAAACCATGCTGATGATGACCTGGGTCTGTGGTGGAGTAGTGAGTTAGACGTGTAATTAAACTAGGGGTTCTGTGGGGTGCGGACTGGATCGTTTCCGTTCATAGAGGGTAAAATCTGGGTCTATTGAAGATGTCCAATAGATTTCTTAGGTGCGCCGAAAAGTTGTAAAAAAGAATAAAAAAAATCAAATTGGGGTCATTCACATCATCCAAACAAACCAAATTCTGACATCCACAACCCGGGTACATGCCAAAAGTGCTAGTGTGAAAGCACCCTATAAAAGTCAACAGTCAAAGATTATAATAAAACTAAAGAAAGCTAAACTTTAAAAACGCAGAACATTGTAATACTTAAAATACCTAAATCACAGATTATACAGACCTGTTAAGAAGCTCCTGTTTGTTACAGGCTGAAGATACTTCTTTAGAACCAGACTTGAGCATTTTAAGCAGAGTGTCGGTTTCCCCTTGGCCATAGTGCAGCCTGGCCTCTGTGAGTTCAACAGTCAGCTGAGGAGGGCTCAGATCCAGATGTACAGATGCTAAAACCTGTTCACGTTCTTTCCTCAGCTTCTCAATTTCTTGTGTTCTCCTATCCGCTTTCTCGGATGACTCTGGTTTATAGACAGAAATAGGGCTTTGTGACTCCATTGGCTGGCGGTGACTGGGACTGAACCTTGTGGAGTGATGTCCAGTTGGTGCCTGCTGACTGATGCCAGACCAGTTAGTAAATTTGTTGTGCATGGGCAGATCATCAGGGATCCACTGATATTCTCTGAGCATGCTGGTCTCTGCCAGAGGATTGATGCTGACCAGAACATCTGTGTTGCAATCGCTTGGCACCAGAGACATCACATCATCTTCCTGCTGTTGCATGGTACTTTGATTTGAATGATCCCAGCACTTTATTATATACTCAGATGATCTGTGACTCAACAGGCTTTTCACAGCTGACAAATGAGGCCTTTCTGAAGTTTCCAATTTAGATGGTCTAACTTGAACTAAGGATGATGCAAGTTGGACACCAATGGTACTGCTTGAAGGAGAGAGGGAGACTCTTTGTGGGTGAGATGGAGAACAGTTAACCCTGTCCTCAGCTTCACGGGAGTATTCATTTCTCTCATTTTGCATACATTTGCTTCGGGGAAAGACGCTATTTGAGTAGTCAGATCCATACAGATTTGGACAACTAAGGTCACTCTGGTTTTCAAAGGTCACAGATGATACTGATGGAGATATTGTTTTTGCATTTTTACTGTGAAGGTTCTTCTGAGCTAGTACTATATTCTCATGTTTAGACATTTTATGACCTTTAAATTGCATGTTGTATACTTTTGAACATTGTTTCTCAGCGATATGTTGTCCCTCAGTTGTCTTATAGTTTACTAAACCATGGGTTGTTTGTCTTTGCTGGGTGTTTCTTGCAGCATTCACTGTAAGGATAGGGGAGCATGCACGATCCATGAGCATAATGTGTTTATTAAAGCATGTCCTCTGGTCTACATTTCTGTGATAAGTCTGATTGTCCTTTTGCTTTATATGTGAGTGTTTCTTATAAGAACGATCTCTGGCGTCACCTTCAAAAGCTTCCAAAGTGGAGGAATCCAGATTCGGTACAATAGTCTCTAATGAAAGAACCTTTTGGGGAGGAATCTGAAAATTTGGACTGTCTTTTCCCTTTGAGCCTTTGGGACGTAAATCGGGCAGGCTTTTTATTCTTTCAAAGGCTTGTTCATTTTCTGCATCACCATCTAGCTGGGACACATTGCAAATATCTGAGCCAATCACTTTGACAATAACATTTACTTCATGGGATTTAGCATTCGTAGACACAGAAGCATTCTCTGTCTGGACCCCAATATCCAATGAAGTTTGTGTACTACTGTCCATCTTGTGGTTACTGCCAGAATGCACAGTAGAAACCTGGAAACAGTGTTTAGGACACTCATATTTTGGTGGCCTTTCCCCTGTTCGCATACACTGTATGTTCCCCAGAAGATCAGAGGTGTTATGTATCAGGTCAGAGAGATGTTCAGACATGTTCTGTAGACTTGCCCATGTGGTTGGGGCACTATTCCCCGGTTTGGACACTGGTGTCAAGGTGCTGCTTCTTCTGTGACGGCTCTTTCTTTTAAGGTCCTTATTAACCTCAATGGTCTGTGTTCCATGATCACACATGCTTGGACTCGGATGGTCCTGTGATTCATACTCAGAGGAGTAGACCAGGACTATTTCATCAACTTGACCTGAACTGTGGCGTAACTCCTCTGAGGCACCGCTGTAAGAGTCACATTTCAAAGCAGTTAGGGTCTGCTTATTTGAACAACTAGAGGAATAATAAGCATCTTTCAGCAGAGGCTCAGAAGAAATTTGATCTCTAGAATATCCATTACCACTCATTGTGCTAGAGAGCCCTTTATGATTTACATAAGTGCTCAAATGGGAACTGAAAGGTGGGTCCTGAATATGTAGGCCATTGTCTACACTACAGCACCTGGTCATATTCTTGTTGGAACTATTAAGTGGAGAGTGTTGGCAAGAAATACTAGCAGCACTTCCAAAGACCTGCTTTTTGGGGACTGCTGTTTTCACCCCTAATGTAGTTCTTGTATGAATAAATGGGTTAATATCACTTGATGCAAAATGCATTGCAGAATCCCTTGTCTGGGTTTGTGTCTTCTCAAAAGCATTTACCCTGAAAGTAATGTCTTCATCGACCTTTGAATAATTCATCTCTGTCTTTTGCATTTCTTCAGTGGAACCAAGCTCTTGTTGACATGCAATTGTCTCAATCTCTGCTTCCCCACGTAAGGAAACTCCAAACACAGAGGGTGTAATTCCTGTGTTAGGCTGCTGGGTATCTCTCTCTTTTGGTTGAGCTTCTAATAATCTTGGACTAATTCTTGAAGGTAAAGGAATGCTTTCGTTATGTGGAGGCGTTACATTGCGTCTGCCAGCAAGCAGGTTTGCACGTGAAGACGGTTTGGTATGAGAAACACAATACTCATCTGAGGATAAATCAGGTGTAGAATCAGTGGATGAACTTGGAGGTGCCATGAAGTGGGCCCTTCTGCTTCGCTTTTGTTTTCCTTTCCGTCTATCATCATTGCCATTGCCAACAAAATTTTTTGTAGCATCTGCTGTTGTGCAATTTTCTCCTCTACCTCTGTCTGTAGATTTACATCTGTTATAACAATCCTTTGTATTTTGATTGCAAGGAGTCAATTTTGTGCTGTGACACACCTCAACAGTTGATGAGGGGTTGGCCACCGATTTATCAGGTTTACAAGATGACTGGTGATTTTTAGGCATATATGGATCTTGATATTTCATTGGTTGGTTACCAAAACATTGAATCCCTTTGATGTAAATATTGTTTTGCTGAGATGTAGTCAGACATTTCACATCATTACTTGTGCAGATGGACTGATTCTCTGCTTGTTGATCCTTGTCGACTTTTTCAATATTACCGTTGTGGATTTGTGGTCTTTGTGATGCCTGATGGCATAAATCTGAAATAGTAGCATCTTTTCTGAAATCTTCAGAGTAACTGTTAGGTATGTGCTCCACGGATCTTACTCTGTCTTTATCACTACTACAACTGATAGCAGTGGTAATGTTTTCCAAGGAATGTTTAGAACAATTTTTATCTTGGCTTACAAAACCGGTATATTTTCCAAGGTTTCCTGGACCAAATTCATAAAACGCTAGCTTGCTTAAAGGCCGGGCTTCAGGAGCAGGGTAATTCTCGTCCACTGCTGAATGGTCATGTTCCATACTCAATGTTGTACAATTATATGAACGTGTTTTGTTAGTTTTTACCTCTGAATTGGGTAACGTTATAGCACTGTCTTCCATGGTTTGTTGACATGTGTTAGCCATATCACTATCTGTCTCTTCAGAGAGTAAACCTAAGACTGGATGTTTTACTGTTGCTTCGGTGGGTAATGACACCTGAGGAATGTTGCATTGACTGGACATTACAGGAGTTGAGTCCTTCACAAAACAGTTTTCACTCAGTGAACATTTGGTTTCATTCAAAAGTCTTGAATGTCCATGTGTCAGTGGTTTGTCATCAAGTTTGTGCATTTCCATTGAGATCGTCACATTTTCATCTTGTTTTGTTTCATTGCTGACAATCTGTGCATTCAGGTATGTGGACTGATGATCTTTCTGGACTTTTTCTAACCCAGTTGTCAGCTTAAGAGATGGAGTAGCTTGTGAATACATGCAGGGTGGCTTTTGAACAGGGGTTGAAGCATCAATGTACTTTCTTAGTTGGGTGCATACAATAATGTTCTCTCTTGATGTATTCAACCCAATAATAGTTTCCTTAGCACAAGACAACACTGATTCACTTGAATTTACTCTATCTGTGCTCTGTGCCGCTATAGCACAATATGGTACGGTCTCCACGTTTTCGTTAATATATCCACATTTTGGACTTTCTTGTTCTACTTTTCTCTCTGTCTTCCTTGCAATAAACTCTTCCGTGCCGTTAGACGTCCTACTCATAGTCAAAGAATGTCTTGATTCTGTCCCATTCTCCAAGTTCACAGTGTTGTCCGTATAATTGTCTGATTTTGCCATACGTGAGAAATGCAGGGAATTACTATTTTCACCATGTCCATCCTGAGTACTTTTGTAATCAAATTCATAGTTGTTTGTCTTGGACTTGAAATCATCCAGTTTAACAAAAGAAGCGTCTTCTTTCTTTGAGTCCAACTCGTGATCTTCACCACAGCCTTCTCTCAGAGACAAATTAAAGTGTTCTTTCACCACCTCTGATATTTTATCATTAATTGCAGAGTTGCTCATTTGAAAATATCTGTTATTGAATGTCTTTCTCTCCAAAATCTGAATTGCATCCTCTTTACAGTTCTCATTAATGTTTTTAATCTCAGGACTCCTAGAGGATTTCAGGCTATCACAATTTGTCGGTGTCAATCCACGATCCAATGTACTGCTGTCATTTCTAAAAATATTGATGTGATCTTTGCTGATTAAATCCTTGTGAACCTCACTAGTTGGTAAGGCACTTTCCATTTCCTTCTCTTTAAGCTCTTGATCAGAGTTTTCCATCTTAGTGAGCAAGTTTTCCAAAACCAATACATTTACTGATTCACTGTTGATAGTTGAACAAATAGACTGTTCCTGATTCATATTTAAGAGTGTTGTCTTAGTGTCTGAAACATCATCACTTTTCTTTGATAGCTTCATATTTCCCACAAAGCTTGTTCCAGTGACTGACTCATTCCCCAACTGGACACGAAAGCGTTCACCATCTCTGCCAAAACTATTAACTTCTTCATCATGCTTTTCTGATTGTTCGATTGTCAAGGCATAATTTTTGGTATCTTTTATGCAAGCCATTTCAGTGCACTGTTTTGTGTAGAAACAATTATTTTCATCATCATCATCCATGGTTTTGCTTGCATTGATGAGTGGTTCATTTAGAATCGGTGTTGCTTTTGAGTTCTTTACTTCTGGATCTCCTGCAATGTTGTATGTTGAAACCTGACCAATTGTTAGGTTTAAGTTTGATTTCAGAGAAGAATCCTCAGGGTACATTGGATACAATGATGGGTTCTCCTCACTAATATGTGAATCTTTCCAACTTAGGTTAACTGGTAAGCACTTTAAAATTGTAGTATCTGTTGAGATGTCACCATCTTTGGAACAAGAGCTAGTCATCAATGCTTCAGTCACAATGGGATTCAGTGGTTCATATTCAGTGGTTAGTTTATGTGTGTATGCTACCCCATCTGGATTGGTATCTGTAGAATCACACACTGCGTGAGTTATACATGGTTCAGCATTGGTAATCAGCTTCTTAAAATCCATCTCCTGCCCTAAAACCATAAAACTAGAATTACTCTCATTGCTATCAAACAACAAAGTATTCTCAAAGGACGTGTTATTTTGTTCTTCAAGTGTTGCATTTTCATCCTGAGTGGAGTCAGAGCGAGGTGAGCTCTGGCTTTCTGAGACATTCATGTTGTCTGACAGATCCAGACTAGTAGAGCCTTGGGTTCTACTGCTCTGTGTGTGTGGATCCTGTTTTAGCAAATGTCCTGAAGCCCTGATGGTTCTGGGACTGTCTGCTGCATCAGTGGATGACCAAGCATCAGTAAGAGCAAGAGGATTCTCTGTTTCTCTGATACTGGCACCACTACAGGGTCTAGATTCAGACGCTTGACAAGAGCCAAGGCCATTCGTCGGTTTCAACTTCTGACTACCATTTAGGCTCCAGAAAACCTCTGCAGGTACATCTTTGGATATTTTTATCTCCTCTTTATTTCCGATTGACTGAGAGCTGAATGACAACGGTGATGGATGTGAGGCTAAGTGGCTTGAAACTTTTTTAAACCTGAGCACTGGTCTGGCATATACATGCTTTCCACTTGTCTCCACAACAAGAGAATCTTGAGACATCCGACTGTCTTCACTCTCAGCTTCACTGGAATTATATTCCTCTTGCTGAAGCTGCTCAGACAGAGCTGTGGCATAAGCTGATGACAGCGAATCCAATGAGAAAATACTATCACAATCCGAAGAACCGTTGGGATCCTCCTCACCACTTAGTTTCATCCACCCAGCTGCTTCTTTTTGCACTGCACCATATTGCTTGGTACTCGTCAGAGCTTCTGCACTATGCCAGTGCCTTGGTTGCTTATTTTTTAATGAGCTAAGCTGCTCCAAACTTTCATAAGACATTGTTGATTTGATCGGGCACTGCTCCTGCTTTTTCTCGAGGTCTTTCACAGACTTATTTTTGTTTGACTTCTCATTAAATTGACATATCACTTGGTTAACAGATTTCACACTTCTATGTCCCCTCGAGCCTGATGGTGGCTTGCGGAAAACTTTTGCCAAGGCAGTCCTGAACCCAGAGCCAACGGAGTGTGAAAAAACCTTGCGGATGGTCTCTAAACTTTTATTTCCACCTTGAGATAGACTCTTTGTTCCCTTAACAGTAGTTTTCTGTTTTATTATAGGTAATACTTGTCTAGTGCTTTTGGTGTTTGAATCCAGACAATGCTTGTATTGGTCACTTGTGCTTTTCTTGACTAACAACCTTGAGGAAGCAGTTTTTGCTTTTTTCGCTTCAAGTGAATTTGCATCTTTTATAGGGTCTGAGAAACTGGCCCAACTTGAGGAAACTTGGTCATATCTTGAGGGCATTGTGTTTGAACGGCGCCTGATCTTTTGATCTTGGAGACATTCATCAGATTCCCATTTTGTGGGACAAGCTAAGCCAGCTTGAGATGCTGTACACTCAGAAGATGTATTCCTTTTAAGGAATTGGCTGTTTGGAGAAAAAGGAAAATACATTTTTTAAATAAAAACAAAATATACTGTTCTTGGTGTAATGATAGTGATTATCATTTTAAAATAAATGTTATCTTCACATGGATAAAATGGAATAACTACTTCCTTGTTTAGACCAGGAAAACTTAAAAAACAGACACATGGGTCTTACTCACAAAAAATCTTTTTTTTGTCTGCATACACACATGAATTTGTTCTTCAGCTTGTTCTAATGTTAATGTATTTATTATATAAATGAAGTGAGGTATTATAAGCAATTGTGTGCATAAGTTAAGTAATTTGCATAAAACATGCTCAAACCATCTCCAAAGTACTTTCCACACAAGCTTTAGTTTAGAGCCTTTCTTCATTCTCAGCAAACATAATATGCTTTCTAAAGATGTACTCTGGCCTGAGAGCAGTGGCAGCAAGATCCAAAAGAAATGCCAATCCTCAAAACCAGTTCAAACACAATAAAACCTTTTATACAGACTCAGGTTACGGACCTCTTAGCCATCTCTAGATGTACTTATCTGAAATTGTATTCAAGGCTTGAGCTTTAAAGGAGTAGTTCACTTTTGCTGATAATTTACTCACCCCCATGTCATCCAAGATGTCCATGTCTTTCTTTCTTCAGTCGAAAAGAAATTAAGGTTTTTGATGAAAACATTCCAGCATTTTTCTCCATATAATGGACTTCAATGGGAACCAAACGGTTCGAGGTCCAAATGAAAGTTTCAGTGCAGCTTCGAAGGGCTTTAAATGACACCAGACGATGAATAAGGGTCTTATCTAGCGAAACAATCGGTCATTTAAAAAATAAATTAAAAAATGTATTTTTTATAAGCACAAATGCTCACCTTGCTCTGTTCTGTGATAAGCATTTGTGACTCTCTTGTTCAAACTAGTCCATCAAAATGAACAAATCTTGTTTCGAGTCATGACTTAAAGGGTCCTAGATAAGACCCTTATTCTTGGTCTGGTGTCGTTTAAAGCGCTTTGAAGCTGCACTGAATCTCTCATTTGGACCTTGAACCGTTTGGTTCCCAATGAAGTCCATTATATGGAGAAAATCCTGGAATGTTTTCATCAAAAACCTTTATTTCTTTTCGACTGAAGAAAGAATGACGTGGATATCTTGGATGACATGGGGGTGAGTAAATTATCAGCAAAAGTTTTTGTAAAAGTGAACTACTCCTTTAATGCCCCTGAGAGTACATGGTTTTTGTGTACATGTGATTTCCCAAAAAAAAAATCATGAATTGAGAAAAACATTTGTATGAAAGTTATAGATAAATCATGTTTGTTTTGTGAATACGTTCATATGCAGATTTCAAACAAATTTGTGCATATGCACGGTTAGTGAATGAGACCCAATGTTGGTTAATCACCTGGGTTACACCTACCTAAAAATGGGAGTGTGCTGAGGATACAATCGGGACAGCAGATCAGCAGAAAAGGAATGCCTTCGTAAAGTCATCGGACGCCCCCTGAACTTTGAATAGCACCCTAGTTCTGGACACAAGGCTTCATCGCCTCCTTGTAGAAGTTCATTTTCCATCCTCTGCAGCTCTCGCTTAGCCTCCAACAAATGGCGCTTTCGTGCAATCTTCTCCAGTTGGTAATGTAACCTTTTGCGGCGCACACGGTTCTCAGCTCTTCGTAATGCATGATGTTTCAGCAGTTCCTCCTGCACCACCCTTTTCCTGTCACCCATTAAGAGTGACGGTGGGACTGTTTCAGCACTGCCTTCTTTCTCAGTCCCCTGACTTGATAAACCGATAGGAAGTATGAGATCTGTCTGAACCCCTGACTCAAGTGTTCCCTGTTCCTGGTGGGCTGCAAGCCGTAGCTTTTCTTGCAAGATCCACCGCTTGACTTGAGATAGAAAAGAAACCAGAGTTTAGAGAAGCAACAATTGAAACAACAATTTGAAAGGACAATTTCTTACTTACTGTCAGGTATTCAAGGTTCATTTTCTTTAGTATTTGACTAGGGTGAATGTTTTAATCAATTACTTAAAAGCCTATTTTTTAAGTTCTTTGCTGAAGAGCATAATATAGTATTTCAGGTCAACCTTTCTGAATCCAATATTTAAGCACAACTCAGTGTGTTTTCTGTACTCACTCTCAGTATACTGTTGTCGGAGACATGCCTGCTCTCTTTCCAGATCTCGTTCCGCTCTTTTCTGTTCCATCTGAATCTCCTCTCCTAGACACTCTATGTACCACTGCTGCTCCTCTAGTCGATGTTTGGGTGCTGTCCCATTGCCGCTCTCATGAACACTTGCTCCAGCAACCCTGGGCACACAACAAACGCAAACTCTACGGATGATGCACTAGTCAACCAGAAAATGACAGATAGTGCTGAAAACTTAGAGACCTTTAACACACGTCTAATTTACTTTCATTATTCATTTCTTTTGTTTTCTACATACTCCCTGTTGTAACCAAGCAACACTATGACAACTCTACAGTATAAACAATATTTTCTCCAGAGGGCTCATTACCAGAGGAACATTTAGAAACGTCATCATGAACTTATGTACAATATACTGTATATATAGTGAAAAAATGTACTGCTTTTGAATGAACAAATCATATTTACCTGGTGTCAGAACTGGGTAGGCTGAGCTCTGAAGAGCTGTAGACCAAACCTCCTTCACTGGTCTGCAAAGACCAACATTTTACATTATATCCATTAATTGCATTAAATAAAAAATAATCCCATTAGACATTTAATTAACCTCATGAGTTAATTAATTCATGAATTTTATGTTAACTTTGAAAGACCTAAAAAATACATTAAATACCTCAATAAATCAGATTTTTCTCAACAGATTTGGATCAGAGACATTATTTTTTAGAAGGTTTCTACCTTGACTAGGCATTTAGATTTAAGAAAAACAATTACTCTGAGTTTATTACAAAAACAGCGCTCTAGCACAAATCAAACTAATATCTCTAGGAATGTAACCTAAAGAAAGTCTGAAAGACTGAAAGTCTCGCCTTAAAATTGCCCACTATTTAAGTAAATAAGGCTGACTGGGTAATAAATTAAAAGATGACCTACAAAATATGCTAATAAACTGAAAGAAAAAAGCCTATAAACAAGTAATAATATTTTTTTTTAGGACCACTGACTAAAAACCTAAAGGTATAGTTCACCCAGAAATGTACAATGTCTTTTGTACATTTTGATGTAATATATTGCATACAAAAATGAAACATATCTTCTTACTAGTCTAAAAAAAAGAATCTACGTTTGGGTTTGGAATGAAATGAGGACATTTCTGTCATCAGTTACTCACCCTCATGTCAATCCAAACCCAAAAGTAGATTCTTTTTTTTAGACTAGTAAGAAGATTTTTGTACGTAATATTTCACATCAAAATGTACAAAGACATTGTAAAAATATTCCAGTTGAATAGAGTGTTTTAATCCAAACCTTCTGAAAAGACATGATCACTTTATATGATAAAAAGATTTATTTTAACCTTTTATTCACACCAGTAAGCAATAAGAGAGATAATCAAACATGTTTGCTTGACATGCAAGAACAAATCTCATTGGTTCTTGTGGAAGCTCAAATGCGATTGCGTCGCATGCAAGAACAAACCTCATTTGTTCCTGTACGTCAAGCAAGTGGTGCATGTACTTTAGCCCTCGTATCTCAAGGTAATTTTTAGTGGATATATGCATTACAAAGCATGGACTGTACCCGTCGCCTCTCTCTCAGAACAGCCGCCTCTGCAGGATGGTTGAACCTAAACTTATGGAGTCCTCCTAAGGTAATCACTGCACCTTAAGGGAAATAGAGATACACAATAATACATAAGGATAATCAAAATATGTCATGTAAACACATTATTGAAGGGTTGTTTTCTGCACATTGCATTTACCTTGTGCAAGTCTGCAGGGCTCCGTGATTTCTTTGTCATTGACCATGCAGATGTTCCCGGAGACAGGCTTCAAAGTCACCACCCCGCTCTTATTTCCGATCTCGCAGGAGGAACCTTCTGGCAAGACTGAGGGTTTGAGGAGCAATTTAATCACTGCTGTCCACTTCAAATTATCATATTGCCATTCAGATCATCACACATATCAACATTTTGCGATGTGGCAAAATATACGCATATATCGTCAGTTTTCATAATGTGTGTTCATAAAGACGTTTAATGCCCCAGACAAAATTGTAATCCGATTTAGCCACTTGTTAGCAACCACCTTTTAAAGATGGGTAAAAGCTTTTGGGTAGTACTGATGTATTTTATGTCTAAGAATAAAACATACAAATATTTTGAGTTTGTGTTAAGGCATTTATTTCAGGCATTTAACCAAAAACCCCATTAAAAAACCTGTTGATTTCATGACAAAGAAACCGGAAGATCTAAAATATGATCTTTTTAGAAGTCACAGGTTTTGTCCAACAAAATTGCATCATCCCTGCAGAACTCCATTTAGCACTGTAAGTACCAGACGTAAACGGATCATAGTACTTAAAGATGTTGAGATGAATATGAGATACCTATGTGAGGCTCTTCCAGATTGTCGCCCTGAGGTCCAATTCGTGTCACCCCTTCCTATAGCACCAAAATGAAACAAACATTACAAGAAGTCAGAGTGAGCATTTAGTGCATGGCCAGAATGAAACCTTTTCTTCTTCCATTTCATAGTTTTTGTTTCTTTCACACCTCCAAGCCTAGCCTAGGATTTGTCTACTGTTTATAAAGGATAAAAAGCCTGCTTATATAAGCCTGTTTCCAAGGGCGCACAATCATTCCCAGGTGGTTTTAACTTTTAAAGCAAGGAAACTGCTGAAATTGCTGTCTTGAGATTTTTTACAGGCTACAGGACTAACCTCTTCACACAGATTTACATACAGCACACCACTGAGTAACTCACTAAAATGTTCCAGCACAAATCACACTATAAAGTATGAAAGAAGGAAAGTGAAAAGGAGAGGGTGAATATCTGGACCACATGACCATAGCTCTGGGCTGCTTTACCTTCCTGTGAGAAGAATCTCTAGAGTTTTGCACACAGAACAAGAAAAGAAAAGACAGAAGAGAAGAGAAATAAAGGTGTAGGGAGAATCTATTGGAGGGAAAAGAGAAAGAATCATTGGTTAATGACCCGAAAGAGCAAAGGATTTTGTAGAGCAAAGACTAGCTGAAGGCAATATGGATGTGCCAGGAAAAAGCAATGTATAAGTAGCTGAATAATTCTACCCGAAGGTGGTAGATAGTGACGCCTGTGCTGAGGACGTCTGGCTCTAGAGCGATGAGGTGGGGCAGAAGCGAGCGGATAAGAACCCCTGCTCTGTCCTGGTTAATGTCCACACTGTAGCGCTCCAACAGAGCTCGCTTATCACGCCAACTGTCGGACCAGTCTTTAGTCAGCTGCTCCACCTGCAGAGGAAACATGAGCGACTGTGAAAAAAAGCCAGTGAAAAGACAACTGGAAAACACACACACAAAAACGACTAAAGTGAATCAGCCTAGGAACACAGTAACATGAGAAGTGTTACAGTACAATACTGTTCAAAAGTCTGGGGTCAGATTTTAGTTTTTAGTTAAGAAATAAATACCTTTAAATAAAAAGACTTTTATAATGTTACAAAATATGTCTCTTTCAAATAAATGCTGTTCTTTTGAAATTTCTTTTCATCATAGAATCCTGAAAACTATATTCCACACAAATATTAACTGTTTTCAACCTTGATAATTATAAGAAATGTTTCTTGAGCAGCAAATCATCATGAAGGTTTGGATCATGTGACACTGAAGACTGGAGTAATGATGCTGAAAACTTAGCTTTGTCATCACATGAATAAATAATGGTACATTTTAAAATTTGTAAATAAAATTTAAATTTAAATTTTTCAGTGTAAGTGTATATTGTGGTGATAATAGTGTTTTCTTTTTATAGGCTATTCTAGAAAATAACCTTCCTTCAGAAATAGTGAGCAAGATCAACTTGGTGGACCTGGCTGGCAGGTTAGTGTCTTTATAATATTTCACAATACTACTCTTTGTAATGTATTTTCTCTTATAGTAATTATAAGGAAACGGTCACATTGCAAGATATAAAGTTGCAATTACATGAAGTAAAGTCCCGATAAAATGCAGCCTTGGTGAGCATAAGAAACTTCAAAAACATTTAAAAATCTCAAACTTTTTGAACAGTAGTGCACATAAAAAGAGTTCAAGAGCGAGCTCAAAATTAACACAGACTCCAGCGTTTCAAGGCCGTGAACTAACCTTCAGTTCATTCTGTAGGACTATATCAGACAAGCTACCTTCTCTCTCATCACTGAGAGATGGACTGGGGTTCCTCTGCTGTGGAAGGAAAAAACAATTAGCAGTCAGCAACTTTTACGTCTTATACGAGTATGGAAATCATTGGCATTGTGACACCATATCCTAACCAGGCACCTGACAAGTGTCCATTCCTAAGCAGCAGCAAAGCGCACAGGACAAGAAGACTGGTTTCTGTTATTGTTGATGTGAAATTTGGACAGTGAAATCTCATATGTCCAAATTCTCACTCCATATGGTTAATTAGTAAACCTCAAATATGTTCTAAATGACTTGACAGGTCGGCCTTTTTTTAAAGAAGACACTACATATTCATTTTGTAAAAAATCAAAGCTGTACTGTATGTCTGTTTGTAACCAAATTGTATTCCAAAACTGAAGTTGATGTCACACAAATTGAGCCCCCTCAACAAGTTTCATGAAAATGTAATGTCCAATTTTAAAACAGGATGAATTTTCAGCGTTTATGCATTCAAAAGATATCAATGATGATTACTAAAATATGTAGACAATGAAAAGGTCAGGACACTGACACGTTCTAATACCATTGCAAAGTTGAGCAGCATGCTCTTCAGACGATCAATTTCCTCTCGCAGTTCCCTGATCAACCTCACATTGGCGTCCTGAGGTAAAACAAGTTTTTTTTTTTAGTTTCCTTAACTTGTTAAGACATGAAAAACATGTTCTGCAGACATTTTGAATGCATTTGGACAAACCTCATTGACTCTTGGCTTGTTGACGATGTTCCTGGCATGAGCTGCATAGCGGAGGGTGCTCAGAGTCTCGTTGTAGCTGCTGCTGGATGGCGAGACAGCTAGCGGAAAACCAATCTCAGAATCAGTTCCTCTAGCGCTGCAACAAATACCAAACAATTCACCACTCTGAAAGACTCACTTGCAACCATGATGGTTTTGGAGTTGCCACCCAGACTGTCTTTGAGAAGCCAGGTGAGGACAGAGTCCCTGTAGGGAATGAAGCAGTGCCTGCGCCCGCTGCCCGACAGAGAGCTGGACTGGCTGCCCACGGTGCTCCCTTCACCCTCACTGAGCACACTGTTAATGCTCTGACTGCTGCTGAACATCTGAGAGTTTTGGGCTAGAAAAACAAAGTGAAATGTGATGACAAAGAAGATAAGAAAAGGATGATAAGTGTAGAGAAGGCCAGGGCCTACCAAGAGCGGAGATGACAATGCCAAGGGTGACAAGAGATTTGTTGATGTTGGCTCCTTCTGTTATTCTGTCTCTGCAGTATTGAGGGTCTGCTCGTTCACTGACAGCACAAAGAGGGTTAGAGTCAGTGCTTGCACTTGCATTCCAGAGATCACCCACTAGGGGGCAACTTGGTCATATATCACGGTTCTCCATCATGTTCAGTAAAAGGCACATTTTAGATTAAGGGTGTCCAATCCTGCTCCTGGTTATTCCACTGTCCCACCCCACTTAAACACACCTGAACCAGATATTTAAGGTCTTACGGGGCATACTAGAAACTTTCAAGCAGTTGTGTTGAGGCAAGTTTGAGCTAAACTCTGTAGGATAGTGGCCCTCCAGGACTGTGTTTTTGGACATCCTTGATCAAGATGTTGACTTTACAGGATCTATACTGCCTGAAAGGAATGATTGTTTAAAGTTAAAAAAAAAGACACTAACCTGCCAGCCAAGTCCACCAAGTTGATCTTGCTCACTATTTCTGAAGGAAGGTTATTTTCTAGAATAGCCTATAAAGAGAAAACACTATTCTCACTACAATATACACTTACACTGGAAAAGAAAATGGGTACAGAAACAATTTTCACTCAGAAATTGAATTAAACATGAAATTAAGTAGAAAAAACTAAAATACAGTATTTTTTTTATTTTCATAAAAAAATTCTCCAGTAATTTATTGTTTTTAAAAATTTTTTTTTTTTTACTGCATTCAAAAGTTAGGTAAGATATTTTATGTTTTTGAAAGGAGTCTCTTGTCCTCAGCAAGGCTGCATTTATTTGATCAAACTACACGAAAAACTACTGTGAAATATTATTAAAATATAAAATAACTATTTTCTTTTTAAATGTATTGTAAAACGTAAATATATTTCTGTAATGCAAAGCTGAATTTTCAGCATCATTACTCCAGTGTCACATGAGTGCCTTCACAAATCATTTTAATATGCTGATTTGGTGCAAAAAAACAGTTCTTATTATTATTATTAATGTTGTACTATTTAATATTCTTGTGGAAACTGTGATACATTTTTTCAGGATTCTTTGCAGATGAATAGAAAGTTTAACTCTTTTCAATTCTATGTTCAATTTCCATCAGGACCAGAAATGTTTTGATCAATGTAATGAGTCCTTGCTGTATAAAAGTATTGTATTGTAGAATGATAATGTAGAGGTAATTTAATTATATGTTTTCACACATAGATGATGAAGCAAGAAAATATCCAGTGTGACTTGCAGCGATTTAGAGCTTTAAGGTGCTTTAACCAGTCATACAACAACAATAGTGTAATGCAATTTGCTTTTTAAAAAAAGATCTTCAGATGCTATGGACATGATCAAAGATTCAAACCTGTGTGTATTGAATAGTAAAGATGGCATGAGATCGACTACTAGCGTCATGAACGTGTGTAGCGGCTGTGATGCGGTTAGCGATGCCCTCCTCAAGCAGATCCACTGCTTGCTTGTAGTCAGTCACTACATGCTGAGAAAGACCTATGATAAACACATAATAGCATCATCATCATCATCATCCTTTCCACAATTTGAGTCACAGACACTCTCTTCCTGCCTGAGAATGACACTCAGATTACTGTAAAAGGAACAAAATCTGGAAGAGAATGCTGCTGAATCCTCTTTTAATATAAAGTGGACCGTGGTGCTAAAACATTTACTAATTGTTCTTTTTACGGTGTAAATGGGTATGAGTTTAGCCTCAGTTCATATGTACATGTGCGTACAGTGACCACAACTTTTCAAGCAAAACATTTACATTGTACTTTCATTTGTTATTTTTAAATTGTAATATATGTTTAATATATTCATATTATAATATAGTTCTGGTCAGAAATTAGCAAAACAGTTCAAAATAATTGAAAAAAAAACAACAACAAAAAAACAGAACAGTATGAGAAAAGGTATATATTTTTATATTTAATGCTAGGATTTAATTCAACCTTTTCAAGTATCCATTATGTCCAAATACTTTTTGGAGTTACTTGTGTTTACATGTTTGAAAAAGACATCTGGTCAATACACAATGCCTTTCTACTCCGCTTCTAGCGGCCACATGGACGTGAGGTCACTTCCTTTGCTGCACTGGGCTTTCTCCTAATACACACAATGACTGGATGTTGGACAAGAAGGAAGAGAGAGAGAGAGAGAGCAAAAAAAAAGAGGAGAAGCAGAGACAGTCCTACAAGTTGGCTACTCTCAACACAAGTTGCGGTGGGAACTGAGGACCTGGTTCACTTAGTATTCACACCGTCATTTTAAGACTGAACCTAAAGAAACAAAAAATATATAATATATTTATATTTTGTGACGGATCATTTTGACCAGCTGAGAACTCAAGAAAAGTTTATAAAATGTGTAAAGGAGTCAAAACAGCTGCAGGAATTCCTCCGTAGCACACAAATAAAAGTGTTTCTGAACTGTGATGGGCAACATCATGAGATTTGTGACCATGATGAGAAAAAACAGGTATGCTTCAGCATTCTGTCCTTTTAGGGACCCCATTACATCCTGTTTTGGTTAGTTTAGATATCATTGGTCTGTGTTGCATTCATATTTCGGTTGAACCGAACCAGGGATTGTTCGGACCCATCTTTTCAGCATCTCAGCCCGCTTGTTTGGTACGCACCAGTTTTTGGATGCCAGCATTCACACTTATGTACATAAAACGCCATGACAGAGCAATCGAGTTCATTTTAATCAAACCAAACCTGCCAAGTGTGAACATACCCTAAATTACAAATGCAAACAGTCAGGTTCGAATAACTTATGTACAGAATTGCTACTTTAATAAAAATACACAACCATTCATTAAACGTTATAACATAGTGAGCACTTTCCTTGTGTTTTTATAAGCGTAGGTTACAAGAGAGATTTTCACCTTGTTTGAGGGGATTCACCAGACTTTACCAGTTTTGTTTTTTCGACAACAAATCAGCCGAAATATAAAGTTAGCCGTCTGAACACTCACCCTGCACGTAGGGCCCCTTCTCTGGGTGTTCTCGAACCCTCAGGGGTGCCGGCTTCTTCTGCTCCGCACCTCTCAGCAGATCGCGGACACGCTCATTATAAATCTCTAAAAAACTGAGAGGGAAAACATAAGGTTGTGATTTGCTTTCTCTTACAGGCATTTTCCCTCATTCTCAGCATATGTTTGTTGGTACTGTTGCGAAATTGTCAAAGGAAAAGAAACCGAGGGTTTTCCTCTCACCTTATTTCAACTCTACAACTCTGTCCATCAGATGATTCAACTTCAGACCTAAAAAGACCCTTAATAAACGATAAAAAAGGATTGTTCTATAAGAAAAACATTCAAAGATAACTCCATGGATAATATAAAGTGGCAGTACTAGTAAATATATTGTATGTCATTATTAAATTGATATTCCACCCAATATACTGTAAATGAAAATGCTGTCCTCATTTACTCACCCTTATGTCATTCAAACTTCATTCATCTTCAGAATACAAATGCAGATATATTTATTTAAAACTGAGAATTTTTCATTCCTCCACTGAAAGTCTACAAAAGAAAAAATTGAGGCTTCAAAAAATTCAAAAAGACATCATAAAAGTAATCCATATGGATTAAAGTGGTTTAATCCAATTCTTCTGTATACATTACAATTGTTTTTATGATCATTGTTCAACACACATAGAGCACATCAAATATGGTTAACCGAAGCAAGCTCATTTGAGCTTCCATTTTCTATTTAAAAAGTTGATTACTTCAAAAGACATGCTTAAAACAAGTGGATTTATATGTATTACTTTTCCAATGTCTTCTTATCAACTTTTTGAAGTATCAACTTTGGATGCATTGACTTTCAATGGAGGGACAGAAATATATTCAACTGTATTTTGAAGATGAAAGAAATTAGGGCTTAGATTAAGCTAGGATTAGGCCTTAATTAATTAAATTAGGACATTTAATTAACTTTTTTAAAAGTCCCTAAGAAAAAACATTAATGTTGTGTATCTTACTTGACAGATCCTTGGTGTCAGCCCAATGGAGTCCTGCAAAGATGAAGACGACATAATATTTAGGTTGAAATAAAGCTTCATCAATGAATTTATCTCATGCTAGTGCTGTTCCTCACCGGAGTACCCATCATGGTGTACGTTTTCCCTGAGCCCGTCTGTCCGTACGCAAACAGACACACGTTATACCCCTCTGAAGCCCCAGACAGGACACACACACCCAGGTCCTGAAACACCTAGAGGAGACGGCACACTTTTTAGACCAATTTTGTTAGGTTAGTGCAAAACCTGCCTGGATCTCAAGGTGTTGAAATTCTTGCTCTGTATACTTTGAATGAGTTTGTTGAGAGAGCGTTATTGTTGATCCATGTTTGTTTGAGAGAGAGAGCCAACCTGGTCTTTGAAATTACCTGCGTATGTTTGTGTATGTTTAGAGCGAAGAGAATGTGCTGTATCTGTGTTTGCTTGAGACCCTCAGAGTGTGTGGAGAGCTGTAAGGAGAGGAGAAATGAAAACACAGAGACCTACTCCTCTCTCACCAGCCCCACTTGGACTGCTTTGTCTATTTTCCTCTTTCTCTTCCTTCAGTTTGTTTTTCTTCAGAATTCATTGAACTCCTGTGTCTAAACGAAATCTCCTTGACAGCATGTTGTCCATCTCAGCACTACGCTGGCATTACCGTTTATGTTACACTTCATAAGACACTTACACATGCCAGTCTGACATGTTCAAAAAGCACACCATATCAACAACCCCCATTATGTATAATAGTAGTAATTTAAGAGGCATTGTACACTGTTAAACTGCCATTTTAACAGAAAAACTTAATTAATACTAATTAATTTAAAATGAATTCAGCCCTTTTTATGCTACTAAAATCTGTTTTGTACATCCACACAGTAGTTATATTTCCATCCAAAGTTCTGAATTTAACTTGTGTGCAAAATTGTAATATCGCACAAAACATTTGAGCACCATCCAGTGAGCAGAAAAGAACAAAATCACCACTTCCTGAATAACTGGCGCTAAATATCACTAAGAAAAGTAGGAGATGCCACTGTATATAATCATTTTTGTATTTAATAAATTACTTGCGTCTCGGAGCGCGCAGACGAAAACGATTATCTATCTATCTCGCTTTCGGAAGCAGATGCTGCTGTTTGGGAATGTATTCTGTAAGAGAGTTATGGGGGGGAATTATACCGAACCACTTTTTGATGACAGACTTCACTCAGTTATTTCGAAACAACCAAAACAGCATTTCAGATGCTGTGCAACGAGATCGGTCCACTGGTTAGTCCAGATTTTTTTATCCGCATCAAGGAATTTATTTGGTAAATGTGTTTCATAGCTCATGCACGTTTTCTTATTGGATAAAACATTTATCCGCATACATTTTTTATGTATTTTTTTTTATTTATTTATGTGCATCTTGGTGTTTTCATCCAGCAGTTTTTGATGCAATATCCCAAAGTGTGCATAAAAATAGTGGATGGAAACATAATTAGTGTCGTATGGAAAACACCATCATGGTCACAGAAATGACAGTAAAATAACACAATAAATATTAATTAAAAAACATAAGATGTAACATAAAACCCTAAAGTATATAGCCTAACTGATAACAATAAATGAAGAAAAATCATAAAAAATTGGAAATTCAGGGAATATCAGTTTACGGGTTTCACTGTAAATTATAAGTTGATTTACTCTTTTTTTCCTTCAAAAAAATAAATAAAAATGGAAAATATAAGTTTTTTTACTGTAAAAATATTTGAAATGTAAGGTTAGATTTATTACAATTTTGCCCCTTTATAATAAAGGAACTTACTGTTAACCAAGTAAGAGATTTCATTTGTTTTAGTCATTTACAGTTAAAATTACACAGTAGGCCTCAAAGTGAAAGCATGCACACACTGTAATAATATTTATCAGCGAACACATGAGAAACAAAGCTAAATCTGAAGCTATTTAACTGTCCAGTATTTACTCAGTAATAGCACTGTAATGTGCTCTTTAAACAGCCAACTAACAAAGGTGTTTTTCATACACCATGAACTTTCAAAAGAATTACAAAACTAAACACATAAAATACATAATTCTTTGTGTACAACCGGTGTGGGAGAGAGAAAGTCATTTGACCTTCATGTCCACTGAAAACCCAGTGAGTCAACAAAACAAGAGACTCTCTCAGGGTATTGTAACCCAGGTATGTGTTTGGCAGAGATGAGAAGAGTCCTGGGGCCAGGCCGGGCTCTGTGTAGGGTGTGAATGAAGGCTAATTGGGATGCTGTCTGCAGGGAGGGTGGATCAGCATCCAGCAGCCGCTTCTGTCCGACTTACTCTAATTATCCTGAGGACCATTCTTCAGCTTGAAAGAATCAGTGAGGGAGCTTGTTAGACAAGTCCATCTTAACTCGCTCTCTACTGAACTCAGCTCATGTTAGATGCTTTTCAATGTCACAGCACTCTCTTTTTAATTCGCTCTCCCTGTCACTACTGGACTTCAGCCAAAAGCACTCTCAAGTCTCAAGCCAATTTTTAAACAGCATTATATTAGCGTTTATGGTGACATATGGCATGGGCTGTGTTCGAAATCGCCCCTACATTATATATACGATATAATATAGTCGGACTGCCGCTCTTTCATCGTTTGGTTGTTTTTTAATAATCATTTGAAACCTCCAGTAGTAATGAAAAGATAGTGACACACGTTACTATGTAGTATTAACAGTATGTTATGTATAATTACAAGTAACTAACCCTAAACCAAAACATAACTCTAACCATAAATCTATAGAAATTACATGTAGTTAATAATTAATATTACTCAGTATTTATTTGAGAAAGTACAGTGTAACTACGTCACCATAAAAGTGTAACCCATTTTTTTTTTGGACACTGTCACGGAAAATAGCATGTATAAATCTTACAATGCGGGAATTCGTTCGCCGTGACCCTCGCAGAGAATTATGGGTATTCTCTAGACGTTGAGTGCACATCGGTTGTACACATTATTGGGGTGTATTATGGGATTTTAAGTGCATCCGATAACATCCACTATGCATTCGGATATTACTACAGTACAAATGCCTGTACCCTAAAATAGTGCCTTATTTAAGGGTATATGGGCCATTGAAAACACAGATGTAATTTGTCTGACTACACTAAAAGTAAAAATTGCTCACTTGTGCTCCTAATTTAAAAACAATTCAAATGTCAAAAATGTAAGTGTAGATTCTTTAGAGATGGTCCCACAATATAACATGCACAAATAGGCATGAGGAAATGGAGATACATAAATTCAGAAACATAATGTGTCTTGACAAAGAAGTTCACTTTGACAAACCAAACGTAATATTTTCAGTTTATTTGATAGACTGCAAAAAAGGCAGCTCATTTAACTGGTTTCACTGTGTAAACATTAATCCACAAAAAACACAATGGCAATTGATATTGTTAAAATGAGTAAAGAAATGTACTACTTCATTAGTAGTACTATGTCAAAGAAAAACAGTATTAATGATGATCATAATAATAATAATACTTAAAGACTTTCACCAAAATAGAATTAAATCCCCCTCTAAGATTATGTGTGCAATTATGAATGAGCGCATGTGCACAGACACAGGAAACCTTGGACAAAAGCATCTGATGTTTGCTTTCCTCCTTTTTCCTTCTCATACCACAAACAAAAATAAATGTACTTCTGGTCACAATGCTAGAGGAAAGCTGAATTTAGAGTTGATCCTGGACAGGAAGTTGTCCAGAAGGTCAGTGCTTTAGGCAACATGTGATCCCAAAGACCCCTTTGAGGAGATGCTCAGTCTGGGAGGGGCAAATCCAAAAGTGGGGCAGTGGAAAGGAAGTGTCAGGCGGTCTTAATTGTGGGTGATCACGTATTTCAATAACAAACAACACAATCATGGGTTCAGTCTTGGCTTCTCAGTGAAAGAATTTAAAGGCCTTGGTCAAAGACTGTAAAAAGGAGGCTAAAGCAGGATGCTTTAGGATGAATAATACACGCAGAAAAGAAGGATGGATATGAAAGGTTGAAGGGAAACTCCACTCCATTAAAAAGCTGTTCGTAATACACCCACTTTTAAAATCCTACGGCCTGTAATCAGAGTGTGGAGCGCTACAGTAAGGAGAGGCTCTTTAATGTGGCTTTCTTAAAAGCCACCTCTCAAAAACTGCTTGTTTCTTGTGATATCTCATGGGAGTGCCAACTGAAACCCATCCAAGGAAAGGGCCGTCCCAGACCACAGACCAATACGTCAGTCCCGCTTTTATACAGAGCACTGAAACACATGGTTTACATTGAAGGGATTTCCTTCACATGAGCTTTGCCATCACATGAATAAATTCGATTTATTCGGATAGAAAACAATTTAAAATATTATAAGAAATATTTCACAATATTTCTGTTTTACTGTATTTTTGATCAAATAAATGCAGCCTTGGTATGCATAAGAGGTTTCTTTTTTTAAACATTTAAAACTGTACTTAACTTTTGAACGGTATATATTGAATGCAATGTATAAGTCATAAATATTACAAATGTAAAACACAAAATCATCACTCCAAAAAAACAAATGCGAGATGAAAGAGAGCGCTGACCACAACTGTAAATGTAGACTGTTATTTTATGGGAAAAGAACAACTGCTAAACATCTTTTTTTGTGTTCCATGCAAAAGAGAAAGTCATTTTTGTCACTTATGTTATTGTTGCTGACATAGAAAATCAAAATGTTGTATTCACAAACCTAGGAATAACAACAACTAGACTTGTTCTCACTGAGATATTTCATGTAATGACTGTGAGATCCTGTTTATAGCTGCATGCGACTGTAGGGAAAGCTGGGTTAAATGGGTGGTGGAGGGGACTGTGGGAGAGAGAGAGTCACAGAGCTGATTGGCAGGGGTTCAACTCTCTACACGATTGTCATACTTTCACAGACATTATGTGGGTCAAATTTGCAAGGGGAGGGAAGGAGGTCAAGGGATTCTGAGGGCTACACAGAGACGGCCTACAGAAAGAGCTAAAGAATGAGAGAGAGAGACTGGACTTGAGTTTCCAAGACACCAACTGTTGATGCAATTAGCCGATGGAGCAAAAACTAAACTAAAGGATTGAAGAAAAAGAAAAAGAAAGTTTTTCTACTCCCATTCAAATAAAGGTTCTTCCCATCGCAGCTGTTCTTATGAGGGTAAATGACTTCCACAGCCAGCCGTGTGATTTAAAGTCCATGCTACAGTTATGGAGAGGTACATACAAAAAGCTTTCCGTCTGTAAAATGTTTTAGGTTTTTAAAAAGAATTCTCTTATGCTCACCAAGGCTGCATTTATTTAGTCAAAAACACAGTAAAAAAACAGTAATATTGTGAAATATTATAATAATAATTTAAATTGTTTTCTATCCGAATAATATTTTAAAATGTGATTGCAAAGCTGAATTTTCATCATCATTACTCCAGTCTTCAGGGTCACATGATCCTTCAGAAATCATTCTGATATGCTGATTTGATGCTTAAGAAACATTTCTACTTATTAATGTTGAACAAACAGTTACTATTTTTTCAGGATATATTAATCAATAAAAAAGTTCAAAAGAACACCATTTATTTGAAAGAAATCTTTTGTAACATTGTAAATGCGTTAAATGTCCCTTTTAACTCAATTTCATGCATCCTTGCTGAATAAAAGTATAATCAAAGAATTTCTTTGTAAAGAAACATGTTCATTTGTGCGTCACTGAAAAAAATAGATATGTGGTAAGTCTACGTGTGTAAAGATGTTTTGTGCAAATTTTGTTCATGCCACTCACACAGAAACGCAGAAATACCAAGAGCATAATAAAGTCGTGCACTGTATCGAAAAGGAAAAGATGGAGGGGAGAGAGAGTGATAAAAAGAGAGGGTAAAAAAAAAAAAAAAAAAAAAAAAAAAAAAACCACACACACAAAGCTGACTTCACTTGGAAAAGAAAACCAGCATTGTGCTCCAGGCTCCAGCTCTGGACCAATGACGTCTTCTAGTGCAATCTGTGTGTAAAATCATTTACTAAAGCAGCTGTGCTGTTGGCGAGAGAGGCGCTTTAGTTAAAGTGCGCTTCACCTTTGTCTACTTTACACTTTTATAATTTGTTTATGTCTATGTCATCTCAATCCTCTCTAATAAAATCATTAATTGAAGCTTTGAATTATTTGAAAATCATTATTTGAAGAAAATTAACCTGAGAAAATAGAATAGATTTAAAGGGCACATTATGGAAATTTTTTTTTTTAAATTATTATTACTCTTTACTTCTTGTCTGGACACTTTTTGACTGTCTGCATGAAACAGAAATATACCCTGTGTATTTATAAATGCATATTATTGATCTTATTGTGATCTTAATGTTGGATTCAGATCTGTCTCCATCCAGTCAACAACTGATGAACTGAACTAAGTCCTCTACATTTTTTCCTGATAATCACAATTTGAAAATTCCATTTCCTAATGGATGAATTTCCATGATCTTGCAGTCATTTGTGATTACTGGATTTTTAAAAGCGTTTCAAGAGTGATTCATTAATGAATCATTCAGACTGATTTGTGAATCTGTTCAACTGACTTGAGAACCAACTCAAAAGAATGATTCACTCACAAATGATTATGTTTGTGATGTTACAAAAGTGTGGGTTATACTCCAAAGCTTTAAAGAGGGTTAAGATGCTGTTTAATCCAGCACCCAGTAATGAATTCAGGATGTGATGAAACCTTTCTCTCACAACAGCTGGCTTCCATTTCTCATCTTTATCTACTGTACGTATTCTGCTCCAAGGCCCGATCCTCTTCTCTGTCCTCCTCTCAGCCCATTTTCTCTTCACACATGGAAATATACAGATAATGCTCCACTAAAGACAACCACCAATCTTTTAGCCACTAAAACAAACACATAGGCAGATAGGCTAGTATATTCCCACATACAAGGGAGCAGGGAGGGGCAACTGGATCCTAAAGGGAAGAAATAGGGGAGAAGTCGGAGAGAAGGAGCGGGGCTGGTTTCCCCTCCACTGAGGCGTCTCTGGAGACCCCACAGGAAGGACAGACTCCAGTATCATTGTGTTGCTTGCAGCCTTAGAGAACAGCACTTCACGGAAAGTTCCAATTAAAGAGTAACGTGAGACTTCATGAGACTCTTTTAAACTAAATTAGACGGAATAATTCAGATGTCAGCAATGTGTGCAATTTGAAATGAAGACGGCATTTACAGACTAAGTGAATATTTAAATATTAATAAAAAAAAGTAGTGAACAGAGGAATGCATTTATACTGGCTGTGATGTGGTCAGACTTACCCTTGGAAAGATTTACATGCTAACCAAATTTTCATTCAAAATCCTTCATTTATTGTCAGTTTATTGTTACTGTAGTAAAACTGTGGTAACTTGGCATAAGCTCTTAACTTGATTAAGAAATTAAAGTCTGCATGAAATGAGAGTTGGCTTTAGAGACGCTCTGAAGGGAGGGTGGGATCTTATGCTTTCAAAGCTAGCTCGGTATTGTTAGCCTCTCCAAAAAAGTGTTCACAGCACGATGGAAGCTCACAGACTGTGAGATGATCACTGAGCACACATGATGATGAGATTGTCTGGAATTTCTTGTTTTATTACTTTTTTTTTTACTTTGCTTCAGATGGACACCCTCCCACAGGACTCCAAAAAGAGGTCAGCTTCTCTCTTCCTGACCAGACCCTGCAGGCCACCTAAGGAATGCAAGCTCCAGGCCTCAGCAGTAAAACTCTGACTGGGCAAAATTGAAAGAGAGGAAGCGAGTGAAGAGAAAGAAAAGAGTTGAGCAGACAAGGGCACGTGGGCCATTACAGCTCATTCTTTCATACAGAGCAGACAAAGACACTCTGAAGGGAACACCAGGGCGGGACTGAGGAGACGATTCACTCTCTCGGTCTCTCAATAGGACAAAGGAAAGATACAGTTCACTTGTTTAACAGTAAACTTGGTTAACTGTGAGTACTGTGAATATGAGATCCATGCTTGTTGTTGGTCTGAGGTTTGTAAGAACTTTTGCAGTTGTCCATTCATTTTTTGTAAAATCAATGGTATCTCATTGTTTCAATATCCCACTCCACACAGCTGTATATTAAACATCAAATATGTTTTAATACCGGTAGTCGTTCCCGATAAATGAAAATAGGGAAGCCCACACTAAAACTATAATAAGGACAGAGTGAAATGAAACGAATGAACGAATGAACAAATCTTTTCTCGTGTCATCATTCAATGAATGAAATGAACGAATTGACTCGGAAAAGGATTCGTTCATTTTGATAAACAAGTTCGAACAGGACAGTCACGAACGCGCATCACAGAACAGAACATTTGAGCTTATAAAACTTAAACTTTGTTATTTATTTTTTTAAATGAGCGATCGTTTCGCTTGATAAGACCCTTATTCATCGTCTGGAATCGTTTAAAGCCCTTTGAACAGTTTGCACTGAAACTGTCTTTTGGACCTTGAACCGTTTGGTTACCAGTAGTGCATTATATGGAGAAATGCATATAATGCATTAAGTGCATTATATGGAGAAAAATCCTGGAATGTTTTCATCAAAAAACTTAATTTCTTTTCGACTGAAGAAAGAAAGACATGGACATCTTGGTTTGCCATGGGGGTGAGTAAATTATCAGCAAACGTTTTTTTTTAAAGTGAACTACTCCTTTAAAGTTCTTGAGTAGATATCATCCATTGGGTTGGACACTAATAGTTATCATTATAATTAACTTTATAGGTATAGTTATTGGTATGAATGACCCTTTAAAAGTAAATAAAGTAAGCACATAAACACAAAAACGCAAACAAATGTTTTAAAATACTTAATAACGCAATGTACAAAGTACTATTCAATGTATTAAAATCAACTCAATTCATATGAGGTGTTGATTAGGCCCACAAAACATTTGCGTACTTGTATAGAGTATGTTTCTGTAATCGTCCAGCCAGTAGCACACCCACAAGTTAAAATGAACTAAATCTCAGATTAAGTAGGGAGGTGAAGACTCCCTTCACAGAGATGATGTAACATCTTCTAAGCAGTGTTTTGATTCTATTTCCTCATCTTTTCCTGGTGGGTCAAGACAAGAGTTTTGATTACACTTGCGCTCTTTTTTATTAGTCCTGGTTTTCATGCACTAGACCCCAACCATGACACAGGACAGTGGCGCAGAACCATGGGTGGCGCCTAAGCAATGGTACATTTTTTTTTTAATTAAAATTGAATTAACAATATATTTTGTTTTTTCTGTATGTAGTTGATGTTGTGCATTTCTAAATCATTTCTGCATTTCCTCAATGTTATATAAAATTTTAGAGGACTAACAGACTACAGTAGCCTAGGCGCCCTCATGGAGAAGGACACACATAATCTCATCAGCGTGTCATCAACATCAGCAGCACAGATGCAGTAAACAGTCGTGAAAGTGGAAGCCCACCTCCTCTTGTGATGCATAGTTGGGAGCCGCTGGATCCACAGACCAGTAGCAGTAATCAAACCCAAACTCCATCAACTTCTCCCTGGAGTCAGCCAGTCCCTCCGATCGCCCGTCCAAACGTCCCTCCAACTATATAAAGGGAAAAAAGAGTGATGAACGGGAGGTGGTTAGCAGGATAAACCAGATTTGTACATTTTCTGAAGAGCGCACACTACTGTTATGGGGTGCGTTTCCAGTACTCTGATGTAACTCGCTGCTAAACCACCATACAATGCATCATTGGAGAAACAAACTAGCTAGTAACGTCTGTTTCCCAAAACTGTAGTAATTTTGTCACACATCCAACGTTCAAACCATGTTGGTTCAACAACATATGAAGTTGATGCCATGCATTTGGTGGAGTAAACACTTCTCCCAATTATTTGGTTAGAGATTGAATTCATGTCAGAATATTGCTGTAAATAATGACTAATTCGCTATTTCTGTTTTCTGTTTTTTTGGCTTTTTCTTTACCGATTGATTCAATGTCAACACTATTAACACAGAAATGAATCTGCAGCAGTCTGGTGGCACAGTGCTTTAATGATGGGATTGTACTGCATGATAGCTTTCTTATTTTGCTCAATTATATATTTACACATTATACTGACAAGAAACGATGCTTCTAACCACAGGTCGAGAGCTGGAGTTCAGAACAACTGTGATGCTGTTTGCGAATGTTTGTTGGAACTAGTTTCGAGAAACAATGTTTCTATCAATAGAAATTGCGAACATAGCTGGCTAACGATGGTTCTGAGAAAACGCACCCCTGGGGTGCCAGTGAGGTGTTATGCAGTTTCTAGGGTTTTAAGAGTGTTTCTTATGGCGTTGCTATGCAGTTGCTAACTCTCCTCAATATGCAATGCAATTTAAGATACATGGTAAAGTGTAATACTCCGGGTTAGTGGTTTATTGAAATCCCCAAGTATGAGCAGTAGTGATATTTAACAACTTCACTAAAACACAAATCATATTACATCATATATAGTCACTGGCGCCAGTGATATCATGTTTTCTGTTAAAATGATTAAAGAAGTTTCACATACTCTTCGTTATTCAGCCAGCCAAGTTTTCTTTTATAGAGTTTTTGAATACATCAACACAGCTGATAACCATTATTTATGATTGCTTCTGATAAGTGGTGCCACAAACTACATTACAGTCCATTGAGAAAAGTGATTTTTCCATTGAAAGTCTGTTTAGTCCATTTAATCGGTTACTAGGAGACAAGCTCTTTATGTGTTGAATTTTTCTACTAATAATATTACAGCACACTGATGCCAAGGATCAAGGCTGTGTGCCTGTAGCCTACGCCTGCGATACTCTTCAGTGCACTCAAACACAACAATTAGGAAGTCGTTAGGCTGGGGGACAAATGACTTAAGCATTTGAGCATGACCTGACTGTCAGCATCAAGTTATTACGCAGATATCACATAAACCTCAGCAGTTTATTCGCCCAGTCAAACAAATCTTCACTGCACAGCGTGTGCGTTTGGAGGAGCGTGCAGAAACATGCCCGGGCATCGCTACGACAACGTTACTTTTGCGGCTCTGGTGTGTAATTATTCACAAAATTGCAATCCCGCAGCTGACTTAATGACATCACAATATGGCCCACAGCTACACTAATGAGCCCTAACACTGCACTCAGCACTGTTATATTTAGGTTCAATAATAATACACAAAATCAGATCTGATTATATGGCCATGGTCCAATAGGCCTGGTATTCTGAAACAATATGAAACATAAGTTTAATCCATGCTAACTAGCATTTTCTTCCCACAGCGGCACCGGCAGTCCGGCTGAACCATCGAAAGAGTCCTTGCGATAAATTAGACATTTTCCTTTAAAGCATGTGGTTTTAAATGTTTTAAGATTATATTTGCTTGTACTTTAACTTATTAAACTTATAATTTCCACCGGCACAATTTGTTAGTTACTGTGATTTTACTGGTATGGCTGTAATTGTATTTTGTTCATTGATGAAATGAGGTTAATATGATGGTAATTCTGTATATTTCATTAAAGTTCAGCAATGAAATGTAAAACTTGAAACCTGAATAAAGTTGTTGATGTGAACCAATAACTTGTGTTGTTTAATATATAACAGTAAAATTAAAAAATAATAATAAAAATAACTGAATAATGCTGCACTTCATTTGACAGTATGCTAATATAACTAATATAGTCTGTTTTACAGTAATTTTACTGGCTTCTATATAATGGAAGTCAGTGGTCACCAAATCTGTTTGGTTGCGACAATTTTTATTTTGAGGTCTTCAGAATGAAGAAAGTCTTATTGGTTTAAAACGACATGAGGGAGTAAATTATGACATCTATGTGCTGGTTTGGGAAACATGCACCACTTTAGTATTTAACTTTAAATATCATACTACTGTATGTTCAAGGTCTCAGAGCACGTGTTAAAAGCTACGCCATGAGTCTAACAACAGGGTTTTTTTTTTCAAGATGGTGATATAAAACCAGATCCTAACTTTTTACAGAACAATAGATGAAGATAATAATGCATCTGATGTTTCTTATTTCCTTAGACCCCTGTATTCTCATTCAAATGAGGTTCTGTCGACTGATACACTTTGGGCATTCATCAATGTGACTGCCTTGTGCCCCGGGAGCCAGGAGAGTGTGCAGCATGAACAAATAATACAATGTCAATTTGTGTGCCTCTCTAATGCGGTTTTAGTTTCTGTATGAAGTCTTCCTGTCAGCTTTCCACGCCTGTCTTTTTTTTTGTTTATGTCAGCCCATCTTTTCACTTGAAGACTGTCCTACTTTCTTTAAATAACTAGTGGAAAGCAAGTCTTTGTCTTGCTCGCGTACTCACAGCAGGTGACCAGATGTGGCTCCTGCTATGTCATTAATCCATTAATCAAGAACTGAATGCAAGGGAGTATTTCCTGCTTCAGAAGTAAGAATGTAGGCTATGCATTAGTCTTTACATTCAGGCACACATACTTATTTAAATTCAAAATGTCTATTTTTTCTTACTAAATACACTACCATTCAAAAGTTTGTGGTCGGGAAAAAATGTCATTGAAAGAAGTCTGCTCAGCAAGATCATTTATTTGATCAGAAATACAATAAAACAGTATAATTGTGAAATTTTCTATTTAAAAATATATATAAAAAAATATTTTATGACGCAAGGCTGAAATTTCAGCATTATTACTCTAGTCTTCAGGGTCACATGATCCTTCACACATCTTTATAATATACTGATTTGTTGCTCGAGAAACATTTCTTATTATCAATGTTGAAAACAGTTGTCCCAGCAAACAAATTCAGGTTTCTGGGAACATTCCGGAAACATTAGTTTTTGATTCCCAGAACGTTCCTAGAACTACTTTCCCTTATGGTTAGGGGAATATTCCCGGAACATTCTCCTTGCGTTATAAAAATGTAACCTAAAAATAACCTACATGGAACGTTCCTATAACGTTCTTGTTTGGTTCCCAAAAAAATAACGGTAACGCTTCCTTGAAAAAAGTAAAAGGAAGGCCCACGTGCCCTGTAAAAGGAAGCGTTACCAAAATAACCTCATGGGACCATTCGGGAACATTAGGGGAACGTTCTGTGTTTGCTGGGGTGCTGCTTAATATTTTTGTGGGAACCATCTGAAACCATCAGCAAACCTTGCTGAATAAAAGTGTTTATTTCTTTAGAAAAAAGAATTATGTATACATCTTACTGACCGCAAACTTTTGAACAATAGTGTACATTTTTTTTTTAATATATTTTGGCCTGTAGTGCCTGTAGTTATCACCCATAGCAGTCCATCTTGAAAGTCATCCCACTGATCAGGTTTGGAAGCTCTTTAGTGAAGAATGAGGTGTGGATTGGAATGACATTCGAAAGTGTAAGGCAAGAGTGCTGCTTGTTTAGGCATTTGGGGTTTCCAAGATGAAAGCGTTAATTGCATGGTGCTGTTATTTGAATATGTTTATTCAGTTCATGCATAAATAAACAACGGAGTAATCCAGCAGGAAGAGAATAATTTTCACTATAAACTTCCTGTCACTGAGATACTGCAAATAGCTGAATAGCTGGGGGGGGGAGGGGGAAAATCGGTCAAAGTGTCGTCACTCACGCATAGCTTCTAGTTGTAAAAATGCCCGGAAGAAATGGGAAAACCTTTCACAGGTGAGAATGTATTGGTTTGTGTTGTTATATGTATTAACTCACTACAGGTTTTTAAACTATGGTAACTTTTTAACATTGTGTTAGCTAATGCTGTTGTCTTCTTGTAATGTGTTAAGGCCCCGATATACTCACGGCGAAGTTCTTTTACGGTCTTTGCTTGGGGTAAAAAGAAGTTTAAAAATCGTAAACAGCAAGATACTGTATCAGATATGTAGATAATCATACATGCGCCTAACAACGGTTGCGGACTCAGTCAACTCGCTCTCGGCTTTGACCAATCCAAGATGGCAGATGACTTGCGTATCGCGGCCCAAATACACAGCCGCAAATGAGGCATCTATGTATACATATCTATCTATTATTCTCATGTGTATTGCCTCTTTAAGATCACTTCATGTATTCTTCATTTGGATTAAAGGATCTGCTAAATTAATAAATGTTAATGTAAATAAATGTCAACAAGTGTGGTATTTCTGTGTTATTTAAAAGCAGGTACTTTCTGACAACATAAACTTAAGGATTTCTCTAAATCTTTCATAAATAAGGCTCAATAATAAAACATGAATTTACCTTCAAATTTCGGACCTTCACCAATTTGTCCTTCACTTGTACAGCTAACCGTCCTCCATCCAGACTCTCCCTGCAGGACAAAAACAAACAGACTAATATTTAAGACACTCTACAGAGCACTGCTAAGTAAACATTTACAATACAAGCATGTTCATCGAGGTGACCCCATACCCAAACATCACGTAATGCGATGAGATTACAGAAACCAGACGTGACAAAACCAATCAAAATCACAGCCAATCAGAAGTGCGTGTGGGCGGAGTCTCTCTGCAAACACATTACAGTTGCAATGAAATAGATAATCAAATTCATAACTATTGCACCATTTTAACATTATTAAAAATACACACTGAGTGACTGAAACAATCTTTGTTTGTTTACATTGAGTTGACAGAACATTCTTGTTTCCTTTTATTTATTTTCAAGAGGTGAATTATCCATTGTTGCTTTCAATATGGCTATAAAGGGCACGCAAAATGATATTCAAACTAACATTAGATGCTTTTAACATTAAATAAAGTGTATGGATCATTCCTGGTATTCGGTGCATTTTGGCCATCATAAAATGTAGAAAATCAAATTTAGTTAATTTAAGTTGTGTAAATTAATTGTGTAGTCATGATAGGGTGATGTAAAACATTTGAAGAATGACTTTGGTCAAACTCAGGATAATTTGATTATTCAAAAGTTTGCTGTATGTACGATTTTCTTTTTTTTTTTAAAGAAATAACACTTTTATTTAGCATGGACTGATTAAATTGATCAAGTGACAGTAAAGCCATTAAACAATGCTACAAAAATATTTCTATTTCAAATAAATGCTGTCCTTTCTACTCAAAGACTCCTGACAGAAAAATTAATCATTCCCCCCCAAGATAACAGACTTAATTTATATGTAACTTTTCTGTTTTATATTGAATGGTTTCAATGACTCCAGGTTAACATTGAGCTTTCTAAATCCCGCAGAGGCATGTTTATTTGGCTGTGATCATATCCAGGTCCATATTCAGACAGGCCAGCAGAGAGAGAGGATTCGTCTGTACAGAGAAAGTCAGTTTTAAATGAAAACAGAGCGCTGAAAACTCCTCCGTGAGACGCACAGCTGAGCTGAAGCAGGTGTGTGCGTGAGCGTGCAGGATATGTGTGTCAGTGTGTGAGAGAGCAGCGAGGACAGCTGTTCAATCTCTCCAGTATCAGGTTCCAGATAAACTGATGCAAGAGAATGAAATCCAGTGTAGGAGCATGGCTGTGTACAAACCTGAAGTCTGACAATGTGAGCAGGCTGCATCCTAAAGCTGAAGTTTGTCATTTTTCAATGTTAAAAACGTGTTTTCTTCCTATCCAGCTCAATGTGCAAATAAACTAAAAGCAAGTCACTAGTGTGGACTTTCATACTGTGAATCTGTGGCACTTTCAAAACACTGCCAACGTCAATTTCTGGCTCAGTTTGGGGTGGAACAACCTGTTTGTAGTTGATGTTTTATGGAACCACAAAAACATGAAAAGGGCTGTATATACATTGAAATCATCAAACATTAAATGAGAAACAGGATATTCTAAACACAACATAATAAATAATGGCTCAACCAGTAGAGCGTGGCGCTAGGAACACCATTTTCATCATGGGTTTGCTTCCCAGAGAACTGAAATAAAATGTACACCCGTGCATGTAATGTAAGCTGCTTTGGATAAAACTAAGCGCTTTCTAAATGCATTAAAAAAAATGTCAAAAATATTACACCGATATGAACTTTTGGCCGATACCGATAACTGCTAATTTTTTATATTTGAATGCCGATAAGCGATACATTGGCAGATGAATCTAAATCCAAATTTTAAAATACTTTGAGAGCCTGATTACAAATGCAAAAGGCTCACCGTTAAAAATCATGTCCAGACACTTCAACATAAATCATACAGGGGGAAAAATACTATGAAAGTCAATGGCTACAGTCAACTGTCTGGTTACCAACTGTGACAAAGTCCTAAGTTGATGGCAGTGTATGCCTTGTGTTTGTTTGGTTTATATTATTTCTATAAATGTTTGTCTCTCATTATTTGGTCACTTTTTTCTAGTCTGAGGTGCACATTAGACTGACAAAAAACATCAAGAGATTTATTTCTTTTATTTTGGAATTTACATAATTCATTAGTTTTAACCTCATTTGCAAAACTAACCTTCTGGGTTTATGTGTGCAGCATGGTTTCCAGGGGTGGTATAAGACGACGAGACGAGCGGCCTTCCTGTTCCTCCTTTTATGCCATCCCAAAGAATTCTGGGTAGTGTAGGCATAGTCCATTTCTCAATGGGAGCAGGGGGATATTGTTTCATGTTTTATTGTGTTTATGTTCATTATATGTAGAAATGTATCTGTTTATTATTCATATTATTTTCCTTGTATAATTAAGGTTTATCTATTCTATTTTGAATATTATTTTCATTTTCAGTGTAGTTATGTATTATGTGCATGAACATTATTTCATTACTTTCATTATAAAGGAGTGTATGTTTGTCTGTGAAAGCAGTTCTGGTGAGGGACCTCTGTGAGGAGGGTCACCTTGATGTTGTTTTTTTATTGATAGTCTTTATTTGGACTCAATAAAGAGTTCACTGACTGCAAGCAGTGTCTCCTGCCTTTGCTCTGGTCATGTCTTCACACCAACATTCTTTAAAATATCTTCTTTTGTGTTCAACAGAAGAAAGAAACTCATATAGGTTTGGAACAATTTGAGGGCATGTCAATGATGACAGTTTTCAGTTTTTTTGGTGAACTATCCCTTTAAGAAATGGACTTATCCACCGAAAGCAGGGAGCTTGTTATGAAGCGCTTACAGTAGCTTGTATATGGGTCTGTTTTACTCAGTCATTGATGAATGAAGGCCCTGTCCACAACCACAACAACCTACCTCGCCTGTCAGTGTGTGTGTGCGCATACTTCTGCCTAGAAATGTTGCATTTTATGACACAGCCTTGGATTACAAACTTGGATTTCTGAGCCATTCTCACACAATTCCTGTCATCTCCAGCAATGAGTATTAGTTTGTTTTTAGCTAAATAGCTGAATTCAAAAATAAGTTGTATTTCAAGCATTTGACAAAAGCAAAATAAGTGCACAGTCAAATATTTATTATTCACATGCTCATAAAAACCAACGGCTGCCTATTATAAGGCCATCTTCATTAGCACAATAGTGTTGGATAGCCATGAAGTTGTCCTTTGTGAAGCACGCTTCAGGGAGACTCTTTAAATGTCAAGGCTAGCAGAAACGGCCAAACACACGCACACATCTTTGTGTCTAAATCTGGGAGGAGTTTCTTTACCCCCATGTCCAGCACCCACATACTGTAGTAATTTAGCTAATGCTGGAGGGTGGGGCAGTGGGCTCTCATGGGGCAAACTCTGAGTTTGAATACCCCCCTTTTAGAAAAAGTTAAAGAAAAACACATGCTTTGGATCTTTTACTAACACAGCATGCATAAAATTTGTTCTGCAATGGTGTGAAAATGATAAAAACAAGATATTGAAGTCATACAGTACCAGATAAACTTTTGGGCGAGGGGTTTTAAGGGGATTGAATGAGATTTTGGAGATTATAGTTATTTATTATACACAAAACACATTGTTCTCAATTCAAAGCAATTTAACATGCACTGCTGATACATTATCTCCATTTATGCTCTGCTGCTTATGCAGGTTTTTAATTTTTTAATCTCTGAATTGATGCATATTAAAACGTAGTAGATGTATATACAAAGACCAAGCAATAGTTTTTGCTTTGTTTTGTTTTTTTGAATGGCAGCTTATTTGTTTAAGTTGGCTGTCAGCGCAGGCTGTCTATTCCCAGACATAGCAACAGTACAACAACTCAAGGATGTTTATGTAATTCATAGGACATCATTCAGCAGTTATTGTCATGCACTTTTACAATTCATTTAATATAAGATCCATTAAGACTGTACCTGGAGTTCAGCGGACGGACTCGGATCGCGACTTTCACGTTTGCCATTCGCTTGACACCGGGCAGAGGAGGGAAACGATGAATTGAAGTTCAGCTGTCCGTTAGAGTCCATTTATTAAATGTCTCCACAGCATAGAATTATCCCGAGCAGAGTAGTGGAACCGAATACACGTTTTTCGGGTCATGTTATTGATATCGTCTAGACAATCACAGAGCACATTATGAAGCCGTGGCCGCAGTTGAACTGCGCGAAAACTTCCTGCCGTTTGGTTTCAGGAGGAGAGATTACGAATCCTACTAATGCGAAGGCTCTGCTCATAAATATTAAAAGAGCGACGTGACGTTAGTTCAATGGTACTTCCTGATTTGCTGAACGAGTTAGCTTACTTTGCATAAGGCGTGGCTTCTACGCATTCATTATCACTCTGGGAAGGAATGTTCAGTAGGTCTTTAACATTAATGAGCTCATCCATCGCCATAGTAGGAAACTAGGGCAAGAGAAACAAAGGCGAAGTTCTCGCCTGAACGCACTCGTTAACTGCCCGTCTGTCTCTTGTTTCGAATAAAATCAATATTTTTATTCAGCAAGGAAGAATTAAATTGAACAAAAGACATTTATAAAATTATAAAATATTTCCATTTCAAATAAATGCTGTTATTCTGAATGCTGTTCAAAATTAAGCGGGACAACTGTTCAATATGGTATAATATAATAATGTTTCTTGAGCACCAAATAGAATAGAATGAATTCTGAAGCAATCACTGCATTTGACCATTAACTTCCCATGACTTTCAGTTGGAATACTGGATAAGGGAAAATTCATAATTTGAGAGACATTGCACTCACATAGCCAGCCAAGTAAATAAGCATTAAAATCCACTATAGAAATGTCCTAGATTTCTCCTTGACCTAAAGGGATAGATCACCCCCAAAAAATGAAAATAATAACGTGTCATGTATTCGCCCTCAAGTTGTTCCAAACCTGAATTAATTTTCTTCTGCTGAACCCAACAAAAAGATATTTTGAAGAATAGTTTCTGATCCCCATTGACATTTTTGTGAGACACCACCATAATATTGTTTTTATACTATGTAAGTCAATGGGTACCAACAACTGTTTGGTGACCCATATTCTTCAAAATATTTCTTTATTTCAAACAGAAGAACTTCATGCAGGTTTGGGTCAACTCGAGGGTGAGTAAATGACAAAATTGTCATTTTGGAATGAACTGTCCCTTTAATGTATTCATTTCCATGAAAGTGAACAATTGTTATGAATGTGTAAGAGGTGCAGCCCTGCATATGTACTCTAACTTTGCTATAATAAACCGTATGATAAGTTTGAACAAAAAAAGGTACTCACATGTTCACAAAATCATATTTTATTACATTATATAGGTTTAGAATTATACAGATAATAAAATTGTACAACATGAACAAAGTGCATATTTTTTCACAAATATAGACTAAGAAATGCATACAAACCAACAAGCAGAAAAAAACATTAACAAACACTTAATAATAAATAAATAGAATTTAATGACAAAGAAGCACAGTGAATGGTCGCTATATTTTACTGAGAGGCAGTATGAGTGAAAATTGGCAAAGCCCTGTTAAAATTTCCCACAAAATGTTTTGAAGATTTATAATCAATGACTGGTCTATCAACTCAGCATTTTTTGAGCAGCAAATATTTCCTTGCAACTAACAATAAATCAGATTTTAAAATATTTTTTTAAAATCATATATATTGTAGGGTTTAAACATTCTTTCTTTTGTTCAAATATGCATCACTCATTGCCTTTTCATACAATAGTGTTTGGCTGTGATTCATGTGTAGATTTGGTAATGACGACACGTGTCCTCCTAGTGGTCATTGAGAGACCTGCAGTATGTCCCTGTGGTTTGGCAGAGAAGGCACTGGGAACTGCGTGGTGGTCAGAGAGAGCTGCTGAAACTTCTCTACAGACTCCTACAACAGAAAATGAGAAAAGCCATCAGAGAGCAATTAGTGAGAACTCCAGCCTTAAAACGTCACGTTTTACTGTCTCTAAAATAATGAATGACCAGCATATGTAAGAAGCTATTACCTCTGGCCAAGATAACGCTGACAGCTTTGGCCAGTTGGTGCCCACTTCCTCCTCTCCTAAAAGACCTCTCTCTATTAGCTGTCTTATCAGGAACAGGTAGTCAGTCCTCTGTAATAAAGGATAAACCACTGTTTAACCAACACTGTTGCTGGTGTCAACTTTAACTAAACCCATTAAAAATAGTTTTCAGTAATAATTAAAGCTCAAATAAAATGGCATATAAATATTAAATGTAAACAAATTCGAAATTTAGTCTGGCAACTAACTGTAAGTTAGTACTAAAAATAAGTACTAAAATTACTAAAACTAAAATGTTAAACATAAATAAACATATATAGAAAGTTACTAAATTAAACAAGAATTAAAATGAAAACTGAAAATATATTGTAAAAAATTAAAAATATGATTAAATATTAAAATAGTATATAAATAATATTAAAATGACACTTAAATCACAAAAAATTTACAGCAATTTCCACAAACTGCACACAGGATAAGAATGTAACAGCTTGACAAAACTGCATCAACAACACAAAGGTTTGATCAGCGGTTTTACCTCACTATCTGTGGCACTAAAAATGGCAGTCAGGGTGAGTTCACTGTAGAGAAGGTGCAGAGGTGGAGAGGGACCCCGAGTCCACAGAATTAAAAACCTTTCCAGAAGAGCAGGTCTCTTGTTCCCCTCAACTGAAAACACCAGAGGAAGCTCCCCAGATACTGCACATGGAAACAAACCCAAACAGACACAATAGGGTATTAATCACTTTCAGTATTGACTTAATGTACCATTCTCAGTTTTCGATTAATTGTTCTCTCACCAAGTTTGCAGGCCAGCTGAACAGTGCAACGCAACAGCATCTGCTCGACCACAGGAGACAGGAGCTAAAAAAAAAAAAAAAAGACCCGGACACAGGACAGAATTTGTAAGAAAGGTAAACTGTTCTAAATGATGGATTAAAAACTACTAAAACCATTGAATGATGTGGATTAAAAGAAAAAGTTGAGTCAAGTTAGTACACTTGGGTAGTATGGGGGGTCTGATTACTTTTCGGCATCCAAGTGTTTGTCCCACTCTGTCCAGCAGAGACTCAATCTGATGAACAGTGAAAACCTCCTCATCAGACCTGGGTCCTACAGCCACACTCAGAACCTCCTGAAACATGGGACAAAATTATTTGAGATATTAAGCTAATTAATTGGACAAGTTTCATGATACTGCCGATCAATAATTCCATTATATTTTAATTAACAATTACAACACTTCTGATGGCCTTGTCCAAGAATAAAGAAACATTTTATTGTTTAGCAAGCTGCAACTTGCAAGTTGACTATTGGTGTGAATAATATGTTTGATTTCAGCAATTTTGTGGATGTCTAATTTCTCACTCAAATTCTCTCTCAAATTGTTTTCAATCACCCTTCTCAATGAATCCATTGAAAAAAAATATTGTATTACCAATTTCCAATAATCACCTTAACTTCAATGATGACTTCTGATCCAAGTGGAACCTTATGGTTGCAGTCTGAAACACATAAGGACCCAGCACTGAGCCCTGAGGCACTCCTCTGGACCTGTTGACTCTTGCTTGATCCCTCACCCTCTTCAGCATCCAAACTGAAGGTCGAGGGCACACTCTTAATCACTCTCTCAAACGCACTCTTCCACTCTCGCTTTAGAAGTGCTAAGGGAGACATTCATTCAGGAATATTTAAGATCCCCAATATTCAAAAAAGGCTACAAAATATGTAACAAGTCTAAATGGAGAATTTGTCATTTTAAAATGAGAATAAAATTAGGCTTCAGTACTTGTGATGTTGGAGGACAGCCAGCTGCAAGCCTTTTCTGTAGCCAAACGAGTGGTGATGCTCTCAGCTGTGGTCAGGACCTAAACCACACCACACACAAAAAAGGGGGAAGAATCATGTCTCTAAATCTCTGATTTTTTTCTAAAATTAACCACAAAATGAGATGACAAACGAGAATCACTGCACATTTCCACCCAAAAACTCTTTTTCTACAGAGTATTAAGTGGATTGAATTAATGAAGAGTGACTGTTTAACTCACAGAAGGAGAGGTCTCCAGAGGAAGAAGAACTCGGACAGCTCCAGGGGCATTCTCACTGCAGAACCTATCATGGGAGATGTGACTAGTCCAAAACATGCCGTACAACATGATGTATTTGTAATGAGAGAAGAGAGCTGCTAACCTGGTGGCTCTCTCCAGAGTCTGCATGCTGGCGTCACACAGCTGTGCACAGATAGAATCGTTTAGTTTGGCCGTGTTGACACCCTCCAAACCCAAACTATCTCTGAGAGTTTTCTCTCCACCCTTCACAAGCTCCAACACAAGCGTAGCCCTGCCACACACAGAGTTAGGAAAATAAATGCAAACTCAAATTGATTTACATGGACTAACAGGCAGAAAGAGACTGACTTGATGTGTTTGACGCAGTTGGAACCGACTCTTTCCGCAACAAACTCTACAGTGCGTCTGAGAGATGGGGGTTGGTTGTGAAAAAAAGCCTGTTCCAAATCGACCTGTTAAAACACATGGAAAAACGTGGACTTCTACACATGCATGACATGATCTCAATTCTTCAACAGATGGAAGGCATTTGCTTGCAGTGTACCTGAAGTTTCTGTTGTGAACGGGTGGTGGAGGATCCCCTCAGTTCTGCAGATGTGGGGGTGATCTTGCGAATCAAGCCTCCGCTCTTGGACGTGCTACCAGCCACAAAAGCAGCAAGAAGTTTACGAAACTCCCCTGCAAAATGAATGGTGTAAAGGTACCAAAATCACCCTCAACGGGAATTTATTCCAACCAAAACTTTGTAAAAGACAAGGTTAAGATTTTTTTTCCAAACAATCCACTCTCACCTAAATATGGACAGCAAGTTAAGAGAAGCTGTTGGTCCACTAATGGGAGGGTGTCCTTAAAAGAAAATATATAGTATTATACACATTGTGAAGGAAAAGGAAAAGGCATATAAACATTTCTAAACAGCTAAATGTATCCAGAGCAGAAGAACAGTGGTCCACTAACCAGCCCCTGACAGCTTGTATTATTCTCCAGTTCCATGATTTCTTCCTTTAGATCTGTGCTGAAGAAGAGATCTTCAGGGAAGATTGGGATCTAAAATAAGGACAGCAACAGAAAGATTTGACAGGCTCATAACCCAGCTTTTTGTCCAGGCTGTATGATTTGATCAATTTGATAATTGTTCATCATCTCTTTCAACATAAAAAAAAAAAATCACTTATTTTCAGTGTATGCAGAAACAAACTTTCAAAATGATACAAGTATTTTGCCCATTTTCTGCTGTTCTTTACTAAAGTGTAAATTGTGATTACATTTGACTTGCATTTCCCACAACATTTTATATAATTATAATATAGCAATGTGGAATTATTATTAATTTTAAATAACGCAACTTTATTATGCAATGGCATGGTATGATGTCAGAAATACATTTGTCTAATTGCAAACAAAACAGGTCACATTGGAGGTGCTCATCTGGAACAGATTTGACAGTTTTCTACCTGGTGTCTGATTTTAAGCCCCACTGAAAATAAGACATCTCACCTGGAAGAGCCAGCCCAGAACTGCCACCATGAGCAGCTGATTCATGTAACACAGCTCCCCTCCTCGACCTAATACCATCCTCCTGAAACACACACATAAGCATAATTAATAGCACAACCACACAGAAAGATCATCTTTGACGTGTATGTGATAAACTCACTTGTAGATCTGGAGCAAAAGGCACAGAGCAGTCCTGTAACAAGGCAGAAACGGGCCAATATAATCCAGCATGGACAGGAACTCCACCATCCAGGGCACTGTCAGAATGGTGCGTCTCCGATATACTGAACTTCTCAACACCGCACACACATCCAGCACTGGAGAACTCTGACAATACACACAAGAAAACAAATTAGGTCTTAAAGAATACATAGCATGTTGGCAAAATAAAAAATCTGGCCTGTGTACCTTGCTCCGCAGAGTGACTGCAGCGTCCTGTATGTCTCTTGATGGCAGCTCAGAAGTCTGGTAAGGCAGAAAAGAGATGAAGCCCAAAAACTTGGCCAGAAGTCGTGCCGTGATGAGCACAGAGGAGAAACGTTGCTTCTCATCCTGAAACAAAGAGCCCAAGAATGTGTTTTAAACCCATTCAAAGCCTTACTTTGGAGTGGTTGAATATTTTTCTGTCTGGTCTAACCTGTTGCTCCATGTCTCCATCACCGGTCTTCTCTTCCCGGGCAGGGCTGGCGTCTGGACCGAGGATGGACACCTCGTCTAACTTCAGCAGCTGCTGACACAGACCATCTTTCAGGTGCTGGTTCAGCTGACAACTAGAAGAAAGATGACCGTAATTAGAGCCAAGCATCAAAACCACATTAAGAACCTTAAAGAGTTTTGTAACTTTTAGTCTATTAAAATCACCTTAGATACAGTCCATACTACTGTACACATAACAGATGACAAAATGTACTTCAAGCAGGTATACACTAGCCTAGCATTTTAAAGTTTAGGGTCAATAAAAAAATTCAAAGAAATAAATTACATTTTAAAATATATTCAAATAGAAAACAGTTCAAATATATTCGTATTTCACAATAGTCATGTTACTGTGTATTTTGATTAAATAAATGCAGCTTGGTGAGTATTTTGAAAGTGTCCTTCATTGCTTTTGCCCAGCAAGCTGTGATTTTGCTGTGCTAAAATTTAAACAAATATCCATTTCGATAAGCACTGTCCTTTTCAACAGAAAATGTCAACACAGGAAAGTAAACTGCACTCAAAATAATTCATACAGCTGGAGCAAGACTTGCAAAGCTTAAATTATGACATCATGAAAGCATCAATTGCACATCTAAAAGCCCCAACGAGTCCGCCCGGTGGATACAACATTTACCAGCTGGCTGTCTGAAGGAAGCCCTTGAAGAACTCCTGATGGCCAGGAAAGGAAGGTGGAGGACAGGGACCAATGAGTCCCTGAGGCTGGACCAGACGCTGCTGCAGGCGCTTCAGGCGACCCAGGCTGTCTGCCCCCAGCATGCCCAGCAGATCAGCGTCAGGAGCGTCACTGGAGGAGCCCAGCACACAAGGGCTCTTGCACATCTAAAAAGAGAAAGAGAGAGAGAGAGAATATAAAAGGGACAGAGAGAGAATAAGAGGAAATGTGAAAATAATCAGCCATTTTGGCACACCTGGATCAGCTGCTTCTGGAAGAGTCTGGCAAAGTGAGAATGACTTCCTGCTGCTGTCAGCTGACTGACCATTATCCTGTGAGTAGAAATTATAACCATAATTTTAATGTGGAATCACAATCCAAATGATTGAGGGAGGAAATGTATATCATTCATATAAAAAGAGCAAAGATACTATTAGTTTTAAATATAAAATGTCCCATTTATCTCTACCCCCCTAAAAATAAAAAATAAATCACCTGACTCTACTGCCTAATGCTGCCTCAAAATCCCAGCCAGGCTCCTGATGAAAGTCCTCCCATTCTCTGATCAACCCGTAAAACACATCCCTACAACAAAAACAGAAAACAAACAAACTACAACAAAACTGATCAATGACCTGAAACATCACATATTTGAAACACATTTATGGTGTTCAGTGTACCTCTGCTTTTTAAATGTGTGGAAGCCCCTATCGCTGCTAAAATTGGAACGGTTATCTGTGGCGGCCTGGAATGGCACTGAATGAACGAACAAGGGTGGACTGGGGAGCACCTGAGGAAGTGAGGACATTATTCAGTATGAGCTTTCAAAGGTTACTTATTGGTTTCTTTTAAACTAATGCTTACTTTAGCTGTGCAGTTTTCCTGAGCTTGTGCCAGGTGATCTCTGAGGGATGAGGAGAAAGTCACCACTCTCTCATTCTCAGACAGAAGCCGCAGAGTGCATTTGTCCAGGTGTGACACCAACCTGACGAACAGATAAGACAGAAAGTCAGGCACATGAATCTGATCTGAAGCAGTAATGAAACTGTAGTCAGACTTACTCAAACTGATTCTCCAACACTCTCAAGGAAAAATACACACAGTTGTGGACATTTCCCAGGTAAGCTTTCTCCAGCACCTCTTCAAGACCATAAATGAACAAAACACAATCAGGACATGACCAAATTAATCATTTTTAGTTTGACTCATCCTCAAAATCAGAATAAATATCTAACTGGCGTGTTCAAGAGAATCCCCCAGCATGAAAATCATATTGTTTTGTTACATTCCACTATGGAGCCCGGTCAATAAAGTCATATGACGACAACAAAAACAATCATATAACATAATCATATTGCAATTATTATTATTACTAATACAAATATATTTATTTAATTAATTGATTAAAAATGCAAACAATAATACAATTACTTAAATATTACAAAAATACTAGTGTACTGAGAATTTTATTTTACAGTATTATTTTACTTTTTGAATTAGTTCAGTTAAAAAATCTGGTAACACTTTACAATAAGGTTATTTTATTAAACATTAGTTAATGTATTAACTAACATGAACTAACCATGAGCAATACATTTGTTACGGTTTTTGTTAATCTTTGTTAATGTTAGTTAATACAAATCCAGCTGTTCATTGTTTGTTCATGTTAGTTCGCAGTGCATTAACTAATGTTAACAAGATTTTAATAAAGTATTAGTAAATGTTGAAATTAACATTAACAAAGATTAACAAATGATGTAGAAGTATTGTTCATTCTTTGTTAATGTTAACTAATGTAGTTAACTAATGAACCTTATTGTAAAGTGTTACCAAAAATCCTGATATATTTTGGAAATATGAAGGTTCTCTGCTGGCTCATGTTTTTGCCGTGGCAAAATTTATAGAAAAAGCCTGGTGTTTACGGCAAAGTATTTTGTTTCCCGTATGATATCCCGTATGTCATCTCTACTTATATGTATACTTATTTTTGTGGTTTAGTTATACTATGTTGGAGATTCTGTCTTATATCACGGGGCTATTTTGGTGATATGTGTGAAGCTGTTGTGTCTAATAAGCCCATGAGGGCAGGGCACCATAAAAGGTGTTTGACACTTAAATAAACAACTCAATCAATCATACAGTAAATTTAAAACGGCAAAAAACTAAAAAAAAATTAAATATAAATGTTTCAAGTGTAGAATAATGCATGAGTAATACATTTTTAAAGCTGAACACTACTAGCTTTGGCTTGACAGCAGGATTATGAAACGAGGTATCGTTATGACATCTCTTCAGCATGATTTCACGCGCAAGTGTAGTCATAAGCCTTAAAGAATTAAATAAGCTTTTAAATATTGACATACCTGGACCATCTTCGCACACACTGATTCCTGCCTCTGTAGATTTAGAGACAGACACACCACGAGATGTCAGGAGCTGCAGCATGAAGAACAGCTCCAGGAAAACACAAGGAACCAGATTCTCTACAAGTAAAAATGCATTAAAACTTAAAACAGATGTAGCAGGCTTATGTATATGGACGCTTCTATCTTTCAAAAGTTTAGGGTTGGCATAAAACATAATCATAGCTATATTAGCATCCACAACAACGAATGATAACGCTCCGTTTATTAGAAACTTGCACTGCAGTTTTGTTGTCTGCTGTTTTGCTCGAGCTCTTTGAAGAAGGATGGATTCTGATTGGCTGTCAATGTTTTTATTGTTCATCAGCTGGAAAAATTCATTCTGAAAGTGATTTCAACGATATCGTTTCTCTGTGCTGTTATCATTAAAGTTGTGGTGCTATACTTTATATTTAGAATAACTTTTAAAACTACTTCTTTATCATCCTTTGAGAACGGGCCTTTATGCTCTTTTTTTTTAAATACATTTTAAACTAATTTATTGTGATGGAATACGAAGTTCAAAAGAAAATAGATTTGTACTTGTACTTTTGAAAATGTACTAGTCTTTACTGTCGCTGAGCTGTGAATCATCACATTGTCAAATATAATTTTCCCATCTGATTTTTTTGATCAACTAAATTAATAGAGCAATATACAGCACCCTCTGCAGGCCACTTACCTGAAATGCAGGTACAATACAGCTCTGCTAAGAGATCCAATTCTGATTTCTGTGTAACTTTGTCAGGGTCAGGGCAAGGTGACTGGGGGTCAGGGGTCACTTTTGATCCCTGTCTGTGCACCGTTTTGGTTGGGGTACAAATGGTGGGGGTGGTCGTCAGTGGCGAGCTGGTCTGCTGGGCGAGTTTAGACCTAGAGAAGATGAGGCGGCAAAATGATGACTGAGAACCACAGAGATATCATTCAAACTGAATCTCACAACATAACCCAGCATACCTTTCTCTCCTGAGCAATTCTCTCTCTTCCTGCAGACTGAGAGGACTGGAAGCGGTCGGTTTGGCCCCAGTGCTCTCTGGTGTGCTCTCAGGAAGGCTGAGCGGGGTGGACGTGAAGCAGCTCTTAGGTTTACAGTTAGGCCGCTCTGCACTTACAGGAGTTGGGTTAATTCTCCTTGAAGGTTTGGTTGCTCTGGAAAAACAGCAGAAAGGTTTCATTTGATTTCTCATATTACAATTATCATACAATGGTAATGATTACACATTTGCATCACTAACTAAAACATTTGAAATATGCAAAATGAAAATATAGAGAGGATCTGAATTGTTTTATCAGCAGGGTCAATGTCATGACGTAAAAAAAAATATCTTAATTCTCTATTGCAAAATTCTGGGAGGCAAAATGTAAAAATGTCAGGGTGAAACAACTGTCCTCCTGATATTATAATGAAGAATTCTTTAATTAAAAGAATTCAATTTGGCATATTTCTATAATATTTGTGTGTGTTTTGTTCAAAAAATTAACAAAACTGCTTCAAAATAACAAAACTGAAAAGTATACAAGAATAGCAGACTGTGTGTATGGAGTGGGAAAACAATCGGATAATTTGTCCTATTTTATAACCAAACTAGTAGTTTAACAAAGTTAATTCATTAATCAAATATGAATTTATTTATCATTTTATTATATATATATAAAATAAAAAAATATTATATACCTGACATATATATATATATATATATATATATATATATATATATCATTAAAATGTTTATATCAAATATGAATTCAAAATCAAATATGAATTGATATATTAAATCAAATAAATCAAATATGAATTTATATATAATTTTATTATATATATATATATATATATATATTATTTACATACACATTTTAACTGTATTATATATTCTATTTTAATTAATAAATATACTTGTATACATAAACATAAATACACTGTTTTCATTATTTTATTTTATTGTCAAATGAGCTTGAAATGGTAAAAAACTATTTGAACCAAACATGAATTAAATTCTAAAATTCTAAGAATTCTGCACTTTTTTATTTATCAAATTTTTTGGACGCTATAGTTTTTTTCCTTTATTAGTAAATTTAAACTGAAACCAGTTGATTCACTTGCTCTCTAACATGCGTGCATAGTATAATTCACTCGCTCGCTTCCACGCGTGCATAGTTTTATATATTTAGATATAAAGAGTAAAATAATGGGGTTTTTTTAGACTGCTCAACGAGACAACGGCAGTGTAATCAAGTGTAATCGAGACCAGTACGTTTTTAGGGCCGGAGTTGAACCGATCTTTCTGGAAGGTATGATTCATGACTTACACTGGTGAAGACTGGGCAGCACCCACTGGAGGAAAGTCCTCCAAATTATTAAAGTTGAGCTGCACCTGTGTTGGAGGGGACACTGGTTCCAACCTCACTACACCTCTACTTCTCCTGCCACCTCCTTCCTCAGACAGAACAACGCGAGTTCCTGTCTGTCGGCCAGACGCGCACCCCCCAAACCCCCCACTCCTCCTGCGGCCTTTGTGCTGCTGTGTGGAGGAGCTGGGCTGGACCTCTGGGGGTGACGTCATGAAGTCGCCAAGACTGGCACGCTGGGCGGAGCGGCGCTCGGAGGGGGTGTTGCGGGGAGCAGGGCTCCAGACAGAGCTGAAGGAAGGGCTGCTGAAGGCGCTGACGCCACTCAAACAATGAGAGCTGGTAAATGGGCTCTCCTGCTCACTCCTCCCATCCACTGGGGACGTAGATGGGGCAGGAGAAAAGAGCTGGACTCGGCTGGCGCTACGCAAACCCTGGACAGGCGTGGATTTGTTGCCTCTCCGCTCAGAAGAACGCTGAGTCCTGACAGATTTGGAGGTGCTGGGGGTCTTGGCAGGTGTGGTGGGGCCATGGGTCAATGTCTGACTGCTCTGCTCTCGCAAAAAATTCAAAAGGAAAGGCACAAACTCCTCTCTGCTGACCTTGAATAGAAGGTCTTGGGATTCACAAACCTGCCAAAACAAAAAGAAACATCTAGTTAAGTCATGGAAAAGACTTGAACAAACTTTAACATTGAGCAAAGCAAGGGAAACTTTAGTTTGACTTAGTTAAACTTTAGTTTACATTAAATTATATGGCAAAACAAGTATTTTCTCAGTAAAATAAATCCAAGACATACAAAATAATTAAATAAAAACATTTTAATGTGTAAAATAAAATCCATTTATCTCTGTTTAACATTATATTATTAGTGTTGTCATAATTAACTGAAACTAAAACTATTATTATTTGTTTCAGTAATTGAAATAAAGCTGAAATAATCAAATAAATAAATATGTTGACTTTGCAATGGCATCCTGAAACGAATCAGTTTAAGATGAAGTACTAAGATGACAAAATGCTAATTCAAAATTAAAAGCTACCTTAACTGTACTTTAATAATTCTAAAATAACACAACTGACGTTATACCCCGTAAATAAGGCTTAGTTTATTTCTTCACTTTTGTGTTCAGACAACAATGATGCAATTATGTTAGGAAATATTGAGAATGTTCTTTTTTCAAACTTTCCCAAACAAAACATCATGAAAGGTAACATTATAGCTAATAAGTGGAGTTATGTAATTTCCCAGAAATCCCACCAAAAAGAAACTTGATAATCATGACAACGTCTCTTTTATTGCTCGAAAATGTTATGTGGCGTTAACAGTTACTATCCAAATGTAAAATTTTAATTTAACTTAAAACAAGAACTGTAAATACCTAACATATAAAATAATGCTACTCTTTAATGGTTGTTTGCTAACGTAGCTATAGATTAGCTGACTGAATTTCAGCACACCAATCACCCATACACTCCGATACGCAGTGACAGTGAAACAACACAGCATTAGAGGCAGAACGTAGTGTAAACTCTTACCTGTTGTCCTCTGAGCCAGAGCAGAGTCTCGCTTAACTCCACTTTCCTGTGCAGTAACGATTCCAAAAGAGCCGCCATTCTTCTCGGAGTATCATGAGAGTGACGTGACTCTTGTCAGGGGCGGGATTGGCTGAGCAGTACAACGCGCGCAAACCTCAACAACACTGAAGACATTTCCAGCACTTCAAAATAAAAGTTCAGAGAACACTTGCGCTGGTTTGTAGCTTTCATTTGATTACTGAGTAAAACTTTTTCAGAGAGGTCTTACATTTTTTTTTATCTTAAAGTTAAATGTTTCTGCAGGCCTTTATTGGTTTAAAAACGTTTTATGTGTTTGTGTGTATATTTATACAGTATATAAGACATACGTACACAAATCAATTGGTAAACAAATAAAGGCCTACAGAAACATTTAACTTTAAAATACACATTGTTTTCTTTTTGTTGGTAACACTTGTTTGTAACTCTTAACCCCTGTGCATCCTTCTGTTTTTTTTTTTTTTTTTTTTTTTTTTTTTTTCCAATTTGCAGTGTTAATGCCAACTGCAAACATTTTGGCACAAGTGTGTATTTTTACTGAAACTGTACTATTTTACCCCAATTTCCTTTAATAAATCCTGTTGGCAAGGCTTCAAAATGTAAATTTACACTATTTCTTTCTCAGGTTTGGCCCATAAAACAAATACTTTATTCCTGTTTTTATTATTTATTTTTACATTCTATTGAGTATTGTAGAGCCAATTGGATAAATTATGTGTGGGTGTGTTGGTATGGATGTCAGAGTATGGTTTGGATGTGTGTGTGTGCAATTAAAAAAAAAAAAATTTCTGTGTATACATGCATGTAATTTTTGAGCGATTAAAAACTCTATGTACTGCAAATCACAAATCCAACCATGTGTGTATCAGGGGAGCTTTGCTGGCATCTAATGAAGAAAAAGGCTTTATGTGTTTCTGTTTGTTTTGTTTAGTTTTGTTTTTTGTTAGGCAATATGCCCCACAGACCTTTGGGGCCATATTAATCATTCCACACACCTGTTTTGTACCTGTATGTTTATCATTACGACAAACAGATGTCATTTAACAACCTTGAACAACTTGTACATCTCATTTTCTTTTGAAGATTATAAAAATGATTATAGTGTTAAAATTGATTATAGGGTTTACTGTTTACCCTTAAAATGATCTTTAAGATTTAACAATTGAGATGTTAAGTTATGATTTGTAAGAATAGTCATAATAACACAAGCTCTGCTTGTTTGCACTGCATGCAGGTGTGTCTCCCTCATGTCTGTTTGGTTACAACTTCTTATCCGTACATTGTGTAAACATCTAAATTAATATGTTTAGGGAATATTTACATTGTAACTATATCTATAACTTTGTGTGGGCAGATTACAACAAATACTAGAAGTACACTGGGTGTTTCCCATTGCACTAGAATTAACTTGAAAGGTCCACATAATAGAAATGTACAGGCCTTAGCTTGTCAAAATGAGGACACAGGCTTGCCTTCCCCCTGAGAAAATATAAACCTGCACTTTTCTCTCAGTACAGCCTAAGCCTCGGGCACCCTTTACCAATCACAGTATGCACATAAAATAAATAAATAAAAATAAAATACATTAAACTCACACACACACACACACACACAACAGACCAGTAGAGGGTCAATTTAAGCGCTCATTATTTCACAGCATTCTAATACTAAACTGCCTAGGAAAAAAGCTTGATTATTAAAGAAAATATGTAATAGACTGTAAAAAGTGAAAAAATACTTAAGGCATGATGTTAGCACCCTTTCAAAATGAACTACAGATAATAAATTCCTGCAAGAACTCTAAAGATGATTTCTCCCAGTAACTTCTACCAGTAATGGTTTTGATAATATTCACAATATAAATACCCTATATAAGGTTTAAGCTAGTTCCAGACAAATATGTATGTTTGAGCTGTTTTAACTGAAAGCAACTTGCAGTTGCACTGACATATCTTAAAACATGTCAGTGCCATTGTTTTGTCTCAAGATTCACACCAGTAGTGTTTTTTTTTCTCTAAGGCGCTTAAACTAAGCATTGTCTGTGAAACCGGCCCTTATTTCATTTTAATCATTATATTGATTATTATTATTGTTAATTTATTTATTTTTTATTCATATTTATAAAACGTTATTGTATGTAGCCTGCTACTGTACAACTGTACGATGGGCGGTGAGTGACAGTCGGGCGGTCCAATAGAGCAGAAGTATTTCTTCTAACAGCTCCAGTGGGCGTGTCTAATGTAGTTCGGCGTGTGTGTGTGCGTGTATCTCTGTTTAGTGTAGCTGTAGTATTTACAGCCCCACTGTCCTTCCCACAAGAATGCAGTTATTGTCATTTCCATTATTTTCCCAAAGGTTGCTTTACTGCAACAACCCCGTTTCTGTAATCCTGCTGTGATAGTCTCTTCTGTAGTATTCTGCATTAGTGTCACGCAGCGAGCAGAGGAAAGAGTGTGCGCTCCGTTCACGCGAGTAATGCCGTCTACGATGGAGGGCTCGTCGGAGGAAGGTGACCTGTTTACCGTCAAACACGAACTCAGAAACGGTAAATGAACGCCGGGCAGTCCGTCCTACGCTTGTTTTTTTAAGAAACAGCGCTAATATATCTTGGACTGGTATTGTTTTCGTTATATAATGGAAGAGACAGCTTTAATGTTAGCTGGTCGGCTAGTGTAAATGCATTAAGTGCTATTAGCAACCTATATTATGTGTATTGATATATTTATCATCACAAATGTGGGTGCTTTGGGGTTGGAGGATGTTCTACATGAGCAATATTTCACATTCATAACCGCAGAAGTGCACTTGCATTTTCAGTGCGTGTCGTGTTTGAAGCCGAGAGATATTAGTAAGAAATAGATTGACATTAGAAGGGAAGTATTGTATTGTATGGAATGAATTGCATTTATAATGTGTCAGCGCTGTAATTAGTGTCTCAGTCATGACATGGACTTGAGTCCAAAGCAACCCAATTACTGGAGCTAATTTAATCTCTAGGGCCCCAATGATGTCTTTGTATAGTAAATGAAGTGACCTGGTGTGTGTCCTCACTTGCCTGTGTTAGTAAACTTGGTACAAATGCTTTGCAGGCACATAATATCTGTAACTTATGGTACGGTACAGTATTTTGTTGTCTCGTTACTTTTTACAGGCTCTGCAATCTCATTCCATTATACATTTTTTTACTACATTCAGTAACCTATACAATTGCACCCTGTTATTGTAAAAAAAAAAAATGAGATACCAAATATTTGTTAAACTGTTGTTTGACATGTTCCAAATTTTTGTAACAAAAAGTTATACTTTTTAATATCTGCCTGCCAAAAGAAAAAAAAAAATGCTGTTTGAATTTAAATAGGCAAATCTTTAGAGACTTAGACTGAGTCATTATTACAGTGATGTTTCTAGCATGTTTGGCAACAGTTGATGTTTCAGATTATGTTTCTAGCATGTTTAGCAACCCTAATTGATTGTGTTGGAGTGTTTTGAGCTTTTCATTTCTTAAACAAGCATGTAGGAAGACACATCATGGCCATATTCCACCAGGATGACAATATCAAGATTCATCTGGCTCAAATTGGGAAATAATAATTTTCAAACATGAAATGACACCTCTGAGTCCAGACCTAAATTCACTGAAAGTCTTTGGGATGTATTGAAGTAGACTTTTCAGAGTGCTTGACTTTTGCATTGTCAATACAAGATCTTGACCTAAAATAGAGCCTTTTTTTTTGGTTGGGTAGTCTATAATAATTCAAAGTAATATATTTTGAGTCATCTATTGAATTCAACAATTAATTGTAGTACATTCATGTGTTTTTTTTTTATTCTTAACTAATTTAAATGGCAAAAAAACCAAAGATTTATCTTTGGTCCACATTTTCAGCACAAGTTATCGCAGTTTCAGAAAATACAACATGTCTTAAAGTTGACCCCTGTGACCTTTTTGTCTTTTACTTAGGCATGACAAAAATTCAGTTTAACCTGATGAGGTTGATGATCAGTATTTTTTGAAGGTTAACAACCTCTTTTCACTGACCATTTTTTGAAGAGTTTCAGGCCCAATTTTGTACCCTATCCATAAAAATCGCCTGTAACTATCATTTGAGTATTTACTGTGCAACCCTGACACAGTAAATTTTGACTTCTGTATTATATCATTAAAATTGTTTTTTTTAACTACTTTCAACGGCTAAAGACAAGAAGTCGCTCATAAGAAAGCACAATGGGGACCAAATTCCCTCCATTAAAGCCTTTGGATCCAGAGTGGAGAAAGTCAGGGTCTGGAAGCTTACAAACATTGTGGTTCCCATGAACCTCTGGGGTGGTTTCAAAGGGGGCTACGCACACTTTAAACATGCTGCTTGATATCCAGTCAGAGGATGTGGTAATGTTATTTGTTGTCTAAAATGTTATCTAAAATCAGATAATTGACTAAGACAGAGAAAGATCGCAGTTTTGCGTGAGATGCAGTGCTGCTGTGAGTGAGGATAACAGCAGGAATGCGTCCACCTCGCTGAGCAATCGACTGCATAAAACAAGCGACTTCACTTCAGCCCCAGCTAACGTGTAAACATATCCCACGCACATGCTCACGTTCTTCCATGCTCATTCATGAAGGCTGTTTTGTTTCCCCTGAATCATCAAGCTCTTCTTTATTTATGAGCGGGCCTACAAAGAATCAGTGCCTGCAAAACTCAGATGTCTGCAGAATTCAAGTGCCTTTAATTCATAGTTCTGGCTCTTGTTTATTTACATTACCATTCAGAAGTTTGGTGTCAGCGTCTTAAAGCTGCATTTATTTGATTAAAAATACAGTGAACTATTCAGTTTAAAGTAAACGTGTTCTATTTTAATATATTTTAAAAAATGATTTACTACTATGATGCAAAGCTGAATTTGTCACATGATCCTTCAGAAATCATTCTGATGTGCTGATTTGCTGCTTAAGAAACATTATTATTATTATCAATGTTGATAATAGATGTGCTGCTTAATTTTTTTTTTTGTTTTTTTTGGAAAGTGTGATGCATTTTTTCAGGATTTCTTGATGAATAGAAAGTTTAAACAAATATTTTCTGTCACTTCTGATACACTTAATGGACCCTTGCAGAATAAAAGTATTATTTTGTTTAAAAAAAATCAGTAACACTTTATTTTAGTTTCCTTGTTGCACGTGTTACATGTAGATATATAGTAATAACTTTACATTACATGCAACTAACCCGAAACCCAACCCTATAGTAAGTACATGAAGTTAATTCTTATCATTCACTTAAATGTTTAATAACGCTGTAAATGGACAACTTAAAATAAAGTGTAACTAAAAAAAAACGTATTGAGCCCAAACAGCTGAACAGTAGTGTATTACATTATGTTTGGCTAATTTCATAATAATTTCAGCTGACACATCATATTTACCATGTTTAAATTAGAGCTGGGCAGTTTTTTTCCCTAAAAAAATCTGTGATTTTATTTTTATTTTTTCATTTAAAAAAAAATAGATTTACGATTCATTTCGACCCCCCCCCCACCCCCCACCAACTGTAAACATATTTAAAATATATATATTTATTGTATTTAATTAAAGTGCATCAACAAACAAAATTACAAAGGCAAACCTTTTCTCTAACTGAAAAGTCACTGTGCAGTGTGCAACAAAGATTGTTAAACATCCAAATAATTTATAAGGGGAAGAAAAAACTAAAAAAAAACACACTTTTTTTTTTTTTTAAATATGAAACGATTTGACCTACCAACTCGATTTCCAAATCAAATCGATTTTTTTCCCCAGCCCTAGCTTAAATATGGATATTATACTGCATAATAAAGTCTACAGATTCCATCTGGACCTGTTTATATTGTATTTACAAACAGCTGCAGGCTTGTCCCAAGAGTTGGCCATTTTTCTTTTCTCACTGTTGTGAGAAAGTGGCAAGGGTTCAAATAACTGAAGTTGTGAAGGTTTACGGGAGGTTTTCTTGTATGATATCCAAGTGAAAAACACGATTTCTTGGCTGCGTGACCTAATGGATGTGTTTAAATCTCTCCCCAGCCAATCTGACTGGTCACGTGGAGCGTGTGGGCATTGAGAACTTTGAGCTGCTGAAAGTGCTGGGAACAGGAGGTCAGTGGTGGTTCAAGTATGCGAACCCCGTGTTCTCTGCGTATCCTTGTTCCTACTCCACTAACAAATCGTTCTCCTCCTCCGGGCAGCCTACGGCAAGGTGTTCTTGGTTCGCAAGGTGAGCGGCCATGATTCGGGTAAACTGTATGCCATGAAGGTGCTGAAAAAGGCCACTATTGTGCAGAAGGCGAAGACGGCAGAACACACACGCACGGAGAGACAGGTCCTCGAGCACATCAGACAATCTCCTTTCCTGGTTACACTCCATTATGCCTTCCAGACAGACACCAAACTGCATCTCATTCTAGGTACGTTGACGCTCTCTCTCCCGTGTGGATTTGCTTCGATTTTTCTTTTGCATTTAATAGAGTGCAATCTGTTCAGCAGAACTTTTGTCTGCATTGGTCACCAGTATTGTTACAGTGAACTATAATAGTGCTCTGCGAAGTGGACTTTATAGGGTATTTATTTGCCATCAAGTGTGATTCAGTCATTAGAAGCATTTAGTCATTTCTGACTGCAAATACGGTAGCTTAGTGAGCAAGTGTTACTGATATCTCACTTCACAGGAACTGGGCAGGGAAATTTACCCATCAGTCATTGTGCACAACCTCAGGTACTGAGCAATACGAGGGACTGTATGAAGTGAACTAGAAATGTGACCTTTTGAAAACCATTATTACAATGTCCAACTGTTATAACAGTTGTATTATTAATTATAAATATTATTAACATCGTAGCAGTATTTTATTCATTTTTATTATAAAAAATATTATTATTTTATTAAAATGTGTTTATTTTACAAAGTTTGTAATTTTTTTAAACAAATATATAATACTATATTTATATTTGTATATAAATACTCATACACTACTGTACAGAAATTTTTGAAAGAAGTGTCTGTGTTCACCAAACCTGCATTTATTTGAACAAAATTAGCCCAAAACAATAATATTGTGAAATGCTATTACAATTTAAAATAATTTTAATATGTAATTTATTCCTGTGATTCAGCATCATTACTCCAGTCTTTAGTGTCAGATGATCCTTAGATCAATTTAATACATCCTTATTGAACAAAATAAGTAATTTCTTTACAAAAAAGTGATCTTTCTGACGCCCATTTGAAACTGTATCTTTTTAATTTATTTAAATTTATCTGAATTAATTATTTGAGTGAAAAAAATAGTTCAAACATTTTTATATTATAAATAATCAAACTTGAAACCCCATATCTGTGTGACTGAAGTGTTGTTTGAAGAGCTGAAGGGCATTGCAAACTGAACTTCTATCTATTCTGAGTGTGTAGAATAGATAACAGTGGACACCCTGTGACCCTGTGAATTGTAACACAGTTTATTTGCTATAATAATGAAAAGCAGAAGTAAAGCCTGTATACCCCCACTGAAACTCTTGGCTTTTGTGGTATTGCATGGAACCGACGTCAGCATTTTGCAGTAACTGCACAATACCAGGTGCATTTGAAATATAAAACTGTTGCAATTTTGTTTTCTATATTTTTAAATCATAGACTATGTGAATGGAGGTGAGCTCTTCACACACTTGGTCCAAAGGGTTCGCTTTAAAGAGCAAGAGGTTACCTTGTACAGTGGGGAGATTGTACTAGCACTGGAGCACTTGCATAAGGTAAAATTGCACACTTATTTTCACTCTTCATTTCCTTTGCAATCTCACTGAACGGTGCCTCATATCGAGGGAGTAGTAAAAGAAGCTCCTTCCTTTACTCAGGAGGAAGTACTTCTCTCTCCTGCCGACTCAGATCAATTCCGAATCCTCACTCAGATAACCAGGCCAGGCCGCATGTATCTGCAGTGCTCAAAATTTCTCGAATGCTGTGTTTACAGAAAGAGGAAGAGAAGTGTTTTTAATGCATGCTTGTTCTGTGCACAGCAGCCATTATTCAGTTGCCCTGGGGCGATTAGACTTTGTAGAAAGGACCATGACAGTGAGATTAACTTTGTTTTGGTTCAGTCTCATTTTTTTGCCATTTTCTATTATGTTGCCATTTATTATTTATTAAAGTAGCAGTATATTTTCCAGGTGAATGGCTGCATTTTATGACCCCAGACAAGTTGAGGTTGTAAACTCAGCAGTCGAACAACTAATTTTCGCAAGGACGAAAAAAGAAGTAATGAATGGTGACATGAAATTGAAGTATTTTTTTTCTGACATCTAAATATAAGACCTTATTCGGTTCTGTTTGTTTTTCAGCTAGGAATCGTCTACAGAGATCTAAAACTTGAGAATATACTTCTTGATTCAAACGGTCACATTGTGCTGACGGACTTTGGCCTTAGTAAGGAATTTCATGAGGTGAGTTTGTCTTTATATATTTTTCTTTTTTTAGAAACTCATTTTGCCAGTTCTCCCAATTTTATCAACAAATAAATGGTCAAAATCACTGTGTTTGTTCAAAAGCATTATGCATTTTAAAATTCTGTCAGGTACTGGTAAGCTGATAATGCTTGTCACGTTATGGTCAATAACCAATAAATGGCAAATATTATAAATCTATACTATTTTGTCTTAAATATAAATTGAAATCAATTGTTTCAATGCTACAGGTGAATTTAGGCAAAACAACCTAAATTTAAAAAATGTTCAAAACTACATTTAGTGGTGTCTTTAAAGATTACATTTAAATGTGCATTAGGTAATGGCAAAGGTAGAACATTTTTTACACACACACAGAAACACAATATTGGGTATAACCTATCAATATATTGTGCATCTCCAAAGTACAATGTTCCCTCTAAACTTCACTTGAAGGGAGATTAAAACATTTTCATCGTTTCAACTGCAGGAGTCTGTTTGCATATGCACTTTTCTTCGGTATGGAAGTGAAACTGAGAGAAATAATGTGCAGAAATACACAGTGCTGAATAATTCATGAGATAAAGACTGCATCTTCCTAGTTCATAGTAACTGGATTAGGATTATTTCTCATACAATTCTGGATCAGATAATTTATAATTGTGGTTATTGAAAAGCATGCTCGGAGTCAGGGCAGAACATCACAGATACAGATAAGTGCTGTGCGGTGTGCAAAACTGCTTGTTAGGCGGATCTGCCACAAAACCATGTGTGCAAACAAACATATGTGGGAGCCATCAGATAAGTTGCTGTCCAGCCAAGGACAAAAATGCCAAATAAGCTTTATAAGTAAAAGTGTATCACATACTTGAAAGGTTATCATTTGTGCACACTGCCATAGAAAAAAGACGAGCACTGATTTCACCCATTGCTTCAAGAACCATACATATATATATTGTGAATAATTGCTTCTATTTAAAATCATTTAATATATTTAAAATGTTTATTCCTGTGATGACAAAGCAGAATTTTCAGCATCATTACTCCAGTCTTCAGTGTCACATGACCCATTCTAACATGCTGATTTGGTGCTCAAAGTAGTTATAAAATGTTTTGCTGCTTAATATTTATTTTGGAAACTGTGATGCATTTTTTTTCAACTGTGATGCATTCTTTAAATAGGAAGTTGAATAGAACAGCGTTAATTTGAAACCGAATTAAAAAAATAAATAAATAAACAGTAATGTATATTTAAATATATTTGTGAATATTAGTATATTATTTTTTTAGTTACTGTAAAAATGTAATGCACTCAAACCTCCGAAACTCAAATGCCATAATAAATAAATTGTGTTTCTTTATTGTGAAAAAGTTTCTTTGTTATGAATGACCCATTAAACTTGTTGCATGGGGTGTTTCTTCTCAGATGGTTGGCCACATGGGTTTGTCCAAAAATAGTTTTTTTTTTTTTTTACTGGAACATTATGTTTTATGAGTAACATGCCAGTTTGAGAACTACTGGGAGGGTAAAAACAAGTTATTTAACTAGACAGGCCAACAAGTGTTTAATATTTCACAGCTGCTGTTGTCATGACATTTGGAACATCTCAGTACTCAAACTTTCAAGTATGCTTGAAAAGAGAGGATTTATATAAAAACATTAAAGGTACACTATGTAACCATGCATGCATTTTGAGACAATATATTGTTTTGGTTGTGCTTTGGCTCTGCGTGACTATGCGGATGAAGATGGTTCTCTCATATGGAAAAAAAAAAGAGAGAGATTATATTACTACACAGCTCTACTTTACCCATTAACAGACTCGGTACTTCCTTAAAAAGAAATTCCAGCACAAAAACATAATGAAATGACAATTAACTCTGTTATCTGTTCAATAAAATACCTTTTGAGTAATAAAAACACCATCTCCACTTTTACAACATTTTAAATCCCTCAGTTCTTAAAAATGTTGATTCTTGTTTTATTATAAGCTCTGTCGCATTCTCTTTTTGCCAGCAGACTCTCCTCTTTTTGGCCTTTGTTTTTTAAAATGTGAGATTCCCTGGAGGTTGGAGGTTAGCTGCTCCATGTCAGTCTTTTTCACTCATTGTGACAACTAGCCTATGCCACTCCCACACCATGTCAGAGTAGCTGGAGAAACTTTTCTCTATTTACGGATATGACAAGACACACACGGGCGAGTGATTGATGCATGCATGCATGCATGCAATGCAACCATCCTGCAGGTCTAAAATACAAACACTTAAAAGAGGCTTAGTGAATCAGAGTAACACAAAAACATGTTTTGGAAGAAGGATTGATGATATTGACTCAATATTTAAATACATAGTGTCCCTTTAAAATGTCCCTTTAAACTGTTCCTCATTAAAAATGGCCAAACTTTTACTTTTCTAAATTTGTGTTAAATGTTGAAAGATCTGAATTGAGAGAGTTCTTGTTGCATCGTTGTCTGGGGTTTTTGGCATTCATGCATTTGAAGATCTGGCTAATTCTTAGCTGTTTCTTAGCCAACAAATGATTGTTTATTCCTGGGGACCACCCAATATCCTGCACATGTCCTGTCCTGCTCTGTCAGAGATGTTCTGTTTGATGTTTCAGTAGCTCACGGTGAACCTTCCGCCGTCCCATGGATGCAATTATAGCACAAGGCTGTTTACTCAATGCCGTAATCGCTTATCATGCATGTTATGATCGTGCTCTTTATTATAAAAGATTATATTAACTTTTTGTTTTTCTCATTTTGACCTTTGTTGTACCAGCTAACCCATTTCAGCCAGAATTTATTTTACGAGGGTGGTTTGAAAACACGCCTGCGACTATTAAGACTTTATAGCGTACATTTAAACTAGCACACATAAAACGAGTAAATTCTTCCGGCAGAAAAGTTCTGATTATGAGATACATCAAAATAAATGCAATTAATAAATGTACTCAGGAACTTTTAATTATAAAAGCCATGTGCTTGTATCGGTATTCAAATGTGGCAAGATTGTTAAATGCTCATATGATATTAAAGAAGATTGTTCCAGATGTTTTCATGTATTTCATTCCATAATACTGCATAATTCAGAAAGCAGTTTTGCCCAATTTAGAAAGCACAGATGGTGCGTTTAGTCTTAGACGCAACGCCATCTAAGTGCAGTAATTATTTATTCTAGACTGAAGAATCTTGTTTCGATGTCTAGGTTTACATTTAATTGTATTTTTAACTTTTAAAAAAGACTATGTTGCTATTGAAGTGTACTTGGAAACAGACTAATATGAAATGATACACTCAAAAGTTTGGGGTCAGTAAGATTTTCTTTTTGAAAAAAAAAATACTTTTTTATTTAGCAAGGACACATTTAATTGATCAATTATAATGTTCCTGTTTTAAAAGAATGCTGTTTGTTAGCTTTCTAGTCATTAAAGAAATATTAAACAGAATTGTTTTCAACATTGATAATAATAATTTTTCTTGAGCATCAAATTAGCATAATTTAGCATGATTTCTAAAGGATCATGTGACACTGAAGACTGGAGTAATGACGCTGAAAATTCAGCTTTACCATTACAGGAATAAATTACATTTTAAAATCTATTCAAATAAAAAAACAACACAACACTTTTTTTTTTTTTTTTACTATATTTTTGATCAAATTAAATGAGCATAAGAGACATTTAAAAATCTTGCCAACTCTAAAATTTGGAAATATTTAAATAACTTCTGACCGTTACTGTCAGCAGTGTATGCACATACAGAAGTCAAAACTGATGTATAAAGTTCCATCCACATAATACTTTAATGATCATAATCCACAGGAAAATAGTCCAAAAGAAACTCCAACGTGACTGGACATGAATGAATTACCATGACAACAAAAGAGTGGCGGGAAAATAGAACAAAGGACAACAGGAACTATAATGAATACAAACTAAAAGTCTGTGAAAACAACAACTAGCTGAACACAATTGTGGCAGTTACAGCAATGCCAGCTCATGACCAAACTTGTGTGAAAAAATAGTTTGTTAATAGTTTGGTAACACTTTATATTAGGTGTCCTTAACTACTTGCATAAAAAATGTGTACGATGTACTTATACGGGTAAGATTAGGGATAGGTGTGGTAGTATGGGTATAGGTTTAAGGGTGGGTTAAGGGAAGGGTCAACAGTGTAATTATACAGTAGATGCAATCAAAAAATATGCAGGTGTTATTTAAATATAAGTAGAATGTAAAAACATGTACTCAATAAGTGCATTGTCTCAAATGATTAACTGAAATATTAGTTTATAGAAGTTAAATAGACCTAATATAAAGTGATGCCAGTTTTGAAAAAGTAGTGAAATAGAAATTATCTCTCTTTCTGTGTGAATTTTGAGTTCAAAACTGATTGGTCAATTGTGAGATGACACTTCCACTGTAGTAGATAACAGGATTATGGTAGATTTATGAGAATTTGTGTTTTGAATTGTGTAAACGCCTTTGCATTCATTATGTATTGAATCATAACTTGTTGTAATGGTGTAATATGGTGTAATTACTGATATCCAGCCCTAAACAGCACATTCATTTATATCTACACTTCTACAAAAATAAAAAGGCAACTTGTGAAAACTGAAAGAAACAGTACCGTCTTTTTTAAACAGGTTTTTACAAACAGTAAAATAAATACTTTTTTTTGTCTTGTAGGTGGAGAGGACTTATTCCATCTGCGGCACTATTGAGTACATGGCGCCTGAGATTGTAGCAGGAGGAGAGTCAGGACATGACAAGGTAAAGTGAACCGCTCTCCATCCACACACATGTTCTTTTTGTAAAAATTACATTTTTTTAAATTATACACAGCAGCTTTAAGTTTGACTTCATTGAACAGCGATTCATTCTTTCATTTATTTAAATGATCCAGCATACATTTGAATGTGCTGTTGGGAATATAACCAGTGGGATGTACCGATGTTCTCCTGCAGGCGGTGGACTGGTGGAGCATGGGAGTTCTGATGTATGAGCTGTTGACCGGAGGCTCTCCTTTCACTGTCGATGGCAATGAGAACTCTCATTCTGAAATTGCCGAGTAAGACCAGCACATATGTACACCAATACGTGATGCGATGAGAAGTTTAAGGAATTTAAAGTGATAGTTCACCCAAAAATGAAAATTCTGTCATCATTTAACATCAGTCACCCTCAAGTTGTTCCAAACCTATATGAATTTCTTTCTTCCACTGAACACAGAGGAAGACATTTTGAAGAATGTCAGTAACCAATCTATTGATGGTTTGGGTTTGGAACAACTTGAGGGTGAGTAAATGATGACAGAACTTTCATTTTTGGCTGAACTATCCCTGTAACTATTTTGATTATGATTGTTCTAAACTCTGGTTCAATTAAGTTCTTTGTTAATCTAAATAAAAAATATACTTATTTCATTTGTTAATTTTGATACTTACTAAAATAAGTAAAAACTACACTGATTTTAGTATCATAAGCCTACATATACATCATTTTTATTTATTTATTTCTTATTAATTTTAAATTGGACATGATGAAATTCGATGACTGATAAGAGTAATTTATTCAAGAATCGGACTTAAATGGATCTGAAAGCGCATGGATTTTAAACGGATCTGAAAATGAACATTTTTAAATGGTTGCTTTTTTGTGGAACTTGCTCTGCATAAAAACTTTTTTTTTTTTGGTTCTTGTTCTCTGAACGCCTTTATGTGGTTTCATTTAGTTAGAAGTCCAAGTCGAAAACATGAATTGAGAATTTGGTTGCATCAGCATGTTTACAAAATAGCATCAAATTACCTACTTAAAGCTGCAGTTTTTAAAAAAATACAAATCTGCAGGCAGGGTACGGTTTTGATGAATTCTCTCTCTTTGCCCAATAGGAGAATTATGAAAAAGGATCCTCCATTCCCCAAAGACATGGGGCCTCTGGCCAAAGACATTATCCAGCGACTGCTAATCAAAGACCCAAAGAAGAGGCTGGGCTCTGGCCCCTCAGGGGCCCAGAATGTGAAAAGCTATCCATTTTACCAGGCAAGAGTTTTTTTTCCACAAAAATTAATTTTAAAAGAGAAGTACTACTATTTCCCTTGTCATTTCCTTGGCTTGTTAAAGTTCATTCAGTCTTTGAGGGACCAACATAAAAAATGTTTGACTTTTGTTGCTTCAGAAAATGAATTGGGAGGATTTAGCTGCTAAGAAGGTTCCAGCTCCTTTTAAACCTGTAATTCGCGATGAGCTGGATGTGAGCAACTTTGCAGAGGAGTTTACGGAGATGGACCCGACCTACTCTCCAGCAGCACTTCCAAATAACTGTGACCGCATCTTCCAGGTAGGGGAATTAATAACTATTCTGTAATGGCATATATTTTTGGTCTTTTCAGGTTGGGCTGCTCTATAGGCGCTTTTCCACTGCATAGTACGGTACGGTTCGGCTCAGTACGCTTCGACTCGGCGCGGAACAGTTCGGATCGCTTTGCGTTTCCACTGCAGTAGTACCCCTTCAAAGTGTGTGGGACTGATCGTTATTTGCGCGCGCCTCTACTGCCATGACGTCATCTTAAAAGCGCCACATTTTCAAACCCACAACACAGGAACAATGGAGACTATCGAGGGGATGGTGTTCCTGATTCTCGGTATGTGGTTGTTTTTAACTGCTAGACGGAAAAATGTGTTTAAAATGAGGCTGTGGGCAGCAAAACAAAAATACTGCTAAAAAAGTGTCTCGTGTCTCGTGTCGCAAATCCAATGACGCTAGTAGTGACGCTGGTAGTGACGATTCTGTCTGACCAATCAGTGATCTGCAGTGTTTCACGTCACATTTTAGTACCGGTACGGTACGCTTGGAACCTCAACAGACCAGGTACCATTTAAAGCGACCTGAAGCGAACCGTACTGTACCGTACCATGCAGTGGAAAAGCACCACAAGTGAGACGTACCGAACCGAACCGTACCAACCATACTATGCAGTGGAAAAGCGCCTTAACATGATGCTCTAACACAATATTCTAATAGTCAGCAACAATAATTATCATGAGTTTTTACATTGACTTCACCAAGTCAATGTAATTGCAGATTCACCAAGGCTGCAAATATTTGACCAAAAATACAGTAAAAAAACTATTAAAAAAAAAAATGAATTATATATATATATATGAATACAGTATATATACACAGTATATATATATATATATATATATATATATATAAGTTTTTATTATTTGACTTTGATTTATAATTTATTCATTGACAAAGCTGATTTTTCAGCAGTCTTTACTCTAGTCTTCAGTGTCACATGATCTTTCAGAAAACATTCTAATATGCTGATTTGCTGCTCAAGAAACATTGCTTATTATTATCATCAATGTTGAAAGCAGTTGTGCTGCTTAATGTTTTTGTGTGAACCATGATACATTTTTGTTTGGATTCTTTGATGAATAGAAAATTTCAAAAGAACAACATTTATTTTAAACGTGATTTTGTTGTAACATCATTAATGTCTTTATAGTCACATTTGTTCAATTTATTGCATGCTTTCATAAAAGTGTTGATGTCTTAAAAAATCTTACCGACAACGTCTGGAAATATAATCAATTTTCACTCATAAATATTTCAGCGTTTGAGCAGAATAATCCCAAAATGTCAGGTGATTCCTTTTGCCAAGCCAGTACATCAGAAATCACTAATGTTGGCAAATGTGTGCTGATTTACCTAAACCAATGTTGATTCACATTGAGCATTTATTTATGACACTGAGAATGAATTTGTGCACACGAGTGGACGCTTGATGTCGCGTTAGGATATAATTGTTCAGTTAACCCTTTATTATTAGTAAGCAGGAAGTACTGAAGAGGAAATGGGCAAGTCAGCCTTTATAATGATCACTTATGCAACGTGAGCCCGGCTGTCTGTGTTGGTATTCAGATGAATTAGAGCTCTTTTGGAGATGTAATTATGGTGATATGGAGATGGTTTCAAGCATCAGATGTGAATGACTATTTTTGATGCGGCTTGATCCATAACGTTGCCTATAGCATGATGCCAGCTGAAATGGAAGGCTGCGAAAGAGATGGTGTCTATGATTGCCTTCTGAATCCTTCAGTCTGGCGGATCAATGCCGCCATTAAACGGCTCTGTCGTGGAATAAAAGGTCGGCGTCTGCGAGAACAACCATGTCTGGCTCAATTACTCCTTCAACCTTTGATTACCAACTTCATCTTGGCTTTTCTGAGCGTTCGCCTTTCATGTGCGCTGGAATTTTGATCCTTCATAATTCTCGGGCGGTACAATTGCAGCGACGTCTGCAATGATAACTTTCGAAACGCTCCACCACGCACACACACACACACACACGCATAGCCGCTTATAAACCCAGCCACCCCCTCAAACTCCTCACAAACTGAAATTAAGCTGCATTAGAGGACTGTGATAATTTGAAAAGCAGGGCAATCAAATACCTTGGCTTAGCAATTAAAAGCATTTCAACCATTCATCTCCTCATCCTTCCGTCCAGCCATCCTCTCATCCAGCCAGCCACTCTTCCGCCCATGTAGCACACAGCTGCAGTCTGGCCGCGTAAGTGGGACATGGGCTGGCGGAGGCTTTATTTAGATGGGCGCACATGATGCAGTCGTCGTCGCAAACAATGTGACTGGAGTCCCTCAGCATGTAGGATTTGCACAAATGCAAAAGGCTGTGCTGTTAGAGTTCCTTCAGTGACCCTGATACTTCCTCTGCATTAGTGAGTGTGTTTATAGATGTTTGTATCTGCAGGGCTATTCCTTCATGGCTCCCTCCATCCTTTTTAAGAGGAATGCGGTGATGGACGACTCGGCTTTGCTGTGCGGCGGGTCAGAGAGGCCGGGCTCTGCTGCTGTTGCCCGTAGTGCTATGATGAAGGTCAGTCTGCATATTGCTGTGTTGTAAAAACATTACAACATTTAAAGCTGAAGTGTACCATTTTTTTTTTTCATTTTAAATGACTTCCTCCCATCCCAATTTAATATGCAGCGACAACTGTAAGTAAGCAATTTGTTGGTTGATTTCACCAAAAAGTGTAAACATTTATATGCTAGTCCAAGTTCGACCAATGGAAAATGGGTGAAATGTTTGGGAAACCTGTTTGAAACATTCATTATTTTTACAAAAACACTAATGGCCAAACCAGCAAATTGGTTTTAGGGAGTGATAGACCAATACACTAGCGTTTTTCAATCGACGGGTGGCAAGACTGCTTTGAGTGTGTGTAGTCAAAAAAACTAAAACAATAAAAAAAATGATTGTTTATCTGATGCAAGACTTATTTTGAAAGACACGCATGAAAACTGTTCACTCTTCTGTCAGACACAGTTGCGCATTCAGTAGCTACTTTGAAATGAGATGTTGTCTGGCTATATGTCAGTATCATTATTTTAACATTATTTTCATAACTTGTTACTAAATAAGAAGTCTCACACTTCAGAAAAACAAACTACACTGTCCTGTCAGACGTTATACTATTATACTATTAAACATTTCACTTGCGCACGCTGTATATAACTTCACTTTAAACAGCAAATCAAATTATGAGCTTGCAACGTTGTGGTTATGTTGTCAATTATTAAGCCATGAAATTATCAAAAAGAACTAATAAATTACGTATCCGGTACGTTGTGTGTTACCTGGGACGGATTTGCAAGCAGGCTTTACGTTCATTCTATTCATTAGGGTCAATGTTCATATGTTTTATTAACAGATCGTGTTAATAAAAGTATATTGCATGAGCTCATTTCGTCCATTAGATCGAAAGATGTGAAAAAAACACAAGCAAACATGTACCCACCCATAGACCCTCCCGTTGAAGAAATTAGGACAGAAGAGGTCAAAAGTGGACAAAAGAGACCGACACGTTTACAAAACAGGTGTAAACATGAATGGGTCTCCCTCTTCTACTTGTGATTAGATCGACCAAAACGCATCTTAATACCAGATTTAAACAGGGCCCAAGTCCCTTGATTATTTATCAAAATAAAGCTACAAAATGGGTTGTTCAGAAATCATTGTGGTTGTGACATCATCAGAACCGCACATTAACACATGACTTCCTACGCTTGCAACAGTTACGCATTAACGGTTACTTGACTTGAACGTTAGTTTGAAATTCACCCGAATATAGTAAGGAGACTAGCCAATCAAAACAGAGGTCATTATATGTTAAAGGTACCCTAACAAAAAACTGTCTAAGTCTAAGGGGCAGACAGAGAGTGATGTGAAAGTATAATACAATTGTATTGGTGCAAGAAACCCTGATTAACATTATAGGCAGATTTTTGGGCTAATAAACAAAGGGCTACAAAAGTGTAGAACAGGGGTGTCAAACTCAGTTCCTGGAGGGCTTCTGTCCTGCAGGGTTTAGCTGAAAAACCCTAATTAAACACCTGAACCTGCTAATCAAGATCTTCAGGATTACTAGAAACTTCCAGGCAGCTGTTTTGGAGCTAAAATCTGCTGGACAGTGACTAGGAGCATACTAGGAGTTTAACACATGTGGTGTAGAATATGGTCCCTTTAAGTAAATAATCCCATCGCCTTTCCTTGACCTCTAAACTTCTGACAAACTGACCACAGGACTCGCCGTTCTACATGAACTACGAGATGGACCTGAGGGAGAACGCTCTGGGAGAGGGAAGCTTCTCCATCTGCAGACAATGCACTCACAAGAAGACCGGACAAAAATATGCTGTAAAAATTGTCAGTAAAAGGTACCGACTATGCAGCCTGACAATAGAATATTTTTTTATGTATTGAAAGTTCAGTTGTATTATATAATAGTCATGGAAGTGATTTGTTGTGCTCATTTATTGTTCTGCAGAATGGAGGCACAAACGCAGAAAGAGATCGCCGCACTCAAACTCTGTGACGGACACCCCAACATAGTCAAACTACACGAAATCTACCATGACCAGGTATGACAGTGTTTGAGACTGAAACCTAGAGCTCCTGTGCACATCAAAGCCTCATTCATTCAAAGAACTGGGCTAGTCTGAAGAAGTTTGAACCCTCTTTGTCCTCACACCTGCCCTAGATTTAATTCCTCCCCTTGCTTTTCATTGTACTTCATCTTAATTACCATCCATTCTTTATCAGATGCAGCACAAAAGAAGGTTAAAACTAAAGGCTGATTTATACTGCGTCAGACCTAAGCCAGAGCCGCTACGCTATAGACTAAGCGTTGGTTTTATATATAACAAAGCAGAAATTTTTGCATCATTTCTCCTTGATCCTTCAGAAATCATTTTAATGTGCTTATTTGGTGCTCAAGAAACATTTTTATTAATGTTGTAAACAATTGTGCTGCATAATGTTTTGTGAATAGCATGATACATTTTTTCAGGATTTTTTGGAGAAGAGAAGATTCAAACGAACAGCAATTATTATATAAAAATCTTTTGAATTTGAAATCTTTTGTAATGTTATTAATGTCTTTACTCTCACTTTTAATCAATTTAATGCATCCTTGCTGAATAAAAGTATTAATTTCTTTAAAAATATATATTTATTTATATTATTTATCATCACTGTTGCTGGGGGCTAATTAGGCCTTTAGGGCGTTTGGTGTGTGTGTGTGTGTGTTTTTCAGTGTGTGCCAGACATCCTGATCCCTAATATTCTATTCATTAGTATGATAAGATAGAGTCAGTTGGGCTCCTCTTCAGATCTGTGAAAGTCTGTATGTGTGTGCGTGCCCATTTGCCAATTGGAGGTTATCAACCCCCACGCTCCGTACCCAGTGCCGTGCCCCAGATGAAAAGCAGAGCCGCTCTGCCCGGTCAGGGTCTTTGTTCCTCTATACCAGAGATAATGAGAGACATTAGCTTGCTCTTTTTCATTTGCCTCTCTTTTTTTTCCTCTATGCACACACACTTGCACACTCATACACTCTTTTCTATCTCATCCCACCCCCATACAGCACCCAAACACTTGTTCTGCCGTTCACTTATTCACACTCATTCAGCGTATAATGAGACTGAAGCCCATTTTAAAAATCATCCTAAGTCTGAACCTTTGCCAAACTGATTTTTTCCAGTCCTTCAAAGGCATCATTCCCTCTGACTACCTGTCATTAAATGTACAGTACATCTGTGCCAGGATAGAAGGCTTTGCACTTTATAATATCTATCTGTCAGTTTGTGTTATTGCGATCATAAACCATTACATGTGGTTATTCTTGCAAATGGTGTGTTTCCATGTGCTCGCTAATTTTATACTTGCCTCTAGCAGTTTCTTAGGCAGAATGACAGTAGAAATCAGGGTCAGAAATTAACTTTTATATTAAGGGGCATATTTGCCCCCTGCATTTGATTTCAGGTCTTTTTTTTGTACCTTTGTAAGGGTACTTTTTATGATTACCTCATTTAATGTTGAATCTTATTCAAACTCACCTGCTTATTATAACTTTCTAGTATTTATGAAGACCTTAGGTGTGTTCGATTTGTAGCGGCGCTGCAAAGTAAATCTCATTTACATTCTGCGCTTTGTTTATCATTGTTGATTATTTCTTGTTTACTGGTGACTAATATAAATGCATCTGATTGGCCGTCTCATTCATAGACTCAACAGAAGTGTGTGTGATTGGTTATAATTCTTAACAGTGCAAAAATAATGTTTAAATGAAATGTTTTAAGCAATGCAAGCAGATCTTAATGAAATGCTGCAATCAACTCTTTTCATTCATTTTCATACTTGAATTGTGACAGTTGTAATAGATTTAGTTTAATTGTGGAGGGACAATTATATATATATATATATATATATTATTTTTTTTGGTAATTTTGGTGGCAAATTTCCTGAAAGTGTCAGGAAACTGTTGGAAGGAGAGGATAAATGTGATCAGCATTGGATTAAACTTTCTGGATCACATGGATAAACCACTGCAGCATGGCTCTGAATTACTTGAGCTCTCTAATATGGTGAATTTATGTTTGTGTGTTTGTATAGCTACACACATATCTTGTTCTGGAGCTCTTGCGAGGTGGAGAGCTGCTGGAGAGGATCAGAAGGAAGCAGCACTTCAGCGAGACGGAGGCTAGTCGTATCATGCGCAGACTGGTGTCTGCCGTCAGCCACATGCATGATGTTGGCGTGGTGCACAGGGACCTCAAACCAGAGGTACAGCACGCCACAACACATCCACTGTCATTATGGTAGATTTACAACCCACGTGTCACAGAGGACTCTAGGCCGAGGTGCCCCAAAGTGCAGTTTATTATCGTAATGTTGTCAAAAAAAACATCTGCATTAAGTTTATGCTCCTCAATATTGCTTGTGTTTCACTTTGGTGAACAGTGAATTAATAAATGTTATTGGTAAACTACTGTAATAATAAGATTGTACTGCTTTAGGTTTTATTTTTCTGACTGTGTAATGGAGATGTTCTTCAGTTTCTCTTTTCTCTTCGTAGAATTTGCTCTTTACTGACGACACTGAGAATTCAGAGATAAAAGTTATTGACTTTGGCTTTGCACGGCTCAAACCCCCCGACAATCAGCTCCTGAAGACTCCCTGCTTCACTCTTCAGTACGCCGCACCAGAAATCCTGAACTACGATGGTTACGATGAGTCCTGTGACCTCTGGAGTTTAGGAGTCATTTTGGTAGGGCCAGTATTCACATTGTAATTAATTGTCATGCTGGTATAGTATTTAATAATGTATGGGCACTAGGAACAGATTTGTAGACAACTACCCAGCAAACACAGAACGTTCCCGAATCCCACGAGGTTTTTTTTTGGGGGGGGAGCCAAACAAGAACGCTATAGGAACGTTCCATGTAGGTTATTTATAGGTTACATTTTTATAACGTAAGGAGAATGTTCTGGGAACGTTCCCTTAACCTTAAGGGGAAGTTCTAGGAACGTTCTGGGAACCAAAAACTAACGTTCCCAGAACCTAAATTTGTTTGCTGGGGGACAGCAAGGAAGCTCACTAGGGTTTGTCTGAAGCAGTTGTGTTCACTATAGAGTGCTTCTGTGATGACAAATTTTTGTAGGCCAACCCGGATGTTTGCATCACCCTGGTTCTTTTACCGAAAATCCAGTAAGATTTTTCCATTGGCTTTTAGAATAATTAAGAAAACGAGTTCTGTGACCAACAAACGTTTATGATTCTTACACAGCTTGGTCATCATGATAATCTTCACTAATGAATAGACCTTTTAAAAAACTTTTTTTTTTCTAAATACAATCCAAATACAAAAGAAAAAATAAGGCTTTTAACAAACTGCATGACTTCAGCATCACCATCATTAAGCTTCCGACAACTAAGTTTTTATTTAGTAAAACGATTTTAGCCACTTGTTAGATCTGCCTTTTTCAAGACAAGTAAAAAAACATATATTTTTTTCTATATAATATATCTATATATCTAATATATCTATACATATATAGATATATTTTGTTGTAGAAGCTTGTGTTTAAAAATACTATAGACCCTTTCTCAGGTATTTGCTAAAATGCTTACCCATTTCTTGGTTTTGGCCTACAGAAATATGTCATCCATGCTTTAAGGGCAAGTAATAAATGTGACCCACATCATATATACGTGAATATATGAATATATACGGGTGCTTCTGTATACACAACCTTTTATCCTGCTTCATGTAGATTACTTGCTCATTTTGGATATGAATCAATGTCTTGCTGTTCCTGATACTTATTCAGTTGAACACAAACAAACTATCAAGCCCTTTTCCAAACAGCTTAGCATTGCTGATCGGAGTCATCACAGCTACCCTTAAGCGGAAGATTTCAGCCAGAACTTAATAGAGAGAAAGATGAGAGGAGATAGCTAGATAAGCCTGGGGGAGATGTCCAAAGCTAAGTTATTTTTCTGGGTCCATTTCTGCCTTGCTCTGTATTGAGGAGCATGATGTGACTGGGGGGGAGAACAGAGTAGTGCAGCCCAGTTTGACATGATGATCTCTGACAGCCTGTGAGCTGAAAGACCCCCGAGCTCTGCGAAGCACGTAGAGAGATGAGAGCTTATTTAGCTGTGTACATGTTCTCTATTTTATTTCACATTGCTAAGGATAACATTTTATCTCCAATATGATTATATTGCACATTGATCAACTTCTGTTGTTTTTGAGAGCGCTGTGCTGTACATACAGACGAATGGAAGAATGCACATTACATCTGTCCAGCACACAATGACTTTTGCAATGTTTAGCTAAAACAAATAAGTCTTGAGACACATTTTAAACATGCTGATGAAGGGGGAGGACCCAACGGACTGTGATAGGCTATTTTATGACCGAACACAGAAGGCACATTACCTTTAGTTTAAACATTAAGAGCCACGAAGTTAGGGACAGCTAATTGGTACATTTAAGAGACCTGTATGTGTGATTTCAGATTGGCAATAGCTCTAAGCTGGAAGAAGCAACTCTTCAAAACAGCTTGTGAAATTTAAGGGCTTAATCAAACAAAACCTTTTGGTTATGTAGATGACGATGATGTGTGCTGTCCTGGAACTACAAATGAAAATGGCCTTTGGCTAATTCTGGCACATTTACAGTAATCGTATGTGCGCAGTCCTTGCTGAATATAAATAAATAAATAAGTGATGTAAGCTGATATAAAACGGAATGATTTATAATATAAACAGTGTCTTTAACCGTAAAACCGTATTCTGGACAAATGATGGGCAAAATAGTTTTGATTTATTTTTAAACAATACTACCCTTGATCTGAGCGGTACAAGACTTGGCAATTTTTTTGACTCAATTATACAATGTTAAGTGGGTGAAAAAAAATCCTCAAAAATGGGCACCCATAGAAATGAATGGGAAAAACTGTCATTTAAAGCATTCTAAAATAAGCCAAAATAAGACACCGGGTGATAGCAAAGTCAGTTCATCTATAGGTTTTAGCTCTAAGAACTTATTGGATATTTAAATGTATTTAAAAAAAAAAAAATAAATAAAACATAAAAATAAGCATAATTAATAAGCGAAAATATGGTACTTTTTGAAGTAAATAAATTCAAAAATACCCCCCCCAAAAAAAAAAAACCATGAATGGATAGATAAAACTTTATCGAAGACAGTGATATAACATTTATAATAAATAAAAATGAGGATCACACCTGAGTCCTGTGTGCCCCTCATTTGTCTACAATTACAGGATTAAGGGCTATAAAGTGAATACGGTTTGAGGGCTACACATCATCCTGCCTATCAAAAAAGATTTAAATTGATTGGATAAAGAAAAGTGTTTAGTGCCAGTTGTGGAGGACTATTCTCCTCCATATCAAAAGTTGGTATTTGGAAAATAAATTAGGTCACTTTTTTCATTTCATGTTTACTTCAAAAGTTAGATACATTTTTGTATCATCAGCCTAACTGTGAATATTTTTTTTTTAATGAACCCAAAGAGAGGCATATATGAAGAAAAATTAAATTGGTCCTAAGATAGAACCTTGAGGTACCTCACATTACATTTAACATTTTGTTGCAGTACACCATGCTATCTGGCCAGGTCCCATTTCAGTGTCAGGAGAAGAATCTAACGCACACCAGTGCAGAGGAGATCATGAGGAAAATCAAACAAGGAGACTTCTCTTTTGAAGGTGAAGCCTGGAGGAATGTGTCCAACCAGGCCAAAGATCTGATACAAGGTGAGATACAGCTAGAGATGTTTAGAGGTAATGTAGATAAGAATACATTTGTTAAAACTAAAATATTAATGTGTGGCCTACAGAGCTGCTGACGGTGGACCCTAACAAGCGGATAAAGATGTGCGGCCTACGCTATAATGCCTGGCTGCAGGACGACAGCCAGCTCTCCTCCAACCCTCTTATGACCCCTGACATCCTGGGATCTTCTACCAGATCAGTGCACTCTTGTTTCAAAGCCACCTTCAATGTAAGAAAAATGGAAGGAGGCTAGAAAATAAATATTACAACATAATAAGAGTAGATGGGTATGGATAAATGTTAATGATAAATACATAATTTGTTTAGGCATACAGCAAAAATTCAATTTTGGCTGTTTTTTTTTTTGGGGGGGGGGGTAGTGTTCAGAATAAAGCTTAAATCTTTTTTTATGCAATTTACAGAACATGCTGACAATGCAGAGTAGAAAATTTGGAAAATGTGTTTATTTTTTTAATTACAGTTTTAATTTGAATTAGTAATAAAATAATAATAAATTATTATTATAAATTATACAGTAAGCTTTGTATATTATAACTGAAATTTTTGGCAGATGCTGATATGGTCTTCCATTTTTTTTCTTCCCCAGGCCTTTAATAAGTGTAAGCGGGAGGGTTTCCGACTTCAGACAGTTGACAAGGCTCCTTTGGCCAAACGCAGGAAGATGAAGAAGACCAGCACCAGCACAGAGACCCGCAGCAGCTCAAGCGAGAGCACACACTCCTCTTCCTCCCAGTCTCAGGATAAGACGCCACCGGGCGGAGAGACGGCCATCATTCCCCAGGCATCCGTGAGCACGCCTCTCACTCTGGGCCCTGACGTGGAGCCTTCTCAGGGCGAACTCCAGCTTACAGAGTGATAGGACATAACTTTCCCACTGTCTCATTCTTTCTCCTCACACTCTGGCAAGGCTGTACAACTCCAGAATTTGCATGTGGGGACCAACTCAAATCCATCATTAGCAATAGATGCACACCATGAGCGCTGAAGACCGAGCTGGTGTGAACTTCTGGCTCAAGTTCTGCATGGCTGAATATCACTGCGTCCAGTCCAGTGTCTCAAACACAAGAGAGAAGTTCACTTTGAGGAGCATCAAGACCTTCCACTGATGGAGAAAGAAGAAAAGCCGGCTTGTGCAGCGTCCTGACAGACCAGGCGCTTTGCTTTAGGCAAAAAAAGATAAGGAATATGTATTTTAAATATAAGAAGAATATTTAGAATATTATATAGAATTTATTTAAATGGAGAATTATTGTTTATACAACTTGGTATATAATAGAGATTTGGTATATTTGACAAACTGGTAAATGCCAAATATAACAGCTCCATTTGTGCTGGGAGCTTTATGGTGTTGATTCATATATTTAACTTTAATCTTTGACTTCTTCCAGAAGATTTTACTGAAGTAGCAACAACTAGGTGTAATAGTTTCCGTGTTGTGTGTAAAACTCTTGTTCATGGGCAAGGTAAAAGTGACCGTTTGTTTCACATTTATGTGTTATTTGAATTTACTGTTGAGATACCTTCCTCAGGTTATTTATTTGTTCTTGTAAACTTGAGCTAATTTCTAAAGAGTTGAAGACAAAGCCACTGGCTGAAGGTGTGGTCACATTTACCCTTGCTCTGTGAAATTTTGAAGCTGAAATCCAATTTTGTATTTGGTTCAAGCATTGGCCAACAAGAAACTGCTTGGTTTGAAAGTGACTTCTGTATGAGCATTTCTTCGTGCATCGATACACTATTGACAGTGGACAATGGAACAGAAAATTTTTTGCTGAAATTTTGCTAAATGTGACCACGCCTTAAAAGAGAAATGCTAGAGGTGTTGACTTGTACGTTGGATTTCGTTACTCTAGTTTTGAGTATAATATTAGGCTGAGCATGAATCTGCCGATAGATGTTTAAAGTCGACATGAATTCAGAATAGACCCATTTTAAATTATTAATGCTCCTGGTTCTATTGTGGACTATTCTTTGGTGCATGTTATTACAAAGAAAAAAAAAGTTTTAATAGTTTAATAAAAATGTATTTATTTAAACTTCTGCAAAGACATTCCTATTCCAGTAGCATCACTTAGGTTACCCAGGCTATTGGATAACTCGAACCAGTAAATGGCTATTTAGCTGTAGATTTAGCAAACTATCAGGTTTCTATCATGGCCTACTTTCATGATCCAATCAATTCCTGATGGATAATCTAATTTCTTAAAAAGTGCTACATAGAGGAAGTACAATGGGTTGCAATTCACGTAGACTTTAAACTATGCGTCTGCAAAATTTATCTTATCTTATATATGATAACCATGACTGCAGGCCACATTTTAGCCTGAAATGAAGTGATATGCCAGAAGACATCTGTGGCTTCCTGTTTGATGGTGGCACGTTGTGTTTTTTGGCCGTGTGTTAGTTGACTGATGCTTCAAAACAGGCTGCGGTAGAGCCTGTGGTGTTTAAAACGATGCGCTTGCGTTTTTTCATCTTTGCATCGCCTGTTTCACAAACACAAGAGTTTTTGTGACACTGAGCTGAAATCTTATAGTACTCAAGTCTGGACAAGATCAGATGTCATCAGGAGCATTTGAACAGCCTGGACTCGGACTCGAATGAGCTGGTCTTGACTAGTGATAGAAAATATGGTCTTGGATTTGAGTCTATACTCTTAAAAATAAGTTCCAAAAGGGAGTTTTCGCAGCAATGCCATAGAAGAACCATTTCGGGTTCCCTAAAGAACCTTTCATAGCTCTTTTCCACCAGAATAGTTTGCGTTCTCTGAGCCAGAGCCTTTTCTCGGCCAGGCGAACTGGAAACTGGCCACGTGTTTCCACAGACCTGAGGAACAAACAGTGATGTAATGCTGCTATTTGTTGTTTACCTGACTATAAACAGTCTAAAATCAAACAGTGTGCATCCGGATGTTTGTACAGGCAGTGCGGGACTTCTGTTTTGCTGTTCACAGTACCGGTAGTGCTTTTAGTGTATCGGCAGCTTGCATAAATTCCTGGTACTATCATCTGTCCTTTTTGGAGATGTATTGAAATGATTCACTCGCTCTGCCGCACGCGGGTCTCTTTTGCGTGCAGTTTTATTTATTTAGATATAAAGACCAATGTAGTGCAACATTATTGCATTGCTCAACAAGATTGCCATAGAGTGACAGCTATTCTTTGCTACGGTTCTCCGGCTCTGTTGGAGAGCAGCAAGTTTTTAGGGCCGGAGTTGAACCGATCTTGAATGGAATGGTTCAAGAATGGACAATGGCCGGGAACCCACACCGGAACCATGCCGGTGGAAAAGTATGAAGAACCTTTTTCCTCTATTTGTACAATGTAAAGTTTCTAAAGATGTTAAAAGTTCTTCATGGAAGCATGGATACACAAAGAACCTTTACTCTTAAAGCTCTCAATTGAGAGGCTTCATCCTTTTAAGGACACCGACTTCAAAGACCACTTCTTCGAAGGCAGCAAGAGCGTTGTTAAATGAGACGGCCTAGCCTACGGAGGATTGTTCTTGTCGCTTAACAACTGTGACAGCTCCCGTTGAAGAGTGACAGTAACTTTTGTTCTGGATTTTTTTTTTTTTAATTATATTTAATACAGTTATAGTACAAAGCAAGGTTCACAACCCGTCTAAATATGTTCACCTTGGTCCATTTCTGAACATAATAAAAAGTAAAAACTATATAAAATCGCATCTTAGATGTACCATTTGAACTTATTTGTATACATTTTTTGGTATTTTAAAATTTGTATTAGAGTAAGTTGAAAACCCAATAATTGCATTTAACAGTGTAATTCGGCAATTTCTCTACAAAAAATCCTGTTATCAGCGCGTAATGAATTCAGATGTAGGCTAGGCAGCAAAGATCCGACTGAGACGGCCTAGCCTACGGATGATTGTTTTTGTCGCTTAACAACTGTGACGGCTCCCATTGAAGAGCGGCAGTAACGTTTGTTCTGGACTTTTTTGAAAGTTATATTTAATACAGTTATAGTCTGAATACAAAGCAAGGTTCATAACCCGTCTAAATATGTTCACCTTGGTCCATTTCTGAACATAATAATTATATAACCATTTGAACTTTTATATACATTTTTTGGCATTTTAACATTTGTATTCGAGTAAGTTGAAACCCATTTTCATACTTGCATTTAACAGTGTAATTCGGCAATTTCTCTCCAAAAAATCCTGTTGTTACCAGCGCGCAATGAATTCAGATGTAGGCTAGGCAGCAAAGGATTCATGTGTTCAATCCTTCATTGCTCGTGAAACGAAGGACTCATACGAAAGACAGAGTCTTGGAACTTTGACGCAATCGATCTTCGAATGCGGCGTGTACAACACTGCTGAGCTGTGTTTGTGTAGTTTGTATTTTTCTATTCGGTGGCGGCGGTCTATAGTTGAAAAGGAATGATTTTATCTTTGGCCCAAAAGGACCCCCTGAATTATTCAGAGCATTAATCTATAATTCATTCATATCTTGCTAGCACTACGAAACTATTTGAAAGGCACTTGAACTATACATTGCTATGCAAAGTTATTTTCTTCCTTTCTAATTTTTGTCTCTGTTCATATCCTGAAAGACCTTTATGCATTAAATAATAATGAATATAAACGGTGCCTCATCATCAGGGCGAACACACCTGCCATTTTTAGGGACAGTCGGAAGGCTCTGGTCTCTAAGTAAATCATGCATTCCACTTGTGCACTAACCGAGACAAGACATCATATTGAGCGTTTCAATGGCGAGGGCTGGATCAGGACCCAGCGGCGGGTGCACGCACACACTCAAACACACACAAACTGGTGCTCCTGCCCACTCGAACCAGGGCAAAGGACAAGAGCAATAAGAACAGCAGGAGCTCGGCTCACTTTCATGTGGCTGAAAGCTGCCACATTTGGCCTCTTCCCCATCACTGTTCTCCCTGAAGCTCCCTCATTACTGCCTCCTCTTTTTGTCGGGGTGTATTAATAGAACAAGAATGATGGGAGGCCGAGAGAGTCCTACATTGAACTCTCCTCTGGGAGTGAAGCTTTATTAGATGATTTGCTGTGCTGCTGTTTGTCCCACCGGCTCTCTGCGTCCAATTGCTCAAACATGGAGCTTGCTTTACGGTCTGACACGGTTTTAGGGGGGTTTTTGTTTTAGTTTGTTTTAGCTGTTATGAGATTAAAGGCCAGACATGTGGTGTTTCGTTTAGCATTTCTAAAAGCGTAGCGAGCTTCGGCCCTTAAACTGAACTCACTCCTTTGATCTGTGCACTTTGTTTTTGTTGCTCTATTTTTTAGTGCTCTTATTTTTAGTGCTCTTGGGTTCTTGTAAATTGTGTTGTCTGGTTGTGAAATGTAACAGAGGGGCCCTGTGTGCTTGTATCTGTGATAGCGGCGGTTGTGGGCGGCTCATCTACTCGTGGAGGTGGGGTGATTTGACTTTTTAAACTCCACCTTGTTTAAGGGTTTGTGGATTTGAAGACTTGATGCTGGAATGGAAATTGATTTTTTTTTTTTTTATTGCATGGAAACTTGTTCCCACTCTGTTTCATGATATCTGTAGTAGTATTACCTTGTTTTAGAGGTCGCTATGCTTTTGCTGTAAACATTCTTGAAATGTTATGTAACCCACCCAAATACAACTTTTTACATTCTTTCTGACACACTATCAGTATCAGTTTTTTAAATAAGAAATTAATAGTTTTATTCAGCAAGGATGCATTAAATTAGTCAAAAATGAAAGCATTTATAAGACTACATTTTGTTTATCAAAGAATCCTGAAATGATGGTTTCTACAAAAAAAGTAACCAACCAGCACAAGTCTTTTCAACATTGATTATGATAAGACATTATTATTAATGTTCCAAATCATTAGAATGATTTCTTACTTAAGACTGAAGTAATCATTCTGAAAATCCAGCTTTACAATCACAGAAATACATTTTATTTTAAAATATTTTAGAGGGTCTTGAAGTAGAATTCAGAAATTATTGTTGTTAGCGACACCGGTGGTTGTTAAGTGAATTGCAGCCAGCAACTTGCTCGCACTCATCTCATTCGCACGTGCCGTTAACGTACAAGAGGCTGCACGTGATTCAAGGCTTACCTCACCCTCGATATCTGCTCACGAACTTTATCGTTCTTCACTTAGTTAGAAGTAAAAAGAAGTTGGAAATACCTTTGCAGCGATACAGTTAATAATATCCAGACGCATTTTTTATTATTATTATTTTTAAAGTTTGCTACAAGCTGTTCACACATTGGCAATAAAAAAAGCAATTAACACGTAAAAAACTAGTCCTGCAGTCCGTAACTTTTGACGCTCTAGCGGTTATAAACAGTTCTGCATGCGTCTTGCGGAAGAATTTTAGCCGGATCTACTTCTGTCTATTTATGTCAATACCTAGACTGTAATGGGCTACTCCGCAGTGGTACGACCCGAACCATTCTAAAATAGTCTGAATATAAACATTTATTATAGGTGTACCGTAGTGATTCAGGATAAGACAAAAACACGGTTTGGAAAATGGACTCATGATGTACTTTAATCATTCAATCATTTAATTAAAAAAATAAAATAAAAAAATACTGACCTCAGACGTTTGAACTGTAGTGTATGCAGTATTATTGTCCACTCTATAATATATTATGTAATATATTCTATATATATATATATATATAGAATATATAATATATTCTAAAACATTGAAGTTACATTAAGTCTGAGGTATTTATTCAGTATTGGAAATCATTCAACAGTTTAACATTGAAAATGGATTATGTGAAAATGAAATGAACACAGACTGTACTGTACACTGTTTCAATGTATTGTTTCCAGCTCTGGCCACTTTCCTGTAGCCTGTATTTATTCTAAAAGCATCTGTGTATGTCAGTGTCTTGTCTCTTCTCCTGAATCTATAGACAAGGGGGTTTATAATTGAATAATTGACATATCTATTTTATTTTTACCAAAGACATGATTTGTAGCATTGACATTTTTTGAGCATACCCTGAGCTTTAATGTTTTTTGTAGTAAAGTCTTTAAAAATCTGTTGGTTTGGTTAGGTTCTTGTCCACGCGCTTCCTTCCTCCAGCATTTCCAGCTGTGAGACACATTTATAAATTATCTTTGTTATAAAAGTCATATTAGGAAGCAAGCATAGATAACTAGCACAATCCCAGACTTTACTTTTTTTTTCTCTTCCGTCTGACGTAGAAATGGACCAGGTAGCCTTTCATTGCACTTTCCACAAAGCCACCAAAAGCATATTGCAACCAAAAAGCATGATACAAATTGTACATCTTACGTTTCTGCTGTTTACGGGCTTATATGTTTGAGTTTAATAGTGTAACTGCCAATATACAGTAGACTAAGCCTACATTTTGTGTCGCAGCAAATTTAGATATTGTGATCGTGATGATCTAAAATTTAATGTTTTACAAAGATGCTCATTTGTAAAATATGTATTTTTGCCGTTTATTGTCCAGTTGTTGCAGCACAAGCTGCATTAAATCTCGAAGGCAACTTTGAGTAAATCGATGCAAAGATGATTTTCACAGGTGTTTTCTTATTAGTGTACAACCAAACGCTGCCAGCAGACGGCGCTGTTTACACAGATTTAGATAGCCTGTTTGCATAGATGGCCGTTTCTGAGTGTAGAAGAGCTTTCCTGTCTTTAAACTCTGTATTTGTCTTCACTGTGCAAGTTGTTTAATGTTAAGGCATTACATGAAGACAGATTTGAACATGAGACCTGAATGGATTATCACAAATGCATTTTTTAGCTAACTAGCTGGGCTAGAGTTTTAGCCTCATTAATTTATTTAGATTGAATTATTATTAAACTATAATGCTTAAACGCACCAAAATAGTCCTATTTATAGTGAGTTGTAATGCTATGTATGTGTTTTGTAAGTGATAAGCCATATCACCACACAGTATGACACTGAACCCTATTGATGTGTCCAGTGCTTTGTTTTTAAGATGATACACTTTTGAAATAAGAGGACACAATATACATTAAAAGTTCATATTTTCAACGATTGTGTGTAATATTAGTCCATTATGTTGATACAAATGCGAGTGTCTTGCATGAGTGTTTTAGTCTCAGATGAGTTGAATCAACTCATGTTTCTGACTAATGTCAGAAAGTGTGCTCCTTTTTACTAAATGGTCTTGTTAACTTTTTTCCCATTTGTTTTGTGATTCAAAATATGTTTGAGTTGGTTGTTAAAAAAAGGGCTTAAAGTTTTACTGAACAAAGAGTAATATAATTTAAATTGCCACAAAATGGAATAAAACCTCTAAATTCACATAATGCTTGTGTATTTATTCTGATGTGCTTTTGTAAATGAATGTTTTCCTATATTTCTATATATTCCTATATTTATAGTTTGTATTATGTTCTCAGTATTGGCTATATTCATCCATATATTCTCAGTATTATCCCAATGTGTGCGCTTTTAATTGATATTTTATTTTACATAACTTATTTAGTACTGAATTTATTATGCCTTTGATTTTAATGTTTAATTTAGTTGTAAGTAAATTGACAATTTTGTGAAAACGTAAGAAATGGCAAAAAGAAAGCAAAATTCATGTTTGATATTTTCCAAATAATGTTATAATGTTGAATAATTATTGTAATTTTGTGATACATCATGTTAAAATATAATCTTGATATCCCCAAACTCTTTGTTTACTCAGATTATTACATATATGCAAAAAACAAACAAGCAAACAAACTGAAACATACACATATAGAGGCCTATATATTAGTTTGGGGGTCAAAATTATGTATTTAATATATGGGCACAAAATGGTAATTACATTTATCAAAAGGACAACATGAAATTTGTCTGAAACATTTTTTTTTCTATTTATATATATTTTACTAATTACTATTATTATATTTTTTGTATGTCTGAGTAGTAGGAGTTTGGTGGTTGAGATTTTCCATCTAAAATGCTGTCATTAGCCATACCAGAGTGACTTCATTCTCGCTCTCTCTCTCACACACACACACACACACACAAACACACAGTTGCAATCAAAAAGCACAATATCATTAAGGGGAATAAAATGTTTGAGAGTAACTGAGATAAAAAGCTCAAATTACTGCCAAATTCCTGGAAGATAATCTGATGAAAGGATGATAGGAGAAAATTTTATGACGACAACAATTCAACAAAGCCTTCAGTAAACTATTATCGAAAGTTTGTTGAAAGTTTATCAATTAACATTTGAGTGATTTTGAGAAGGTAAAGGTGATGAAAAAAAAAAATCTTATTGGCTCTAAATATTCATGTTAAAAATGATTTAACCCCCAAATGTCAAATTTTATGCAGGACATTTTGTTTTATAACCTCCGATGCCTGTAAGAGCTAAGAAGCTTCAGTCACCTCAACACTATCTCACGACCAATTCGTACGAATTCGACGAATGATTAAAAAGTGGCTAATTCGTAAGAATTCATACGACCTCACTCGTACGAATTAATACGATTTTGCTAAATCGTACATATTTTACGAATTGGCCCATTCGTATGAATTCGTACGAATGACCTACCCCTTACCCCGCCCCTAAACCTAACCATCACGTGGGTTTAGACAAATCGTACGAATTAGTACGAGTGAGGTCGTACGAATTAGTACGAATTAGACACTTTTTAATCATTCGTCGAATTCGTACGAATTGGTCGTGAGCCATTCCTCGCTTAAAAAAAGATGTCTGCTTCCTGCATCAGCAAAGCACCCCTACGTTTGACCATGGAGATGGTGTTCTTCTGCTCATAAGCTTTGTCTTTTTTGGACCAGACATGATCCATGGGCTCAAAAAGTTCCAGTTTGGTCACATCACTCCATAAAACATTCTTCTAGAACTCCACAGGTCTATCCAAAAATGAATATTAGCATATTTAAGTCTGCCTTTTACAAAGTATGTTCTCTTAGTCAAGAGTGGCATTCGGCAAGATGTCAAAATACGAAGGCCATGCTTCTCTTCTCATACTCTACATCGAAATAGTTTGTCCTCTTTTTATCAGATTATCTTATGAGTAGGGGTGTAACGATACCCTCATGTCACGATTCGATACATATCACAATACTGAACTCATGATACAATATTATTGCGATCGTCCAAGACATATGATAAAAGGTTGTACTGTTGTACAAAAAAATGTGCTGTTGATTAAATTGCTAACTTTGATATTATATTGTGGGTTTAAACGAATTGGCTTGGACTTGGTGCTTGTAACCCAATGACAATATTGACACCAGAATAAAAATATTAATGATTCTGAAGCTGAAAACAGAATTATTTTAGATGAATATGCTTGCACTCATTCATTGACTAGATATATTTAAAATAATGTTGGCCACTTTTTACTGGTAACATAAGACATTTGGCATTATCAGGACCCACAAATATTCCCCCACTGCATTATTATACATTATAACCAACATTATATATAGTATTTCAATGTAACTCTGATTTTTGTTTTTAAATATCTCAGACAGTAATTGTTTATTTTGGGGGAACTATCCACGATACATATTGTCACTATCCACGATACGTATTGTTGCATTTTTGTCTTATATTGTTACACCCCTACTTATGAATAATTCTGCCAGCGTTGTCTCAAGGAACTTTTAGTGTTTTGGTAATCTTCTCATAGCCATAGACTTTCTAATGTAATAAAACAATTTGTTCCCTATAGCTTTTGAGGTCTCTTTTACAACAATTGTGATCGCAACTGCATATATACGCACATAAAAGTATGTTAAATAATCAGACCATGGCATTAATATTGTTTCCTCCAATAAGAATCTCTTGAAAAAAAAGTCAAGCTCAAAACATCACCAAAAATGATTTATCCCAATTTTCCTAGATTCAAACCACTGAAGCACATGTCCGTCATTTTATGTATTGATTTGAGCACAGATTGGTGTATCTTAAATGAACTCCAAACGCAATGAACGAAAAAGGGGTGCAGAAAGAGCTTCGGGTCTAAAGTGGGAGGTGTTGAGGAGTCAATGGCGGGAAATATGGGATTTCTGCACGGGACCCACGTCTCCTATTGTCTCCCTTAAATTTTGACCAGGCTGCCCTGGCGAGCAGTGATGGGACTTTTTCTTTTCTTCTCCGCCTCAGTCCTCCTGTCTCGCCCGGCATTCCACTGGGCCACCAGAGAAGCTGCTTTAGAGACGGGCTGCTCGCTCTTGGGTGGCCTCTTGTGCAGGGGGCTGCGAAGGGGAGGAGACGATGTCTTATTAATTGACTGGGTGTCTTGGAAGGAGTGTAGGAATTTGTCTGCGGGAGAAAAAGGAGAGGAAGGACTGCCTCGCAGCTTAGCCTGGACCTCCTACTCAATCATAAATGTCAACTAGATATTTACATTTTCTGAGGAAAAAAAAAATGGAAGCAGTGCTAGGAAGTCAATGCCACAATACTATAGTGTTGTGGATGGTTGCTAGGGTGTTGCTACATATATTGCTTTATATACCCCTCCCCATGCTTTGTTAGGGGAAAATCGCATAGAAAAGGGGTTTCCTTTACCGAATAGTACTGTGATAGTACCGTGGTACAGTGATGGTGTCAGATGCTAATGAAGTGTCCACATTAAAAAAGGTCAAATCTTTTAAAAATCTAGTTTAATATGAAAGTTTCACCGCACTCACGGCAAACAAGGTGCCAGACAGATAACACTTGACAACCCAAAAAATAAATTGTCTGCACACTTGAGTCCTTCAAGCAAAATTTAATGCCAAGCTTTCGGTAATACAACCATCCTCAGGGCATCTAGTTAAAGCATGTGCCAAGCTCTTAGAAATATACTCTTTTTTACTTTAAACTTAAATGGAAAGCCTATGGATGAATGAAAATCAAATATACTATTTCCAACAAACGTTTAAGGTTTTCCTCTGCATTTTGATTGCAGGTTTTCATTAAATTTGGCTGAAAATTTGCCATAATATTTTAACAAAACTGCTTCACTGTATGTTTTTTATTATGAAAGATAATGTCAAACTACTCAAAAAGGTTTACGACAAATTAAGATACTCCAAGGCACTCGAGTGGTGTAGGAAAATGAGTAAAAAGGCCTTTATTTAATGGCTTAAACAATTCAAATCAGTGACAGATACTTCAGATACACCTACGCATTGCGGCTTTATGCCTTCATCAGGGTGCATATGAAACTCAAAAAGGTTTTCTTTTCATAAATTTCATTCTTTTAATGACACTATTTTCTTCATTGTGATATCTGTATCATGTACATTGTCGTTCAAAAGTTTGGGGTAACTTAGTAAGATCAAAAGATTTCAAAATAAATATTAAGCAGCACAACTGTTTTCAACATTGATAATAGTAAGAAATGTTTCTTGAGCACCAAATCAACATATTTAAATGATTTGTGAAGGAGTAATGATGCTGAACATTCAGCTTTCTCTGGAATAAATTACATTTTGAAATATACCTAGGGAAGAAAAAAAAATACTGTAATAATTTTTCACAATATCACTGTTTTGACAATATTTTTGATCAAATAAATGCAGCCTCGGTGAGCTTTTTTTTTAGCATTTATTTTTAAATGTTTAAAATATCTCACACCCCAACCTGTCGTGTGTGTATCAGTTGCATTACTCAGCATTTTATACCACCCCCCCCCCCCCCCGTCCGCCACCTCCTGAATTTACTTTGAAATTAAGAACATGCTCATCATAGATGTATATAATAAAGTGGAATAAAGTAGTAGATCCAGACCATTAAACTATTTCCATGATTAATCTGTACACTAAACATGTCAAAACACCCCATAATGGTCTTTTTAATGCCGCCCAAAACCATAACCCTGTAGTGAAGCCTGCTTTACAATAGATTTGGTTTTCTACATGCACTGATTTTGACTATCAACCTTAAATAAATGAGACAGCTGCTGTCATTAACCTTCCTTGTATATGGCAAGTGGGATTTGAAAAGAAGCAGCAGAGGTTTTGGTGCGGCGGGCTGTGGGAAAGGCCCGTTCAGGTTGGAGTGCTCCTGGAGGCTCTGAATGGGCCTGCTGTGGCTGAGTGTGTCAGTGGGATGTGATTGAGTGGGAACTTCTCAGGGTACGGCAGGAGGGGCAGACGAGGGGGAGGTGTGTAGAAGTGTAGTAGCTACCAATGTGGTCTCCCCCCTCCCCAACCTTTACCATCAGTGACCAGAGCCGTAATCCCATTACATGTGTCCCCATTAGCTCCGACGGGAGCCTCTATTGTCTCCCTGTGAGTCGGTCGGAGTCACCGTCCAGGCCTTGCCATGTTTGCTCTAG